AGTGCAATAAGCTAAATAGTGAAGTTGCTTCTAGCTCAAGAGCTTTACAGTTGAAATTTCTGAAATGCTCGTATAAATGGGAAAATATTTCAAAAACTAAATTATTAGACGCTATGTCTGATCCTAAATTATTAGAACAAATTTTATCTTATGAAAATACAAATTATGAACACAATGCAGAAGGTATAGATAAAGCTACAGAAGCACTGAATTCAATTTTACAAGATTTAGCAATAAAATCTTGTAAAATCATCAATTGTAAGAAAAAAAGGCTAAGAAAAAAAAAACATGGTTTGACACTCAGCTTAAAGATTTGAAAAAAAAAATGTGATAATGTTAGGAACTAAGATGAAAAATGAACCTTTTAATTCAAAAATTAGGCATGATTATTTTATTCACTGTAAAAAAATGAAAAAAAATGGAAAAACAAAAAAAGTATTTATTCTAGAAAGAATTATATGATAAATTATTGAATTGGAAAGAAACAAACCCCAAACAATACTGGGAAGTGCTTAATTCTCTCAAAGGAAATAAAAGCTCTAATAATACAGCAGACATATTAGTTAACATCAATAAAGTTATATACCATTGTAAGACTCAATGTATATGTAAAAAAAACAATAAAGAATTTCAGAAAAGGATTGAAGATCATGCAACTCTGTATAAAACTTTTTTAGAAGAAAACCAAATTACTGACCAACCATTTACCATCACTGAATTTAAGAACTTAATTCATAAGCTTATAATCAATAAAAGTGCAGGACCAGATCTTATTCCAAATGAAATATTAAAACATAGCTCAGTGGTTACTTGTAAATCTATAGTTAAACTATTTAACTTAATATTGCATACTGGAGAATACCCATCTGCATGGAGAAAATCATTTATTGTTCTAATCTATAAATCTGGAGATAAGAATGACCTAAATAATTATAGAGGTATCTCACTTCAGAACTGCGTAGCAAAACTTTTTAGTGCTACACTTAATAAAAGATTAATGCTACATTATGATAAATTATTCTCAAAACAACAATTTGGCTTTAGAACAGATCACAGAACAACAGACAGCCTTTTTGTTCTTAAAACTTTAATAACAAAATATATTGTTCGAAATAAAACAAAAATATATGCATGCTTTGTAGATCTGCGCAAAGCATTTGACACTGTTTGGCATAATGGCCTTTTATACAAATTAATGAACAATCAAATTGGTCAAAAAAATTCTTTTAAGTTATTCAAAGTATGTACAGATCATGTGAATCAGCTGTTAAATTCGAAAACACTCATTTTAATTATTTTAAACTTGATAGAGGGGTTAAACAAGGAGATAGTCTAAGTCCAACATTATTCAACTGTTTTATTAATGACCTACATAACACATTTGATATGTCATGTGATCCACTCATACTTGAACACACACATGTATCTAGTTTAAGCTTTGCAGATGACCTTGTTCTGCTCTCAGAGTCCCATACTGGTTTACAGAATACACTGCACAAATTGCAGAATTATTGCTTAAATTGGCAACTAACTGTTAATACTACAAAAACAAAAGTTTCAACTTTTCAAAAAATATATAAACCAACTTATGTTTTTTATTATGATAATCACCCTCTTGAAGAAGTAAAAGAATATAATTTCCTTGGAACAATAATTGATCACAAAGGTAGTTTAAACAAAGGAGTACTAGAGCTGTCTAAGAAAGGCTTAAAAGTAATATTCTCCCTAAGAAAAATCTTCTCCAATTTCACACAATTACCTGTGAATTTGTCTTGTAAATTATTTGACACTCTTATTCGCCCTATTTTATGCTTTAATAGTGAAATCTGGTTTATGGATGATTATCTTCCTTCATACAGAGTAATACTTAGAGCAATGAAAAATAACAACTCGTGTGATAATCTCGCTTTACAGGAAAAATCTGTCTATGAAAAAGTACATGCTAGATATTGTAAAACAGTTCTAGGACTCAACAAAACAGCATGCAACATTTCATCATGGTGTGAACTAGGTAGACTTCCAGTTTCTTCTTTTATTAAAACTCAAGTTATGATGTTCATGTACTTTGTACGACTAAACTCTCAGAATGTAAACCACATGATTGAAGAATCAAAAATATCAATATGTCTTTGCATGAAGAGGGATTTTACTCGTGGCATACCCTCGCACTGTCTATATTTAAAGAAAATGATTTAAATAGCAATGACTACAGGAAAAAATGAAAAATTTGACAACATTCGAAATTCGGTTAAAAAGAAGTTGAAGAAAATAGTACTAGATAATTATCAAGGCAAGACTATGGAAAAAGTATCCAAATTCACAGAAAACTCCAAACTATATTTGTACAGTAAAATAAAACACAATCTTAATATGAAAGAATATCTTATGCTTGAATATAGTTTCAAGTATAGACAATTACTAACTAAGTTTCGAACAAGTGACCACTGCCTACTGATTGAAACTGGTAGACATAACAAAATACCTCGACAACAAAGATTATGCACTTCATGTAATGCTATTGATGATGAATTTCATTTCTTTTTACAATGTAATTTGAATATACAAGCAAGGAATATACTTATAAAAACCCTGTTAGATAATTGTTCCTCATTCTATCTCAAATCACCCAAACAGAAACTTGAATATATACTTAGCCCAACTATTCAAGTTATACCGGCTGTTTTCACTTTTATAAAACAATCATTAGAATTAAGAAATAAAAGGTCCACATCGGTGTAACATATAAGGAGTAAATTACTTAAATTGCGCCTATTGTATAAATACATTCATTGTTCTTTGTTTTTTTTTTCTTATTATGAATTGTATTGCTTGACCCATATGGGTGTATTATGCAATAAAGAATTAAGGATAAAGTCTACTTTGTAAAAGTGCAAGGATGTGCCAATCAAACGAGTCCCGAAATTCGTAGTTTCAATAATATCCAGATAAAATAAGATTTTTATTCTATTTCCATGTGAAATGCTATAGCAACATTTAAGTCATGATATTATACAGAAAATTTGAGAAAATATTAACTTCAAATCTGTGTCTATGTCCCTTTCAATAGATGTCATAAAATTTTCATTAATTCTGTATTATCTCCCCTTGAAAGAGGATGTAGTCCTTATTTGAAGATACATGAATTTCCTCCCGAGGATGCTTTTGTGGCATGTTCGGTTGAAATTGGTCCATTGGTTCATGAGAAGAAGTCGATAATGTGAGAAGTTTACAGACGACAAACGGGCACCGGACACCCTTCGATAAGAAAAGCTCACTTGAGCTTTCGGCTCAGGTGAGCTTAAAAAAGCTGATCGTCATCACTAAATAATAATAATAAAAAAGAAATAAGAATTAGATATTACTTAGACAAAAATTCGTTAGATATAAATGCGAGAACTACGGTATAGTTAAAATTAAATTAAGTCAATTTTTTCTCGTTATTACGATATTTAACGTCTTGTTGACTTTTGGTTACGACTTTCTTATGTCGTAATTAACGAGTTTTAAGGAGATAAGTCTGATCAAAGAAAACTATAATTTTGCTAACTCACGAACTTACAAAAGCCCATTTAACTCATTTTCGTAGGTAAAAAAAATAATATAAATAAAATAATCGAAACTTCCGCGAATAAACGCGAAACTTTCGCGTTATTACTCGTAACTTTCGCGAATAAACGCGAAACTTTTGCGTTATAATGCGATTTTTTTTTCAACCTACGAAACTGAGCTCAATGGGCTTTCGTACGAATTGTCTCAGTATGCTTGATCAAAGCTCCCGGCTCATTATTACATTCAGAGAGGAACGAACGACACTCCTGCAAGGGAGATTGCTCCTGATCGTCTTTTGACAAACGATCTGCTAGCGAAGATGAAATCTAGCTCCATCTACAATATTTCTGACTGGCAAATATGAGATATCAAAGATGGACCTTTAATATGAATATAAGATCTCTATTGGAGGGGCAATAGTAAGATTTGGTGCTTAAGCAAATGTTAATGAATTAATTCAGAATTAATTCATACCATGTGAAAAATCACTACATATATAGTATTACCGTCAAGCTAAGTAGTAGGTCAAGAAAACGCATCATAAAAGTTAACTGATATATATCAAATGGATTTTGCGTCTATAACGTTTGCCAGTTTTTTGTTGTATGATTGGTTTGATAGTTTGGTTAGAGTTAACGTTCGCTGACATAAAGGAGCTCTACTGTAAAAACTTCTGAATTTATTTACCATTTCGATTAAACCACTATAAATGGTACCTCTTCCAATGAGGATGAATTCTTTTTCGATACTGTCACCATTTCCGTTGTATATAGAAGGAACTCTCTCTCTCTCTCTACCTCTCTGAGTCTCTCTCTCTCTCTCTCACTCAAACCAAGCATTTAGGGTTTGAGATAAGAGGAATAACTCCTCCATTCCACGGCATTCTGTCTTAAAATTACATAGAATAGTGCTTTCGTTGATTCTTTACCCGAGTTTACTTTCTGGGTCGGAATATATGAACTGTATATATACATGTAATACATATTCAATTAGCACATGAATTGTTTTAACATATTCACTTTTAACAATTTGAATCATGATCATTTTCAAAATACATGTAATAAAAGTTCACCTAAAAAAGCATTTATTATGTTAAAAAGTTTTTATTATGCTTTTCATTCTTTGATTTTGGATAAGGTAAATTTGAATATATATCTTATAACTCCTCTATACGATCTACGAAACTTTAAGGGGGGGGGGGGGGTGATGATCCAACAATTAATAGTATTGTTTTGTTCTCTCCAATCAGGATGTTCTATGCATTTTGATTAAAATCTATCAGACCAATCGACAAAAGTACATTATATACATGTAGATTGTTATCAGTAACGGCATTCATTCATTAGTTATGCCAGTGGAGGAAATTCTGCTTTCTCTGCAAAACTTCCACAGGTACGCTGTTAGGCCGGAAACAGACTATAGTGGTATTTTTACGGTCAGAGTGTGGGCTCCCATGCGTGACGGGCCGGGAAATTTAGAGAGCGTCTGCTTTCTCCATAGGTGTAGTGAAGTCAGAAATCGGATAAAATGATTTTTATACAAATGGGTATATTTTTATGAATAATATTGAAAAATGAATGAAGTCACCTGGTTTGTGTTTGTCTTTTGGATGTTAATTTTACCTGTAATCAAATGCCAAGGTAAGTCTACCTGTCGGAAAGAGTGTGTGATACAATCTTATCTAAGGTTGCGGTTTGAACTAAATTCGATTTTTATATTTACCTTGATTAAAACGGGATTTCATCTTATCTAATGGAACATATATTTATAGGAACGGAAAATGTTAAAATGTCAGCAGTATTTTAGTTACTTCGTATTTCTTGCACCTGTAATCGACATACTGGGGCACTTTCGAAGCTAATTCCAATAATCTTTGGAGAATTAACAGATTAACTTTATAAGGGAATCATTTGCCCAGAGTATAACTTAAATTAAAATTTTTGCAGTGTCAGAAAGGTTTACCTATTTTAATAATAGAATGACTGTTGTTATATTCCTCTGTTGCACATAAATTTTATTCTTGCGACAGTTGACATGTTCAGTAAAAAAAATATTTAAACATTTAATTTACATTAATATGCAATGTGTTTTAACACGAAACTAACATCACTTCCTCATTTTATAGTCTGATCATCTGATAATTCGATGATATGAGGCTGTAAAGATTGGGAGCTAATGAGTTAATCGTCGCCTCCAACTGTTGCTTTAGATTTTGATAGAATCAAACAAAAACTACGTCAGGGGGTAAAATCATTTAACGGTTCTTTCCCGGACATGTTTAGGGTTTAATGTACCATCTTACAGCTTTCGCATGCACTTTCCTCAAAGTGCTAAAAAATGTTCGCCCATTTAATTAACCTACCGGTTTCAAAATTTTAGCTGTCTTCCCAGTGTTTTAGTTAGTGGGTGCAAGTGCCTATAATACATATGACATAACAAGTAAGAGATGTACAAGGTATTATACCTGAAAAATTGTTCGCATTTCTACAGAAAGCGTTTGGGTAACGTTTTCGTACTTTGAGCTTTTTTATTTGATGTCAAAGCTATTCAGAATATGTTACGATAAGGCAGCGTATTTTACTTATTCAGATAACAGCACCAGTCAACACCTTGAATGAGATCTGTGGACATTATAGGTCGAGGAATTGTCGTTTTATTGGTTTAAGGCATAAACGCTGTTACGGTAGAAATTGCAGATAAAAGAAGTTTGTGTGAAGTCCCCCTTCCATGTAGAAATTCTTGTTTGATTTCTGTAATTAAACTATTTGTTCCCTTTTAATGTGAGGACATTCACGAGAGCCCAGATGAGCTCCAGTGTGTGTCGATTAAGGTGAATATTTTGACGTAGAGTTCCCCCTCTTCATTGTTGATGAGAAACATACAGGCCTCGGATTAAAGTGGCTTAAACACCAATAGCGTTAATGAGATCTTATCTAGTTTCACAACTATCTTGTTGCATATGTTTTTTTCTTAATATATGAATCGTTTTTATCACATTAGCCTTAGATTTTCGGATAACCTCATATCTTGCTAAGTCACCTAGTAGTTTTATTTTTGGAGCAATGTGCAACTATATATCTATTATTCAGAAATTGGAATAAAGCTTTCTAAGCTAAACTTTATACTGTTTAAATGGTCAACTACAGAATGTCTGATATTTTTTCTTAAATAAGCCTGTACATATTAACAAAAAAAAAAAAAATTACGGAGACAAGGATTAAGTGTAAAGCTGACCAAGACAGTTCCTCTTCCCCGTCATCAACCCCCCCCCCCCCCCCCCCCCCCCCCACATTTCAGCCGCAGTAATATCTCGATTCATTAAAACATCGATTCCGTTGATCTTAATTTGCGAACTATTTTGAATTTATCTATGTTGCGTTTATGAGCTTGTTGAAACTATAACCATTGTCATGTCCAACTTGATTTGTACTACTTCATCCCCCACCCCACCCTAAAGTAGCTGCAGATCTGTAGCTCGCTGGACTGAAAAAAAAATGGGATGGACGATTCTTGTTAACTTATCATTAACTGATTATCCTCACCTGGTTTGAAATAATAATAAAAAAAAAAAGGTGATGGAGCAGTCATCGATCCATCCCAATTTTTTCAGACCAGCGAGAACTCTACAGATCTGCAGCTAACCCTAAAGTAGACGCAATGTAGTTTCTAACGTTATATCTTCCAGAATATTTCAAAATGAGTACGTCTACACGTGGAAATAAGAACAGAATAAGAACAGAGACTGAGTCAGTAAGTACCCGTCGAGTGTGGGTTAACTCGCTAATAGGCTGTACTGTAGATGAAAATCGAATTATATGAAGAACGATTTAACCATTGACTTATTGGAGGGAAAAGCAAATATACTATTTCAGACTCAGAAGTGATATTTTTTCAGATTTTAAGAATTTATAGCTTCGTTTCAGTGGCAAATTGTTATGGTGTTCAAAATAAACATACTAATAATACAGCCATCCATTTTACGAATGGTGGTAAGTGTAATCTCAGCGAGATTTGTAGTGAACTGGTCTGAAGAATTTGGGATGGATCGATGACTGCTCCATCACCTTTTTTTTTTATTATTATTTCAAACCAGGTGAGGATAATCAGTTAATGACAAATGAATAGGAAAATTTAGGTATACTTGTAGTATAACATTGAAGTATACGAAAAGATTGAAGATGTATTAATCAGCATGATCGAGGTTAATTAATTGGGACGAATCGCCCAAATGGGATTATTAAAAACTCGTCTTATCAGAGTTTCCGAAAAAAACCAAATATTTTCTATCAGTCATTCGGACTGATGACTTAATATGTTCTACCAGTCCGAAGCAAATTCTATCAGTCCGAACTCCGAATAAATTCTAGTATAATTCATGATGTAATTCAAAAGAATATGACATTGGTGGGGACTGGTCATTTCATTTCACCTGAAAGTACACATCAAATTGCTGCAGAACATCAATGCCAACCTAACTGCACCTTGGAAGTACCCAGATTTAGTGTGAATGATTCTGCTGATCGTAACAACTCCAGTTGTGAGACAATTAATGCAATAGATCAGCTAGGGTACAATTAATTAAAATAATCTAATATGTCTCGAGACAAGCAAGCCCTCACCACAGTTAGAATATGTCCCATATATTGCTAGTTGAAATGTAGCAAATCAGAGTGTATCTTCTCAAAAAGGAGATTGAAGAATACAAAAGGAGTTGTACTGGAGTAATTACTGGAAAAATTTTATTGACCAAAAATAAGTAGATTTTTTTATTCAATCAATTCATGAGTTACCATATGTGCCACCCAATCACTTAATAAGTGTAGGATCTAAGCAAAACTGGATTCCTGGTTGATGGGAGATGCCCTTTACAAAAAGGCAGAAAATAATGTGTTCATTCCTTATTGAGATTTTTATCATCAATTTTTAATTTAACTTTAATTTTGAAAAAAAAAAAAAATTCCCTCCCTCCCTCCTGGGTCTGAAACCTCCCAAGCGGCAATTCCAAACAAACAATTTTTTAAGGAATGGATGGCCTTAGAATTATCTGCCCCAGTTTTTTTTTTTTTTGGATATATTGCTGGAAAGTAACTTGCTAAAGGGTTTTTAAGATTACCATGAAAATACAAAACTTTACGGGTACAAAAAAAACAAAAAAACAATGAATTGTAAACAGAAAATGATCGGTCATGTGGACCGGTGATATAACAGGGTTAGAAACTCCCTAAAATTACAACTCGCAAATAATTGCGAGTACCAAGAAAGTGAACTCGCAATTTTACAAGACTACTTGCAATTTTCATATAAAGTTGAATTTATATAAATTAAATATAAATTATATAAACATGTAACTTAAGGAAAAAGTAACTATTGTACAATACACAAAATACAACTACAGTGTGGCTTTTATTTGAATTGCTGATTTAAATCAAAAGCATTGTGTTCTGTCATATTATATAATTTTGCTACAGTTTCAATGCAAAAAAAATCGACTTGCAAGTTTTTGCGAGTTACCTAATTTTTAACTCGCAATTTGGGAATTTTAACTCGCATTTTGCGAGTTGTATATAGTGAATTTCGAACCCTGTATAACGAATTGCATCGAACATTTCAATTTTCTGTCAGTTTTGCTGGTAGGACAGGCCCCAAGACCATAAACTGAGAATAGACTTAAGTCAAAATTTTGATTTTTGATATCTTGAGTTTTCCTTAATGTATTTGCTTAAAAATTTGCAATTTCACATAACATTTAAATTAAAATATATGATGAAAATTTTGTTTCAATATCAAAATTATTTCAAAAGTTATATTGGTTTGAAATGTTGACTTAAGTCTGTTCTCAGTTTATGGTCTTGGGGCTGGATGGTTTTCAAAAACTCTGTTATCATATGATATTTAACAGTTTGGATATAATAATTCATTTTGGCCATAAAAAGAGTAAATCTGCATAAATATGAAATAAAATTGAATGCAACTTTTGGCAAGCAAGTTTTTTCTATAACCCATATGTTTGGAAGTTTGATCCCTTAATCTCAGCGAGATTCATAGAGACTAAAAATTTTGGTCTGATGTCTCCATGAATGAAGAGGCGCCAGACCAATATTTTTAGTCTCTATGAATCTCACTGAGATTATGATCCCCAAGAAGTTAAGGAACTTCCAAGGGATCAATCTTCTAAAGAGTGGGAATACATCAAAAGTTATTGATTTTGAAGCATTTTGATGTAAATTTATAACATTTTTAGTTATATGAAAAATATTAATTTTTTGCAGTGTTTTATATACCAGTTGGAATACTTTATCCTGAACAGGCTATTATATCCCATTTGGGAGCTTGGTCCCAACCTGTTAATGAATGTACATTTGTATTGCATATTTAGGGCCATCAACAGATGTTTTGAAAGGGGGATGCACTGAGGGTCTGGGAGGGGTACCCCCTCTGAGCCAGATTTTTTATGTCCTACCATGAATATGGCAGGTCATGTCCATCTTCCATTTCTCTGTCCTTCTGTCATGCATTGCAATTAGCTCAGTTTCAAAGAAACTATTCAAGATAATTTTATCAAACTTCATAAGCTGATACATATTGATGAGAGCTATTCAACTGCATCATGATTTTTTGATGTTGACCTTTCTTTTGACCTTGACCTCACTTTTCTTTAATAAATGTTTAGCTCAGTTTTGAAGAAACCATTTAAGATAGTGTTATTAAACTTCATATGCTGATACATACTGAAGTAAGCTATTCAATTGCATCAACAATTTTTGACCTTGACCTTTCCTTTGACCTTGACCTCACTTTTCTTAAATTAGTGTTTAGCTCAGTTTTAGAGTAACCATTCATGATAGTGTAATCAAACTTCATATGTTGATACATACTGCTGTGAGCGATTCAACTGCATTAACATTTTTTGACCTTGAACTTTCTTTTGACCTTTACATTACTTTACTTAAATTGTGTTTAGCTCAGTTTCGAAGAAACCATTCATGTTCTTTTTTTCAAACTTCACATATAATATATATACTAATGTAAGCTTTTCAACTGCATCAATATTTTTTGATCTTGACCTTTCCTTTGACCTTGACCTCACTTTTCTTAAATTAGTGTTTAGCTCTGTTTAAAATAAAATATTGAAGATAATTTCAGCAAACTTAACATGCTGATACATATTAGTGAGAGCTATTTAATGCATCAAAAACTGTTGACCTTGACCTTTCCTGTGACATTTACCTCACTTTTCTTAAATTTGCATTTTAATTAGTTTTAAAGAAACCATTTAAGATTTTTTTTTAAATGTAAGCTTTTGCATTTATACATAATTTGGTGAGAATTTATCATCTATATCCATTTTGTTAGATTTTAATTTTAAAGAAACTATTCAAGATATTCTCATCAAACTTCATACACTAATACAAATTTTCATCTGTATTACTAATGAAGCCTGGTCGTGGCATTCATGTCCTATGGATATACTAGTCATTATTTATTTTATTGTAATTAAAGTTTCAAAGAATTGTCTTCTGCATAAGTATAAAAAGTACTGTTTTTATTTTCAGATGTAGGGTTATTTCCAAATATCCTGAATTTAGCAACAAGGTCTACCATAACTGTAAATGCTACTTGTGGAGAAGAAAAGAGTGAGGTTTTCTGTAAGCTTGTGGACCATGTTAAAATTTTCCCATACAAGAACTCACACTGTGACATCTGTGATGCAAGGAGTCGAGATGAAAGACGCCGTCATCCCATCACTAACGCCATTAATGGGAGGAACTCATGGTGGCAAAGTCCAACACTAACCAATGGAGCCCTGTATAATTATGTAACAATTACATTGGACCTCAAACAGGTAAATTAGTATGCAAATATGAGAAGTCTTGAAAGACATTCAAGTTCAATATGCATTTTCTTAATTATGTACAATACAGAAACATATTACTATGATATTTTTTTTCTCTACGAAGTATTTTACATATGAAATAAAGGATTAAAACAAAAAAAAATCTGTCTATAAATTTTTCACATCATAGATGAAGTGCTTGTGAAAATTTGATACAGGGCAGTGGCGGATTTAAAGGGGGGGGGGGGGGCGCACCCGGCGCGCACCCCCCCCCCTAAAATTGTCATAGCTAGCGTAAATCATAGTTTCGTCGAGAAAATGTAAAAATGTCTACTCGGTAGACCTCATTTTTACCCCACAAAATCTCTAAAATCCAGGAGCTTCCGAGGGCTTCGCCCCCTGGGCCCCCACCAGGGCTTTGCCCTGGACCCACTGGAGGCCTCAAGGCGGCCCCCAGACCCCCTACCTACTTTTGGCGCCCCCTCTAACTTCAATTCCTGGATCCATGCCTGCAGGGGATGTGAAAGTTCCTTTAAATAAGTAGAATGCTTTTTGTTTCATTATCATGACTATTTGAAAGTCATGGTTGAACATCCTTAGAACTCTTTTTTTTTTGTTGTAACTAAATATCTCCTGTCTGCAAATTCTATTAATATGATTAAAGTATGTTTTAGATTCCCCCTCTCTCTCGTGCATGCTATTCAATCTACTTAAACATACAAAACCATTCCCTTTATAAAAATGAACATCATTTATCTAAGCTTACCATAATGTATACTTTGAGTATACATGCATATAGATCAGGTTAATATCTATGTATAGAGACCTATGTTCACACTGACACTAAAAGTTTGATGTGCAAACATAAAAGGCACACATGTATATAGGTGACTCTGATCTTGTTTGAATAACATTTGATTGACCTCATGAACTCTTTTTCCCCAAAAATACATCATTAAAGTGTTATCACACACATATGATATATAGATCTGCAAAGGTTTAAAGGGGTAAGGAGTTTAAAAGATTTGACAAAAATGTCCCCTTGCTGAGACTTTTTACATTGTGGTATCAAATAGTATCTGTGAGGAAAGAAATCAGGACAATTTTGAAATATTGACCAGAAAACATCATAAGAAAAGTAAAATGTAGTATAACTGAATTTTTCTTGTGTATTTGTGTGAAAGAAACCTCACATTGAGTGTTTCTTGTTCCTTAGTAGATTTCCCTATTTAATATGTTTTAATATTGAAAAATAATGTATATATATGGTTATTTTCGCCCTTTCACACTTTCAAATAATTTTGCCCCGCTTTAAATTCACCCAATCACAGGTCTGTTTAAGAAATTATACTGTGTTTTTTGAATTCGCCCCATTTTAATTTGCCGTCCTCTGAGCAGGGCGAAACGGACAAAAAAAAGGGGGGGGCCAAAATTTCCCTGTATACAGTAATCACTCAAAATCACTGGTTCAAAGAAATAAATTTCCAAAGTATATTATCGTTTGTCACTTAAAAGGAGAATGCTAGAATCATCTTCAAATACTTGAAGTCATTTATTTTTTGATAAGAATAAAGTGTTGTAAATCCAACAGTAACCTATATCCTTTCAAGTTTGGTACTGCAAAAATCGAATGTTAATCCACTAAGTCCAGGCATTAGGGTGATGATAACAGTCTCAGATTTGTAACATGAAATGATTATTATTATAAATTGATACAGGAAAAGGAAGATGAACAGATGAAAGGGAAACAGTGAAAAAAATCTGACTTAAATCTGAAACTGCAACATGATCCTTGGGACTGGACTCTCAATTGTCTATGACTGGGGCTGAGAAACAATTCTGTTCCTAATGCTAAATAGTTAACATTTTCCCCAAACTGAATGAAGTTAATACCCAATTGTCAATAGTAATGATAAATTGATGTTGATTGTCAAGTCAAAATATTTTTAAATATTTTCCCCATAATGCTTCAAGTTCTACCAATTGTAACTTTACCCAATACCAAAAAGTGGTTAAAAGCCCTGTTAAGAAGTCAAACCACCCTCCCCCACCCCTGCACAAATTCATGTAATTTTGAAATTGGACATTTACCTTCTGTATGTGTCTTCCATGTTTTCAATTTCACAAGTTTGTAATGGGTTGAGCCATTACTATTATTATTTTTTTTTTTTATTTTAACCTAATTAATATCTAGTTCATATAATCATATTTCTCCAGAGTCACTTTGGAACATGTTCTTGTGGTTCGGTAATGCTTTCATTGTGAGGGTATTTGCATAAGAAATATGATCACCACTTCTTCTTCAAGATTTTTTTTTTTCAGTTTTAAAAATTTTCAGAGTATGAACTAGAAGGTTTGCAGGACCTTTAAAAGATTGAAATCTTGTTCTCGCATGCTTCTGATGCCCTCTTAAAAATCCTTTGAAATGTAGACAAAAAGTGTGGAGGAATATTATAAAGAATAGTGCTTTAGCAGACTGGAGATATTTTGCTTGATGAGGAAAGAGATCAAAGATGATTTGTATTTCAGATGTATTGTTGATCAGTAACATGATTTGGTCTGAAATAGTTCTTGTCAGGTGACAAAACTGGTGCTGTGGAATTCATTTTGCTGTAAAAATTCTAATGTACAATGTTGGGTTGTTCATAATAAGTTCTGTATTATAAAACTGTGTAGTTGTACTTTCTGTTTCGACTTTTATCATCTAATAATTATTAGTCATTGATTTAAAAAAGTTGAGACTATCATTCTTTGTGAAAGGGCGCTATTTAGATAGCAAATAACCCAGTGTGAAAGACGCAATCCTATTCTCAAACTCATGTTGGAAGGGAGGGGGCTGGAAAGGATGAAATACTTCTTGAGCACAACATTAAACAAGTCTTATCAGTATCTTCTTTATTTCATTAAGATGATTTAATAACAAATAACAGTGCACTTACATTTCTGACACCACTATTCTGTTTTGCACTTTTTTATTTTAACTACAGCAAAATGTTTATTACTATTCAGTACATGCACTGAAGTTCTTTTTTTAAATACAGGTATCTCTGCCTTTGCACAGCTATTTTAAGTCTTTGAAAATCTAATGACTAATTATGCTAATGTTATGCACTTTTCTCATTATAAATCTGCACTGGATCATCTAATGTTTCCATGAGTGACAAAGAGATGCATGCCCAGCAAACACGGGGGTGGAAAAGGGAAGGGGATTAAAATCAGAAGAAACAGAATCCATTGTTGACTCACTCTACCTTATGTTAATTATGTTCTATTGCACGAGGGCAGATTAAAATGTGACTGTTGATTAAAGAATCACAATGTCCAGATGCATTTAACGTGATTAGTCATAAGAAATAATCCTCTTAGCTTTAAAATTGAAGTCTAAAATCAGCAATGATAGTAAAGGGATCTGCCAATGTAAGCTTGATTACAATTATAACGCAGGAGTTAAAACCTAAGGGGCAATAAATTCAGAACTTATAAAATGTGTAAGACAGATCATACATTCAGGTTACCAAGAAATCTTTTTCACAAGTTTTTCACTTTAACTAACTGTATGTACTGGTAGTTCAGTTTAACTAATTAATGTATGTACTGGTAGTTGTGGCTGAAAAATTGTGAACTGTGTAATATTATCAGTTTCACAAGGTGTTGGATATACTTTCTAATACTGACCACTTGATTTGACCACCCAGATATCCAAAAGTATTTGATAAATTAGATCCTATCTTCACCCTGATGCCCAAGGTTTAATAGTTGAATTAAATGAAACATACAGAAAAAGTTCATTTAACAGTGGGAATTGAAGTTTAGGGAATATTTACATGATTAATCTTTTTAACTTTGCAGTACACTTTAGAGAAAACAAAAAACCATTCAAACACACTTCACTTAGAAAATATCAGGAATGAAGTAAAGTGCAGTAGCAATTCTTGCACCACTTAACAGAAAAAGTTACTTTCAACTCTTGAAACCCTTTTCAAAGGGCAGATTAATTGCATATCTAAAAGTTATCTAATCTTGGCAATTGTGTGTTGCACAGTATAGTGAAAAACAATGTTTTTTAAAGCTGTAGTCAATAATTAGATGTCTATACATTCAAAATGAAAAGGAGTTGGGGGGGGGGGGGGTAGGTTGAGTTCTACATTTCTCCTACACCTACAAAGGTATTATAAAATGTAAAGACCTAAAATTTGAGTACTGGATAAAATATCTGTCTCCATATGATTTAGTAATTACAATAAATTGAACATAAGCACATTTGATATTAGCAGTAAAAAATTCAGAGTCACACACAATTACCTTTCATTTGACCCAATACATTGATGAATAGTAGTATACTGTGTGCTGTGAGATGAAAATTCCTTTTGTTCTAAATTTTTACAGATAGATATATCTTATTCAGTACTTCAATGTCTGTTCTCTTCAGAAAAGGTCAGTTACGCAGATGAAATACTTATCCTGCCTTTGACTGGAGCATTGAGTGAATACATGAGTTTCCTTTCTTTTTCTTAATTGTTTTTTTGTTGTAACAGTGAAGTTTGGAGTTTAAAAGACAGCATTCATTAGTGTCAGATAATCCTTAGTTGTACTTCTGAAGGAGATTGGTAATTAATACAAGAAGCTGAGGAATCAACACACCTCTGATACATCAGCTATACCTTTGTACATAAGACTTTAATCTGACAATATCCTGACATAGGCAAATTAAGGAAGTTTGGAGTTTATTATCTTTACAAAAACTCATATATTTAAAAGTACAAATGTCAATTCTGCGTGATTTGGTCCTCAATTGACCGTGAAAGGGTTTAACAAGGTTTGTAAAGACCTTACACTTCATCTGATTTGTTATTTATGAGCTTGTTTGCTTTGTTGTCTGGGTTTAGTTTTTCTGTTAGAACACTACACCTGTAAAAGACTTGGAATTTGTTGATGAAATGAGTTTTAAAAAAAAATATTGTAAGAAATTAAAGTTATTCAATACACTGGATCAAATGAAATGGAAATGTGGCTTTAACAATTACTCTGTCAAGAATGATTAAGAATTACACATATTTTATGCAAGACTGAATCCAGCTGGTTATTCCCCCTGAATAATTAGATATTTTAACTTCGTTATGTTTAAAAATGGCAATAAAAAAGACCACCATATAGCATTATTGATGGTTGGCCTGCTAAGTTATCCCTGCAAGGTAGTAAAATATAGTTTAGATGTCTGCCAATATGTCTTTACTTTAGGGCTTTAATGTCAAATTTTAGGAATTCTTTATTATTAGTCATTACAAAAAATTATAATCTATGTAATGAGTCATAAGTGATGATAGAATTTAGGCTTGTATAGCACATACACACAAACTGGTATAACTTAAGTCATGCAGAATTTTGACTTGGTTGAAGAATTTCAAAGTGATGTAGCATATTCGACTTGCGTGACCAAAGCAAGTGTATGCATGTGGCAAGAAAGAAAAGTAAACAGGGCTTTCAAATTGCAGAGTGCTTTAAGGCATAATTCTGGTACAATGCAGTGCAAAGGGTCCCATTAATTTTCTTGAGTGTGGTGGGTCGAAATAACAGCCACCTACCCCGTAATTACCCTATCCCACACCTTGCAAGCTAATGAACTCGTGCCTAAAATCTCTAGTTTGTAAAAGCACTGCACACACAAAATACAATTATTTTCAAGGTGAATTTTAAAGGGGCTGAGTCAGGCACGGTTTCTTGAAACCACAATTTGCTGTACATGATCATGAACAGGATGTTCTCTGATTTTTTTGTGATAAACTTGAAAAATACGTAAAGCTAGCTACATTAACTTGAAAGAATTTTACCAATAAAGGCACTTCTTTCTAAAAGAGTAAAATTAGGACTTCTAATGAAATTAATAAATTTTAGTGTGCGCTGGTCATGCCAAACTAGAGTACGTGGTATTGGGAACTGGGTACTTCAAGGGAGATAAGAACCCCCTCGATTTATCTTAATATTATCAGTGTCCAATATTTGCAGGGATTTAAGTGTTGAAAGAGACATTGTAAATGCCTGTAAAATGTTTGTTTTGTTGTTTGATATATCATCAGTTCTTGGGGACAAGGGGTTGTCATGTATGAAGCCTCTGAATTCTGGATCTTAATCAGGTCAATTTTGTTCATTCTTCAGGCAGGTGACTGTGTATAGAATCACAAAGATCTCAACTCTTTGATCTTGTATCAAACATCTTTTAAGTGTATATTGTTGAAAGAGTACAAAGTATTTATATTTTCTGGCAAATATATATATGCAATATTACTATCATGTTTCATGCATTTTATTTTGCCATTTAATTTTTTGTACTAGTGATTAAAAAAAGTCTCTCACAAAGTGTCACGCTTCTTTCATTTTTGTGGGGTTATTTGAACCCTCCATTTGTAAACTATATTTGCACATTTTTTTCTAAAGTTTTTTTCTTTTTACCCTCTGGATATGACAAAGTGATTTTGAAGACCCAACCACTTATTTTTTAAGTATTTTACCCAGGAAATCTCGAATCCTCGGATGTCTCGAAGTTTTTTCTCAGTCCCATTGAGTTCGAGATAATGAGATTTGACTATATCCTTTTTGCCAATAGATAATCTTGATTGTCTGAAATATAGAATGATAAATGTAGGTCCTACTAGGTTTCCACTGTTAAGTATTATATTCATACTTAGAGCAAAGCTAAATGCACGTCTGGATTTAGGATTTTTAATTCAATAATTTTACAAAGGATATGATACCAGATGAAAATTTGGATTACACATTTGTTTAAGCCAATCTAATATAATTACCAGTTAGTCTGGGATTGAGTGACCCATTTCTATCTTTGGTGGCAGGTGCAAATTAGAACCAATAATAAAAGCTTTTAGCCATTAACACTTGCCAAATTGAAAATAAGGACGATAAAGATGATTTACTAGCAGATTTAAGCCTTTGAAATCCCAAGAGCTCACACAAAGGGAAACGGACTATAGTTTTGGAGACAGGTTATGTTTAACAGCTGATAAAGGTCAAAGTTCAACTCACCTGGAAAATATATAGATTTAGCTTTATTGCTTGGGATTATGTCATGTTACATGCAGTTTTATTATTTGTTAAGCAAACACAATTGGTCGATATGATATAGGGATGATCTAATATTCATAACACTGATTTGAACAAGGAGTACAAACAGTGAACTAACTTTTGTATTGAAGTTAAACACCTGATTAATGGTTTGCATGTTCATTTCTTCTAAAAGATTTCTTTGCAGGGGGTGTCTGAGATATTGTAAGAAATAGGTAACACTTTTGATCTATCTGATAGAAGAGATTTAATTACTAACTCTTTGAAAGGAAATGTTGATACAGGGATGCACCCTGGTCATAAATTCCTTCTTCAAGTGGCTGGCCACTACATAGAGTCGAAGAGATGAATTATTTTTACCTCTTGAATTCTCAGTGGAGGTAGGCCTGTTAAAGTTGGTGCTTCTATACATTGACTAAGATGTAAGTGTGTCACAACTGTAAAATATAGCCATATAACTTTAAACAGCATGAAATGTGTTTAATGTGTACTTAAAAATGAATGGGTAAGGGGAAAATAATTCAGGTGACATGTAGAACAGAGTCCTGTCCTTCTTCCATGAAGGAGCTGCTCATTTCATAAGCATAACTAATATGAAATACATTAAGATGTTTCTGAGCATTGAAGAGAGCTTAAGTTGTAGGAGTCAGTTCAGATTTATATATGGCTGGATACCTTCCTCCTACCACCAAGAGACACCATACTGAAGTATAATGTGCTAGAAATGGCAGACCAGTAATATATTTACAAGATAATTCAATCAAGTCATTTATGTGTCAGTAGGGACATAAACAGTGTCACATAAATGTCACTTCTGACCACCGCTCTGTCCACTACAGATATTTGAATTACGCTGATGAATGTCAATGACCACAGTCACTGGTTCTTTTAAAAGAATAAAATTTTACTTATAATGTTGGTAGTTTTATTATTATATATGATCATTAGTTTAAGTAGGGAGAATATACAATTTTATGCATAACTTTTTCATATTTATACATTGAGTGCATATATACTGTTAGCTTATGTATATTATATGCTTAATAAATTTTTTGAATGGTGTGGATGTGTAATATACCTGCAGTGTTTGTATATTAAAAGATGTTATGAATAAAGAGCACAAAATTTAACAGTTCTTGGTCTGAAATTTAAGAAAAAAAAGAAGAAGATTTAAATGCTTATTTTTAAGTGTTTTTTCTTCCAAACAATGTCCACTTACTATCAGCTTAGAGAATCAAAGTTAAAAATCAAATTGTAACAATGCTTGTATTGAAGAAAGGTTTTGGAATTTCAATCAGTTAAAATCTCTCATGCCTGATTTGCTTAAATTTTAATGGAACAATGTAATGTTTTTCTAAGTAAGAGGAAAATGAGGATTTATTACCCCACAAGAGGACAAAGTGTTTCTGACAAGGATTTTAATGTTTTTTTCTTTATAGAGTTGCAGGTCATGATCAAGAGCTATTGAAATTGTAGCTGACATGTCAAAAGAATTTATTACTACAAATTACATCAAATCTTAGGAAATTAAGTATATATTAATAAATTATAAAAATATCCTGTCTCGGTGTAAAAGTATATATGGGAAATTTCTCCTGGTTCGATCATAGTTGAATTTGGTGAAACAGAGTATGGGAAAACTACACAGGTGCCTGACTACAATAAGAAAAGGTTCTATGAGATACATAATAACCATTATCGTAAAATATTTAATAACCACTCACAATGAGAATAGACCTGAAATTTTTATTGATGCATTTTAAGTGAATGATTTCAATGAGAGGCACTTTTTGCCCTGAGGTTTCCATGTTGAGAGGGATTATGTTTATTTAATTTGATTTACTTCAAAGTTAACAGTACCTTTATTATGTTGATACAATCTCAATTTTTTTTAATTTGAATTTTGCTTCTGTAATTTATGATAATAAGGTATTTTGATTGGTATACCCACCATGAGAATATTGAATTAAAGTTTGCTATTCTGATTCCAGGTTTATCAGGTAGCTTATGTCATAGTGAAATCAGCCAACTCCCCTAGACCAGGAAACTGGATTTTAGAGAGATCTATTGATGGTATCAATTACCAGCCATGGCAATACTTCGGAATCCGTAATCGTGACTGTAAAAAAAGATACGGTCTGAAGGCTAGTCGCAAAATCCCAACCTACCTCAGAGATGATGAAGTCATCTGCACAACAAAATACTCAAAAATCTACCCACTGGAAAATGGAGAAGTAGGATTTGAACCATTTTTTAAAATTCATTTGTGGACAAGAAGTAAATGTATATAGAATATCAGGCAGTAGTTCATTTTTGCAAGATATCACCAGGAGATCAAATAAGAATGTACATGATCATATATTTAAATATGTAGAGAACATTCATATAGGACTGCCAGCTTAATGCTATATATTTATGTTTTGTTTGCAAAACACAACATTATATAAATAATGAGATGTAATATCAGTAATATAAACTGCATGGTTTAATTTTGTTTACAAAGTGAGCTATCTTTTCAAAAATGTTGACATTTTTCAATAGAACTGGTTTCAGTATGGAGTTATTTATAAATGAATGAAAAAAAATATCTGTGTTTGATTTTATTTTATGTGTACGTCATTTTAAGTGATGAATCTGCTACCTTTACCTGTTAATATGCGTGTAAAAGCAATGTACCTTAATTCATACTTTTTTGTAGATTTTCATATCGCTTGTCAATGGAAGACCAGGAGTAAAGAAACCCAGCCCGACATTACTTGTAAGATTACATCTCTTATACAGTATTAAGTTTTGTTCTTTCAAATTCATTTAACATTAGCATGTATGATTTCCCATAAATTAAGCTAATTTTCCACATAGTATATTTACTATGTAAACATGGTTCTTGGTGTGAAGATAAATTTCTGGCATTAGCTGTTTTGTCAGGTTGATGGGGTTCTCTTGTTTTATGAATGCTTTAATCTGATACAGACTTCAAAGTAAAGGTACGAGGCTTGATTACTCTTTTAGATGATCCACAACTGATCGTAAAATGCAGGAGGTTTTATGTCTCAAAAATTCCTTTCTAATCCCTTCTAATAAACATGGACTTAGCTGTTTAATCAGAGATGCATGAGCAGATCAGGTCTCCCTCGGTAAACTCAGGTTTCCACTAAATGACTCCATCAGTGTTTTATGGGAAGCATGTTTGGTGGGGTGAAAAAAAAAAAAACCAAGAAACTTGATGATACAGGTTAATTTTCTAAAAAATTAACTTGATATCAGAATTTTTTTAATGGTCCCACTGACATGTAAGAAACTTAACCTTGTTTGATATTTTACATATACCGGTACATGTGTCTTAGAGATATGTCATTGATATAAAGTCCTTTTGATTACATCTATAGATTAAAAAAATGAAAATAATTATATATTGCCAAAAATAATTTTTAAAAAAGAGGACTTTAGTGAAGTTAATACCCAGTTTTCAAATTCAGTTGTTGTGATCCACATGAAGAGGGGAAGAGCTACATTAATATTACCTTTCATTCCTTACACCCTAATAACCAGTAATGGTTAACACATCAAGCCTTCAATTGAAAGTGTTGGCTTTTGATTCAATCCTCTCTCATTTTTAATCAGTTATGATGCAGCATTTCTGTAACATCATTTAGGGTTTACAAAGATTTCTTCTGTCATTTTCAATCATACCTCCTTTCTTACTTCAGATTTATGAGGTGTAATTGATATAATTGATATATGTGGGTATTTTAAATTGTAACAGGAGTTTACATCAGCCCGCTATATCAGACTGAGATTACAGAAGATAAGGACACTCAATGCTGACCTTATGACCTTTAGGTCAACCAGTGACCTCAAGTTCATAGATCCATTTGTTACCAGAAGGGTAAGCTTATTCTTTTAGGATAGCATTTGGTTTTTATGTACTTTAAGGAACATTCACCATTTATTGGTGTGCACTTTAATGGAAAAATCCAAATAGTCTGCAATACAGTCAATTAGGATTTTAAATTAGTTGAAAATACAGAAAAGGTTTTCAATTCAAGGCTATAATTATGATGGTTTCCAATCCAAACTCTACTCTCACTTAGAGAGGTGTAAAGAGGTGTTTGATTGGAAACTTTTGTTTGCAAAGATGGATAAGTATTTCAATCCAGATTTTTTTTTTATCTGCTGATATTCGCTCACCTGAGTCATGTGACCTTAGTGCTAATTTTGTCTAGCTTCATCATCATTCATACGAGTATCTGCTGGTTGTAAAGTTTTGAACATTTTCGTAAGCTTCCTCTCTGAAACCATAAACCTACAAAATAAAGGAAATCTTCAGAAACCTTTTTCCTGGGCATGAAGAAGTTGCATGGTGATAATAATAAATATGACCCATCTTCTAAGACAAAGAAGTTTTCCAATGAATCTCAAGCTCTGACTCTGGAGTCAGTCAAGGAAACAGATATAACAAAATAATAAAGACCTGAGATCATGCTTCAGTATAATCAAGGAAATAGGTTTTATGCTAAGATTTTCAGGAGTAAGGAGAATCGGTTAAGAATTAATTTGCCTCACCCGAGGCTTAATATCAAGATCATTGAGAAAAAGTATTAAAAAAATTTGTGCAGATCAGATATTGTAAGAAAAAGACATGACAAGTTTACATGTTTTTTAAAGGTAAAGTAGCCTATATGATATGGATGGTATAGAAAAAAATGCTGCATGATTCTCAGGTGACCATAAAGGTCCTAAGGTCCCTTGTTATAGTTTATTCATTTTTGTTATGTAAAGTAAAATTATGTTTAAGGTGTACCAGCATATGTTTAGAACTAGAAAAATACTTCCATATCATGCATAATGTACACAGTCATTGCAGAGGTTTCTAGTGTATGTTTTCTAATGTTTCAGATATAAGGTTTTTTTCTTCAATTTTCTCATTTCAGTACTTTTACTCAATAAAAGATATTTCTATAGGAGGGCAGTGTATATGCTATGGTCATGCAGCAACTTGTTCACCCAGACCCAATACTGATGTAAGTATATATCTCTAAATAATTCCGTGTACTCCTGTAATATAAATATTCATATAGCAATACATGATTGTGTTTTATGATTGTTATAGACATGTCATTAAATGAAAAAATGGTGAAGTGAATTTCAAATGTTAATAGCATTTCATTTGCTATATTGTAGAGACTGTATTGTGAATGTAAGCACAATACCTGTGGCAATAACTGTGAGAAGTGCTGTGAATTCTACTACCAAAAACCATGGCAACCAGGAAACAGTGGCCTTAAATGTGAAAGTAGGACCTTTAGTCATTTATAGCTCTACTGGTCAAGGAACATTCAAACAAAAAAGCTTTCAGCTGGAAAAGTGTTTGTCCATCCATCTAGCATGTCTGTCTGTTTATCTAACTCAAAAGTAGGCTACATCAAGATGCATAATTTAGTGTATCAGTTTTTGATTCTGATGAATGCTGTAGCCACGGTTACTAAAATAGAAATAATTTCTTTCAAACTCCTATTTCTCTTGCAGTTACAGAAAGGGCTTGAAGTTTGAAACCCCAAAATATGACTTCTATGAGTGTTGTGGCCCATGAGTTTCTTTTTAAGCATCTTTTGATCAACAAAGTCGCAATATATGAAAGTGATATGCAGTCGTGATTCGTGCAGGAAAAAAAAAATGTTCAAGTTATGTCCCAGAAGATCAGCTATATATACTTCATAAATTATACTTAAGATAAAAGATGATAAAAGTGAATAATTTTGCTGATTTGTGACCATGTTGAAAGGTTTTACCTATATATTTTTCAGGAAAAAAGCATTTGAAATAAGCCCCATATTTCTTAATTCTATGTTACAAAAAATACTTCATACTTTTTAATGAAATTTGAAAAAGTGAATAAAATGATGATATGAAAAGTGAATTTATGTTTGCTTTTACAGGATGTAATTGTCATGGACACTCTACTGAGTGTGTGTATAATGCCACAGTGGATGCCTTGAAACTGAGTCTGAACACAGCTGGGGAGTATGATGGAGGTGGTGTCTGTATAGACTGCAAGGTCAGGTCAAGGTCATCTTTACAAATTTGAATAATAGAATACAGTGAAGAACAGTAATTGACACCTCTGAATTTTTGTGATAGGACTATACCACTGGAATCAATTGTGAGAAGTGTTTAGAGGGATATTATCGTCCCCTAGGGGAAACACCAAACTCTCGCTTTCCTTGCCGACCTTGTCGATGTGAGGTCACATTGGGGTCAACAGGAAAATGTATTCAAGATGACAGTCTGTTGAATGAAGGAAAGGTAAATCTTATCATATACTTACTTACTCTCAGGCCAAAAAAAATAATAGTCTTGTTTCCTGCTACCCGACCTACCCTAGTTTTTTGCACCCGACCCTAAAGTTTTTTTTAAGTTTTGGAAGAAAAAAAATCAGGAATTTCCGGAATTTCATTGTTCTGTCACCGTAATCGGTTTCCGTATTAACACAAAACAAGCATTTCATGAAATTCTTCTTTTAAATATGGGCTTTCATAAAATCCCACTGCATAAAAAGACATGAAATTTAATTTTTAAAAGACAATATTGACCTGTGACATGTTTAGTTTGATCTTATATTAGTTCATATCCAAAAAATGCTGTCAGAAAAAAATAAAATAAAAATATAAAATAAAATAATTTTCCTACCTACCTACCCTATTTTTTTCAGGCTGGTAGCAGGAAACAAGACTATTATTTTTTTTGGCCTCATGTAAATTTACCTCACCTCGACAAAGTCAAAATAAGCTTATGCTATACCCCCAGCGCTGGCATTAGTATCCAGGTTAAAGTTTTAAGAGTCTGTCCATTCCCAAGTAACTATAAGCCCTACCTGGAATAAACTTTCATGGTTGATGCATATAGGGATGGACACTACCAGACTTGCTTCAGATGCTGGATCTGACCTACAATTTCCAGATGAGTGAATATTATCCCTACGTGAACTAAACTTGCATTGATGATGCATCTAGGGATGTATATTATCCGACGTACTGGATCTGACCTACATTTTCCAGATGAGTGAACAGGTTAAAGCTTTTGGAACAGGGCTGGGATTCATAAACATACTTAAGATTTGTGCTAAGTTTCACACTTAAGTATAAAATAAATTCTTAGCTAAGAAAAAATTCTTAAGTCATATTCATATAAATTCTAAGTGCAATTCTTAGCTAAGTTTAATTCTGAGAAAATTAGAGCACTTAAGTTAGGTCACCCTAGCAACGCATACAATTTCTCGAACAAAATGTGCACTCTTTTGTGATGGAGGTATTTAGTTCCATGTGTATTACTTCACAACTGATACAACTTTGTCATCAACATTGCACTATACTGCATCTTACCAGTTGATAAACATCTCAAAGTCAAAACAAGTTTCTAGTTGGGTGTAATAGCATGGTTTCTTACTGAAAGAGTAAAATGTCTTCTGTAAAGCATTATTTTTATTTTGATAAAGAAAACTTAAGTATTTCTTATCTACTTAAGACACCTCCTGAGGACACTTAACTTTAAGTCAATACTTAAGCACTAAATATGTTTATGAATTACACTTAAGTATTTCTACCAAATTTAAGTAATACTTAGGGGACTTAAGTATAAAATATAAAACTTGAGTGATTTTTTAAACTTAAGATTATACTAAGAAGTTTTATGAATCCCAGCCCAGGTCTATTCCCAAGTAACTATAAATCCTACTTAAACCAAACTTGCATGAATATTGATCTCAGGATGTACATTAACTAGAAAATATTTGATGTGAGAATTATCTTACTTATAGATGGCATTCATTAAGGTGAGCTCTGTAATCTTTGATTACCTAGGTTTGTCTTTAGTGATATACAAAATACATATTTTTAGTTGTGCAGAATTAAGAGGAAAAGATTTGCAAAATTAAGTTACGTAACTACCCCATTGTTTTGGTTTTCTTTTAGAGACCTGGAGACTGTTTGTGTAATGAAGGCTATGGGGGACCAACATGTCAGGAGTGTGCGTACGGCTACTATGGTTACCCATACTGTAAGCCATGTCCATGTAACAGTGCTGGAACACTGAATTCACAGCAGTGCAGTGGAAATTGTGTGTGCAAGGTGATAAGCTGTTAAAACTTTATTGACATGGTCCTTTTTATTTACAAATAAATTTTAAAAAAAATGAATGAGGGAAGATTAGGTAGAAATAACATCTTTGAAAAATCTTGTGTCAAAGTCTTTATGAGGTTTTTCCCACAAAATTCATATGAAAGATGTGATTTAATAATTACACCAAAGTATAAATATGAAATCTTTATTCAAGTTGTTAAAAAACTTGGTTTTCAGGAGAATGTTGAAGGCTTCAAGTGTGACCGGTGTAAGAGGGGATTTTTTAACCTCCACAAGGACAACCCTGTAGGCTGTATGTCATGTTTTTGTTTTGGGGTGTCATCTGTCTGCCAGGCATCTAATCTGGGCTTGATCAAGGTAAGGATATTCAATTGTGTTTATAGCACAAATTTTGTGAACTGTGTCAAAACACCAATCAACATTTACATTTCAACATACAATATTTTTCACTCTTTTGTCTCACATTTTGAATATTAATTGAATCACATTTCCTTAAATTTGTAAAAGTTAATTATATGTAGTTTATTGATTCATCTTATTATGGTATGGTATTTTTTACCCATCCTCTGTTTGTCCATCCATGTATCAATTTATCAGTCTGTCTGTTGGCTTTATTTTGTGTAGGTCATATTTGTTTTTAAGACTTATGATCATCAGATGATTCGTCTTGAAATAGGAGGGGGTTGCAACCCAACAAAAGTCACCGACTTCATTTTAAATTATATGGCTATGCATGCATGCTCAAATCACATCCAGGTTGTATTTAGCTCTCCAGGCCTAGGATCTTGAAACTTTGTTAGATGATGCAGAGAGTTGTGTCATGACCTAAAATTAGATGGCCCATTTTTGGAAAATTCATACCTATATCATATTACTAAAATTATTTTGGGGTTATATAATGTGTCATGCATACTCTAAGGATTATCAATCCTTTGTCATTATTTGCATTTAATCAAGTGTTATAGAATCAATTTCTTATAATTTTCCCCATTAAACTACCGGTACATAAATTTGGAGTCCTCCTGTAAAAATTTATTTTTGAGAATTATTTAGCACATTATAACCTTATGAATATAAAATGCTAGTATATTAAAGGAGTTCATAGAGTTGACATACTTTAAGCATTTGAAAGACATTGAAGCTTACAGAAATGTATGGTATTTTTCATTAGATTGGAGAAGGGGTAAGAATTACATGTGATAATTTAATCCTTTATTGTAATTATATGCTTTTTCTCTTCTTCCAAGTCTTGACTATTACTTTTAGGCTTTTAATTAAATGTGTAACAACAGCAATGGATTATTTCCAAGCTTTAAGGTTATATCACTGCAGCATTTCTGTCACATGACACTCTGTCTTTACACAGTACAGCATGTATTCACATTGTTTTTGTGGTGACACGAGTAAAAGGTTTTAATTCCTTGTTTTTTTTTTTTTTTTGTTTTTTTTTTTTGCAGAATTAAACTTCTTGTTAAGTCTGCTATGACATGTTACTTACTGAAATGGCTTTTGGTACTATATTTTGTACTTAAAGTCACTTGGTCCGATTGAGATGCATAGTTTTCTGACACAATAAATGTACAACTATACATAGAATATGCAAAAAAAAATATATTATGGGACTGGGGGGGAGGGGTTACAAAAATATTTATAAGGAAAATCTTGGTCAAAAACCATGTTGCTGACAAGAAGCTATGAATATTTTATACCACTTTCAAGAGCTAAACAAACCCTTTGGCAACATTTGCATTATGTTCTAGATTCGAGTTCTGCCCAAGCAGTTTCTGCAGTCACATCGTCGTTTGCTCTCTTTCATGTACATTATATAGAAATATGTTGCTTTCCAGTCTTTTTTCCTGTTTGGGTCTCTTCTTTTTACCCAAAGTCAGTTAAAGGTTTTGGATGACCACAGGTTTGTTTAATTTCCGTCATACAATTTGTTTACAAGGTCACTGCTAAAGCTTTGCATTCTCTATTTTTTACTGGAAAAAATTACATTTTAAAATTAGAAATTAATATCTTTTAAAAGAAACCAAATTCTAGGATGTAATTTTTTACTCAAGTGGAAATTTTTTCATGGAGAATTATTTTTTAGGAAAAACCAGAACAATTTGACTAAGTGACTTTAAAATGATTGTATATCAGGTGACATATACCTGATAGGTTCACAATGTAAATATATTACATGTAATACCAAAAAAGAAAATACCTCTTTCTGCTTATACTTTCTGCAAAGCAAGATTTTTTCAGTATGTTCTTGTATAGCAGTTTGTTTAAAGTACTGCTTTATGACCAAAAAAAAAAAAACCCCAAACAAACAAACCTAAAAAAAAAAAACTATTAAAAACATGCTATTGACCTCAATAAAATATGAAAAGGCATGCATGTTCAGTATTGATTGATTGATTAATTGTAGGTGAGTGATATGTCTGATGGAATGAGTGGCTGGGCTGTAACCTCAGTAGACATCAGTGGCTTCACATATTTTATACAAAAAGATGAGGAGGGATGGTTAGTTTACAGGGCCTACCCTGCCAGTCAGAACTCTCTAAATCCAGCCGAGGATCTGGTGGTGTATTACTGGCAGGCACCGCTTAAATACCTAGGCAATCGGGTAAGGCAGTTAAATTACAAAACAATCCAATAAATGTAGACTCAGTTAATTCAGTGATGAAGTATCTCTGATATTCTGCAGTATGCCGAGAATAAAGGTAAAATTATACCTTAAAATTATATACTTGAATTCTTCAAATTATTCCAGTTGACATCATATGGAGGAAATCTGAAATACACAGTGAAGTATGAAACTGATCGTACTGCACCTTACCAAAGACACATGTATGGAGTAGATGTCATTATACAGGTGAGGTTCTAATCTTCAAAGGTTTTAAAATTAAATTGTAAGAGTGCATGTTAAGGATACGTAATAAATAATATAACAAGCTGTAAAAATTTGTTTTGTAATATTTTGTCTAAAATTGATACCATCATTTGACCAACAATAGAGTGGCAACATGACAATTGTGAACGGCAAGAGTTACCTGCGAGAAAATATTCAAGAGGAGAGAACTGTGACACTGAATGAGTCAAGTTGGTTTCAATTGGTGAAAAGTGACCGTTACGAGACTCTCCAGCCAATCACAAAGAAAGAATTCATGCTCCTCCTATTCAACATAGAAAGGCTTCTAATACGAGCTACATACCACTCAGCACAAAATGCTGTATAGTAAGTGCATTTTGGGGACACTTGTATATTGAGTGTTTACTGATAAGATATTATTAGTCCCCTACCAGTAAAACCGGAGGGGACTATAGGTTTCCTATGAGTCTGTCCGTCCGTCTGTCTGTCTGTCTGTCCGTCTGTCTGTCTGTCTGTCTGTCTGTCCCTCTGTCTGTCTGTCAGTCTGTCCCACTTGATTTTCCACACTTTTTTTCCTAAACGCTTGCAGATATTGAGCTGATTTTTGGTATGTGAGTGTATCTTGATGAGTTACAGATCAAGTTTGCATTTCGTTCCGCTTCATTGATTTTTGACGGAAGTACGGCCTTTTCAATTTTTATGGGTTTTCCGCAATTTTCTTCTAAACGCTTGTAGATATTGAGCTGATTTTTGGTATGTGACTTTACCTTGATTAGTTATAGATCAAGTTTGCATTTCGTCCCGCTTCATTGATTTTTGACGGAATTATGGCATTTTCAATTCTTAACGGGATCCAGATTACACTTGCTGGTAGGGGACTAGTATTGCTAATGCAATACTCTCAGAATGCTTGTTAAAATACACTTTTGTAAATTGTTTTAGAGAACAGATAAATAAAAGATGACTAAAGTATCAAGTGTTAGCACAATAGCCTCAAGAATGTAATAAGTACATGTACTAATATAAATGAAAAATGTTTGCATTGCACAGTCTTACAAATTTCACGAAATACCCATACAAATATTCATGATGTGTTTAATTTATTAGTCCCCTACCGGTGAAACCGGAGGGGACTATAGGTTTCCTCTGAGTCTGTCCGTCCGTCTGTCTGTCTGTCTGTCTGTCCGTCTGTCCCTCTGTCTGTCTGTCAGTCTGTCCCACTTGGTTTTCCACACTTTTCTTCTAAACGCTTGGAGATATTGAGCTGATTTTTGGTATGTAAGTGTATCTTGATGAGTTACAGATCAAGTTTGCATTTCGTTCCGCTTCATTGATTTTTGACGGAATTACGGCCTTTTCAATTTCTAAGGGTTTTCCGCAATTTTCTTCTAAACGCTTTCGAATATTGAGCTGATTTTTGGTATGTGACTTTACCTTGATTAGTTATAGATCAAGTTTGCATTTCGTCCTGCTTCATTGATTTTTGACGGAATTATGGCATTTTCAATTTTTAACGGGAACCAGATTACACTTGCCGGTAGGGGACTAGTATTGCTAATGCAATACTCTCAGAATGCTTGTTTGCCTCTGCTTTTTAGCTCACCTGAGCTGAAAGCTCAAGTGAGCTTTTCTGATCACCCGTTGTTCGTCATCCGTCAGTCCGTGGGGGTGGGGACACAAAAGGGAATCAAAGTTTTACATTGAAATATACAGGAAAAATCTTTAAAAAATCTTCTGAAGAACCACTGAGCCAGAAAAGGTGAAATTTATGTGGAAGCCTTCTGAGGTATTGTATGTTCTAAATAGTTTAAGACATGACCCCCAGGGGTAGGTGTGGAGCCACAATAAGTATTATAAGGGAGAACATCTGGAGAAGAACAGTAGGGCCAAATATGTGTTGTTTCTTTTTTGTTTTTTAGCACTATACATTTGTTTTGTTGTAGCTTACGGGAGGTGACTCTGGATGCAGTGAGTGCCTTGTCCAATAAGACCCAGACCCTGAAGACAGTAGAGAAGTGTTCCTGTCCCCGGGGATTCCAGGGTCTCTCCTGTGAAGTAAGGCAAACTCTCAGGTCATTCAGAAATTTATTTAGATACATGTAATTTCCCTTTGAACCTGAAATTGAGAAATTTTTTGAGTTCAATTGAGAATAAAACTTCATGTAACAATGAAAAAAATACTTGATCGTGTTTATCAGGAAACTCAAATTTATGTGCACTCACATATTAGACTGAATTCAAATGTGCAGTTTAAAGACAATTAGTTCTTTTTTTTTTTTAAGGAATGTGAGTCAGGGTACAGAAGAGTGGGTAACAAGCTCTATGGAGGAATGTGTTTACCTTGTAACTGTAACAACCATGCAGAACGCTGTGACATCACCACAGGAAAGTGTATTGTGAGTGTTTATATTGTCTTGTTCATTTTTAGGTTGTGTTGACTGTATCTAAATGTATTTTGGCTTTGTCATTTTAGATTAGTTTTTGGATCAAATCTAGTGCCCATTAAATACTGTAGATCACTAAATTTTTTTGACGAGATTGGTATTTGGGCTTTATTGGCAGGCAAATTTTTCATGAATTCTTGATATTGCTGTATGTAATCTATACTAATGAAAACATACATGAGAACAAAATTTTTGGCAAGCAGACTGTGTCAAGTAATTACACAAAAATAAAATTCTCATGAATAAAAATGATTCATAGTACTGGAAACCAAATATTTATACACAGCTTAAGCTTGCAATTATTTATAATAAGTCTCTTGCTATGCTACATTGTATGTTTTATTCCCACAGAATGATTGTATGTTGGTAGCTTGCTGCATATTGGAAATTTTTAGAATAATTAATAATGTTTCCTTTGAATACCAAAATATATTATTTATTAAAAAACCTATAAGTATGTATATTTATTTATGTAGAACTGTCTGCATTTTACAATGGGAGAAAACTGTGATCAGTGTCTGCCTGGTTACTATGGAGACCCCCGCCGAGGAACAGAGGAGGATTGTAAACCATGTGCCTGCCCACTTAGAGAACCAACCAATCAGTTCTCTCCTACCTGTCAGCTGATCCCGCAGGTGGGAAACTATGACAATTACAGGTGTGACAAGTGTGCTGTCGGCTACACGGGAGACAGATGTGAAAGGTCAGAGGTCAAATATGGTTTCTTTTCCATTTTTATCTTATTAAAAAAGTCTGCATCATGCACATAATTAAATCTAGATTAAGATAGATATTTGAACTTTTGACAAACTTTGATGTGGAATACTTAACATTGATTCAATGAATTGATTTATTTGACTAGTTGACTAACTGATTTATTAAATAATGAACTGCTATCAAACTACATGTAGATGTGCTCCTGGGTACTATGGGGATCCCACTGAAGTAGGTGGACTCTGTCGGCCATGTACCTGTGGGGGAAACATCGACACCAGCAATCCTACAAGCTGTGACAGAAAGACGGGGGAATGTTTGAAGTGTCTGAACAACACGGAAGGACCAACCTGTCACAGGTGTAAGGATGGCTTCTATGGTACAGCTATTAATGGGGACTGTACAGGTAGGTCATCAGCTGATTTAGATAATTACTGCACAGTTATAATTACAGCCTAGTTATTAAACAATAACTAGAGCTATGGTTCACTCCTCTCCCTTTTTGCTCAGCGATTGGGGAAAGAAGGGGATTGAAATTCTTTCCTCTTTAAAGTGATAAATTATTAATTTTCTTAAACTGTTTGCTGTTGTTGGCTGAATCGGAATATTTCTTCTTCTAAAGGGAGTGCAGTGTATGCAAATATTTTTCTATAACTATTCAGAATAGAAAAGGAGCCATACCAATGAAAATTTGTATAAAAATAAATTTAAAATAATTGAAGACTATACCAGAAAATCTGTTTTGGTGGGGAATAGCAAATGACCATTGTCATATAAAGTTAACCTGGTTTGATTACAGCATGCAGTTGTGATCTGAATGGTTCAGTAAATGGTTCTTGTGAGCAGTATTCTGGGAGGTGTGTTTGTAAGGACAGGTTTTATGGGAGGCGCTGTGACCAGTGTCAGGTAATTGGCAGGTGTTATAGTACTGACCAAAATTTAACATCGTGTGAGTGATTTGTTTCTGTTCGTAGTTGTGTTTTATTTGACTTTTCACTAATTATTCATAGCAGAAATCATGAATGTTAACTAATTCTGCACCGATAGTTGTATTGAATGTTTGCAATAACAGCAAAAGACGTGATATTTTATATTAACAAGCATATAGTTCTCAAATCGTGCAATTAAATTTAATGCACCTTCATGTGGGATAAATTGAGGGAGCACTTTGTTGTAGCCTGGTTATGGCAATGTTGAGGAGGGTTGTGTGCCATGTGATTGTGACCCCCAGGGATCACGGGGATCAGTCTGTGACAGTTTTAGTGGACAATGCTTCTGTAATATAGGCATTACTGGTAGGAGGTGTGACAAATGTCAGCCTGGATTTTATGGATTTTCAGCCAGAGGCTGCAAGGGTAGGTTGGAGGTAACAGAAAATGGGATCGGTAGTTACTTTGATTTTTTGAAATATAGATATGCCAAATTTGCTATGTTTGGTTCATAGATTATTGAAATACATGTATTGGAATTATTTGATGCCCAGTTAAAAAAAAAATGGGAAGACAGCTATTGAAAAGTTATTTATCAATTTATGTAAACTACATTTTATTTTTCATGAGGGTACAATTTTTGCCTTGAAATTTTAAAAAGTTGGTTGCAAGTCTCTAAATTAGATTATGCATTCCCAGACTGCCGCTGTAACAATGAAGGAACAAATCAGACAGCCCTTTGTGATGATGTCACAGGGGTCTGTAACTGTCTCCCCAATGTCACAGGATCTCGCTGCAATATGTGCAAGGTGATGCTGAAATTTCTGGTAGTTCTCTTTTCCCTCTGTAGGGCTTCTGATCCTTGCTTTGTTTTGCTCAGAATCTAAGGGGTTAGAACTGGCTAGATTCCATGTATATATTAACGGTACATGTACTTTGTATCAGCATGAGCTGTATTTATTTTCAAAAAGGAAAAAAAAGGTTGTCTTGGCTCACCATACAGTATGGTGTTCTTCCTGTGTATAATATAGTGCTTTTATTTAACATTTGAGTAGTAAACATAATAGTTAACCTTTTTAGGCCTACAAATAACATATTTCTGTCTATACTGTATATACTTCTCAAAGCAATCTGTTGCTTCAACTCTCTACAAGGTGTCTTTGCAGTAATCATGGGTATCATGTTCTTGATGAAGTGTTTAGTTATTACATCTGCTTTCCTAGAAATGATCTTGTCTTTCATTGCATTTAGCTTATATTTTTTTGTTTCCCTATATATTTCTGCTGTTTCATAACAAGTAGATAATTCAGCACTTGTAGAATATCTTTAATAGAATTGCTTATACTTAGTAGATAGGCAATTAGATTTACCAATAATCTAGATGGAGATATGATCTTGGTTAAAAAATGATTTCAGAACAAATTTGAAAAAAAAAAAAACATTTCAAATATGATGAAATTTCATGATCATTGAATTGTATGACATATATTATATAGGAGAATTACTGGGGTCTGGCTACAGGTAATGGCTGCTCCCCTTGTGAATGTGACAGACTTGGGGCAGTGTACCAACAGTGTGACCAGAGAACCGGTCAGTGTACCTGTAGAACCGGAGTGGAGGGAAAACAGTGTGGGAAATGTAAACCAGGGTATTACGGATTCTCCATCAACGGCTGCAAACGTAAGACATTTTAATCTCACTTATTTAGTTGAATGGACAGATGAGCATGAGAGAATGCAGCAATTGCTGGTCAATTTTCAAAACCCAACCAAACTGATAAGTGTAAAAAGCTAGTTGGGAAAAAGAAATTTTATTGTTACAACAATTAATCCTATATAAACGTTGGGATATACTTGTGTTTAATATTTCTGATAAAGCTTATGAAATCTTGTTAATTCATTTCTTTCCCAAATAGTTTTTATCAGAATGCTAAAACATGCTTATTTACTCTGGGAAAGGTTTTTACTCATATGTGCATGTATGTGTTACTGTCACTTGTAAAACCAAAGTTATAATTAAAAAAAAGGTGTGTGTGCAGTCAAAAATTATGATTGAATTACTTGTAAATTATTGACAGGATGTCAGCCCTGTAATAAAGCAGGGCATGTATGTGATCCCATTACTGGTCAGTGTGTCTGTCCACCCCTTACTACTGGACCACAGTGTGGTGAATGTCAACCCAATACCTGGGGCTATGACAGCATCAAAGGATGCAAGGTTACTTTGTCTCATATTTTTTTTTTTTGGTAACAAAGTGGAATCAGTAATAATGCAACCTCCAAAAAAATAACAAGACTTGACATACTTTGTAAGCTTTAAGGTCTCTTTACAGCCCTGCAACTGTAATCTCCAGACCTCAGAATCCAGACAGTGTGATAGAAATACTGGAAAGTGTACCTGTAAGGCTGACTTCACAGGTGACAGGTGTGACAAGTGCCTAACTGGATTCTACAACCATCCTAACTGTCAGCTCTGTCTGTGTAGTGCTGATGGTACAGAGCCGAACAGTTGTGACAACTCTACAGGTGTCTGTCAGTGTGACAATAGAGGACAGTGTCAGTGTAAGGTAAGTGTGTCTGTCTGTGTGTGTTGTACTGACAGTACGGAACTGAGCAGTTGTGACAACTCTACAGGTGTCTGTCAGTGTGACAATAGAGGACAGTGTCAGTGTAAGGTAAGTCTGTCTGTGTGTGTAGTACTGACAGTACAGAACTGAGCAGTTGTGACAACTCTACAGGTGTCTGTCAGTGTGACAACAGTGGACAGTGTCTGTGTAAGGTAAGTCTGTCAGTCTGTGTAGTACTGACAGTACAGAACTGAGCAGTTGTGACAACTCTACAGGTGTCTGTCAGACTGTCAGTGTGACAATAGAGGACACTGTCAGTGTAAGGTAAGTCTGTCTGTCTGTATTTTAGTATGATGATGTGGAACACTGTCAGCATAGAGGTTTCTGCATGATTATTACATGAAGAACTTTCCAGAGAATTGTGTCAGTATAAGGTATGAGTATGAGTCTCTCAGTTTGATAGCTAGGTGCACATAGTCATCGTATGGTCTACCTCTAGTGTATTTTCAATGACAGTAGGGAGTGGTTTCAGTGCAAGATATGTCTATCTGTCATCAGGGGACAGTGAAAATGTAAGATATGTCGGTTAGTATGACAACGTAGGTATGTCTATCTGTTTGACAACAGTGGACAGTGTCTATGTGTCTGTTTGAGGTATAGCAGATGACTGCATCATTGTATGGTTTGTTTGTCTGATAGTCATCTATGTACATAATTGATGTAGACTGGACAATTCTAGGCTTTGGTAAGCAAATAATTTGTATTCAAACATTAGAAATGTGTTTAGGAGAATGACTTGATGTGGTTATACTTGTTTCACTGCATAAAGCATCTAGATGTCACTATCCAATGGGAAAAAAAAATTGACAGCATATACTTAGTATTGCTGAGAAAGTGTCTCAAATCAAATTACTTTGAAATTTAAAATTTACTAAATAAATGTAGAAAATTTAATGATTTAACATGTGTATATTGAAATATTTCCATCATTTTATCAGGAAAATGTAGAAACTCGTACATGTGGTCGATGTAGACCAGGATCCTTTAGTCTGCACAAAGCGAATCCTTATGGCTGCACTGATTGCTTCTGTTTCGAGCGGTCAAATAGGTGTGAGCAGGTGCCCTATATCTGGAATAAGGTACTCGGTATAATGAAGACTGACGGACATTAAATGTGTAATTGTAAATATATGTATATGACTTATCATACGTGGATAATATGTGTAATCTTGATTAAGAGTGCAACGATAAACTGTTTGTCGGTATATCACGGTATATTTTTCCATGGTTCAACTCACCATACGCTTAATTGATACCACAGTTCGGTTCAATCGGTCCAGAATTATCAGAATCGTCTGTTTTGTTTCCTTGTTTACAATTTCAAAATGGCTTTTGCACAAAACTCGAGGTCAACGATAACACATTAACGGCAGTTAAACTCATTTCCAGCATCTTAAAGACGTCAGATTTAACACAGAGAAGGACTTAATATGCTTAAAAGTTAAAGATGTTAAGACATATTATAAACTCTTGAGATCTAAACATATTCTTTGGTAATACACGATATCTCATCACGCATTGTATTTCGATGAAAATTCGCTGTCTTGTTGACTAAAACGTGTTAACACAAGAAATATGACAACTGGTTTTCTTCGTAAATAAAAGGAATAAAAGAATCAATGTCTTCCTTTTTTATTCCAATTTAAAAGAAAGATTATTAGGTAAGGTCCCATAGTTCCCTGTAAATGTTCATCACTGGTTTAGAATATTGTCACAACTCAAAGATCTACCTATCGATCCAGTTCAAGTTAACAAAATGATATTTTAATTATTATCAAAAAATATGAACATTTGATATAACCCTGTCAAGTTTAAAAAAAAAATTATGATGATAAACTTGAAAGACTTTTTAACCTTGTCATGTATCGTGATACGTATCGTATCATGAACTGAATACGGTGATACGTATCGTATTGTGAGGTTGGTGGATCGTTGCACCCCTAATCGTGATAGAGTAAAAACTTTCTAAAATTAGTGCTTCCAACAGTGAAATCATTTGGATGATTGATTTTTCTAAAATAATGGTACCTCAGATCAGTAAATGAAAAGATTTTCAAAATGTTCTAATATGTAGAAATACTTTGCAAGTACATGTATCTTAATTTAAGAGTTACCTTAAAGTTTTGAAGGGCACGAGCCACTATGGTGGCTTAAGTCTTTATATGAGTAAGTAAACATTATTCAAGTAACTATCAGGGAAAATGAGCCTCATGTATGATATTCATGTTTTGTTATCCAGATGAGTATGATATTAGTGCTGTACAGTACAAAAATTAAAGAAAGTTACAAAGTGTGGTTCTACATCTTTAATGTTACTGTACTCTTTATTCTAGATGGAAATTCCAGAAAACAGTGTGTCATTTGATCCTCGGGTCACAAACAAGGTCACTTTAAAATATAAATCCCATGTTGTTATCCCACAAAACTCCACCTGGGCTGCTGTACCAGAATCCCTAGCAACCAAACCAATTTACTGGAGCCTGCCAGCTAGTTATCTAGGTGATTTGGTGAGTGAATTTAATACATACATAGACCTTTGAACAAGTTAATGCATGTTTTAGAGTGAGTATATTCCAAATGATAACAGATTTGAATACTGTGATTTGAAAAAGTATATTTTATTGCAGACCTTGTCTTACAATGGGAAGATGAGGTTTAGTGCTCAGTTCAGATCAGACAGTGGACCTCCAACTCGAGTAGATGAAAGTCCGGACATTGTAGTGGTGGGAAATAGGTTCCAGATGACTCATAACACTGGTACACCATGGTCACCTAGAGGAGAGAGGTCCATCTCCGTCAAGTTCCACCCAGTAAGTGGATACTGAAGCCTTACCTATACCAATCATAGGCAGAATAATTTACCATAACATACTAGAAGTTGAAATTTATTAACTGAGATGACTTTCATAAGAGAAATGTAATGAGTTTGTTGATATTCAGAGTAGTTTCCACACATTTTGTAAATTTGTTTCTAGACTTTATGGAGAGTGGTTGGTTTTGGTAATGCCACCAGAAGTTTGATGATGATTGTGCTGCAGAATGTTACAGATATTTATATAAAGGCCACTCAGGATGACCAAGCTAGATCTGCTGTGTAAGGAAATACTATATATGTGTTCTTTTATAGTAGAGGTAGTACCACACTTCAGAGATCATGGTCTTTAGGTGCTGTCTAAATGTGTCAGTTAGCTCCAATGATCTATGTAAATTGAAAACATGATATTCAAAAAGGACAAAAATGTTTACTTTTAACCTTCTACTAGGGCAAAACTTGCTTCGTTTTATCTCTCATACTAGATAATTCATTGTTTCATACTACTTGCTGAAAAGTTAAGGTTTTTACTGTGTTCTATGTTGTGTTTTGCTCCAGAATTTTGTTTTTCTTTCAGGTTGACTTCTGTATCACTGGACAGTGCCCAGCCAGGGAATGGTAGTACAGAAAACCCAGCATTAGGAGTGGAGATTTGTCAGTGTCCACAACAGTACTCGGGACTTTCTTGTCAGGTATTGAAGTTTCTGTGAAAAATAAAGATACAATGATCGAAAAATGTTCTTTTCTCAGTCAAAAAATTGTTATCCCAATTGATTTTTCATTTCAATTTCATAGTTTTATGTTTTAAGAAGAATTACTGTATAATCTTAATCTTTTCATGAACTGTAAATTGACAAATTTTCGTGACACCTTATTTTTGCAAGATAGCTATTTGATATTTACAAGTTAAGTGAGACAAAATTAACATGAATTGTGGTTATTGCTGTATATAATCTTTATGAAAAAAATATATGCAAGAATAAAAATTTCATGAGCAGATAGTTTCAATTAATTACGCAAAAATAAAGTTCTCACAAATAAAAAGTCATTTTCAGTATCTCCTTAACACATTTTCATCATTTTTAGTGTAGCAGAATTTAAAGGGTTTTTATCACATATCTAAATTTCTTTAAAATGAAACACTATTATTATATTCTTGAAACATATAATTATCGTTTCATTATGAAATAATGTTGAAAACGGCCGTAATTAGACGATAAAACGCCCGTAATATAGGGTCCTCGAAGTAAAAATCTCCACTAATTAGATAGGGGTCACGTGGTCATGAAACATCGTGGGTGTCAGTGGTCACAGAACTCGTAAAGCTTATCGTAAGAAAAAAATATATTGAATAGATTTTTACGCTAAATAAATAGAATACACAATATGGCCGGTTGAAATTTTGACATTAACTATATTCCTTTGGTTATGGGCGGTCAATCTTTTATGTATGAACATCTAGCAGAGAGAAATATCCAGAAAATAAGCTGACAATTGGAGAGAGGTCACCGAAGACGAAGCCGTTGACAACTCGGGACTTCAACTAAATAGAAAGAATTACTAAAGTTTAACTTCGTAAACATATATAAATATGGGAATTTAAAATTCTCTTTCATTATTATTTTAATTAATCATATATTAATAAATCCTGTATATCTTCTATCTGTTCTAGCAGTGAATATCATGTACTAGAAATGACATTTCTTCAGTGGTGCCATACGCCATTACACAGTTCACAACATTCCTACTAGATTCTGTGCGACTTTTAAAAAATGCGTGTTTGTCATTTATTATTTTTTTAAAGATATCTTTCCTTAAGATATTTTATAGGACAGAAAAAAAAATTGTGATCGTTCGGGCATAAACGATTGTTTATAATGGAGATAAAAGCCATCGCATTTGCAGAAAAGGGCCCCCCTTTCATCTCTCGACCAAGTCCAAGAAATGTGGGGGAAAAAACCTTCCTAAAACCTTTCTTGTGCACATTTGTGAATCCTCAAGCAATAAATTATACCTTACTAGCTGTCAATTATCCAATTATCACTTAATTATTTTCTAACAGTTTTAATAGACACAACCATTGAGCCCTTTTGTATACACAATAAGTACTTCGCTTGACCAGGATTGACACCTATGACATCAGAGCAATGGCGTGTAACATCGGCGATCAAAATATGCATATTGAGAAAATCAAACTTTGAATCGCTGAAACATTAAAAATATTAATTTTCTAGCAAAGATTTTTAAATATATGATTTTAATAGCGTGTAAACTTTGTCATATCAAAAAATTCTGAGAGGTGATAAAAACCCTTTAAGTGTTCAGAGAATTTAAAAATGGACTCCTTTGTTATGACAGGATCCAGCAGAGGGCTACTATAGACTGAAGCACAATTCCACCATAGATCTGTCTTATCCAATCCGTGTAATCGGAGAGGTGGTACCTTGTAACTGCCACAGGCACTCGGACATCTGTGACAGGAATACAGGAGTGTGTAAGGTACAAACAATTTTATACTGGGGGCTAATCATGGTAAAGGATGGAAACAATTTTATACTTAAAATTTATGACTAAATAATCTTGATACATGTTTTCATTAATTAAGGATTTGTGGATGATGTTTAATGTATAGAATTTCATGAAATATAAATACATGTACATGTAAAACAAAATCTGGAAAGGTGTGCATTAAGATTATGTTTAATAAAACACTTGTTAAGGATTACCAGTAATCAACCAGTTTACATTGATTATGATGAATAATTATCACAAACCAATTCTAGAATTGTCAGCATAACACAACAGGAAGTCAGTGTGAGAGATGCTTGCCTGGTTTCTATGGTGATGCGACCAGAGGTTCACCTGTTGACTGTCAACCCTGCATCTGTCCTAGCATTGACAACAAGTAATAATGCTTCTCAGTGACAAAACTTAAGGGTTTTCATGTATATTAACCTTAATGTCTGTCCTAGCATCAACAAGAAGTAATTATGTTTTTCTGTGTTAAAACTTAAAGGTTTTTATGTGCATTAACCTTGATGTCAATTTAGATGTACAACCCCTCAAGTATTAGTTTTGTAGAAAAAATGTAATGACAGTACCAAAATCTGTTCAGTTTCAGCAGCACCTGTGAAATTCGCCGAGGCCAACTTTACTGCACAAATTGCACTGAAGGATATATTGGTACAAGATGTGAATCGTATGTATTTTCTGAGTTTTTTTCTTAATAGCAAAATAGATTATAGATACTTCCATATTGTAGAAATCATGATATTGTTTAGGTTGTACATAGTCTTCAGGTGTTGTGTGGTAAGGGTGGCAGCTAGTATTTAGCAATTTTATTGAACCGACATTTTTTCTTCTAAGAAATATTTTTCTCTATAATCCAGGGTTTAACTTCAATGTTAAAACAATACAAATGTATGTTATAATTGAAAGTATTTATCACAGCATCCATGTATATTTAAATACAATGGGAATGTTAGTGCACAAATACATGTATTTTAAATTAAAAACATGAAAAGCTTGAAGTACTTGTTACATTTCTTTAATGGTCAAGCATTGCCACACCAGAAAAAAAAATGCTTAAAAGGTTTAATACCTGGTTTAAATGTTGTTATAGATAATCCATATTTACATGCAACTCCTTTGAGCAAACTTTTTCATTTGTTTAAAAGACTTAAGAAATGTTGATACTTTTAAAAATTTAAATACACTCTATTGTATGTAAAATCAAATTAAGAGAAGCATAAAATATAATGATGGTTTAAATCAACATTTGTATAAGTGGATAATAAGCCATTATTTACATGTTATTATACCCAATAATGAGTGACAGGCCTGAGACAGTGTTGTCATAAGACCTTAATTATCCCACACCAATTACCAACCCTCACACAATGCACATTTTTCTCCATTGAATTTTAATCTGTCATTTTGAGAAATCATTCACCTTTCCACTTGTCATAAATTTAAATTCATAGACATTGTCATCTGAAGGAGATATTGGGTCATTCAGTGAGAAGGAATTTGTTTTAAAACATGTACTTATTGCTGTGCATTTTAATGCTGCTTGATGGTGCTTATGCAAGGAGTATTAATGGGTAATACTCTTTTTAAATGGTTGTGTCCTAAATGAAATTTGTAAAGAAGATTTTCATTTTTCCTTTTTAATTATGTGATTTTTTTCTCTTCTAAAAGTTAGACATATGTTAAAAAAGTTCCTGTAAATGTATAATATGTTACAATTTATTCTATTACATGTAGGGAAAAACATGTAGGAAAAAAAATTTGGAGATTATATAAATTTCTTACTTGATTTATATACTTTTCACATTGTTTTGCTTTTTTTTTTAACCCCCCCCCCCCCCCCCAAAGAAAAAAAATTGGAAAAAATCACTACTAATTTTCTAAATTAATTATACAATATACCTATAAAAATCTAATAAACTGCCAAACCAAAGAGCTTTTGAAATTTATTGCTTGATATATATATGTACATTGTATCTTTAATTTTACTTTGCTTAATGATGAACATGTTTTTGCAGATGTGCAGAAGGTTACTATGGAAACCCACGACAGACAGGGGGTAAGTGTCGGCCATGTGACTGTAATCCGGAGGGATCCGTATCTTCCTTATGTAATGCTCGTGGACAATGTCAGTGTCTTCCTGGAATAACAGGGGAGAAATGTGATGGATGTCAGCCAAGATATGCTGTAGAAGATGGGAAATGTGTTTGTGAGTGTTTAATGTCTTGAGATACATTGACATATGAACAAAAGGCATCAATTAAACGTATTCCATAGAATATCCTGTTAACGTTTTAATCCTCAAATAAAAGTAATTACATTAAGAAAGTTAATGCAGTATTTATTTTTTTTTTTCTGTTTACAACTTGATGAGATGCTCCCAGAAATGTGAAAACATTTCTTTTTGAAAAAAAAAGGATTAAAAATGTCATCTCTATGTTATGTGATCTTACAGCATGTGATGAGGGCTGCACGGCTGACCTGATGAGGGAACTAGATGACCTAGAAAACATGACCAGTCAAGTGAACTTAACTGGAAAGCTCCCTGTCCCATGGACCCAGCTCTGGAAAATCAAGAATGAAACAGAATTACTCAAGGTATGTACAATTCAAAAGTTGAAACCTTGCAACATTTTCTGTATGCTGAAAAGTTTCACATATTATAAACTGAGTGGGAAAAGAAGTGATTGCTTTAATTTTTAAAAAAAGTTGCCAGCAGTAAGAATATTAAGGAATCATACATGTTTAAAATGTCATGAGAGGAGTGATGATAAGTCTTGTGTATGAATAAATACCAACAGGATGAGTTGGAGACGATAAGGAATGCAGAGCTGGATCATTTGAGGAATCAGACAAATGACCTTGTGAGGGATTCACAGGACTTACTCACCAGAGTGAGTGTTAAGGGTTGTGTGTAGTCCTTGTATATTATGTGTTCTGTAATGTTGTAGTCTTGTATGCTGTATGTCCTATTACTGTATGTAAAGAATGCTTGCATTAATCTCTCTGTAGCCCATCTGCACAATGTTCTTGGTGTGTGTGTGATTGTACTGCTAATAGCTGCAGATAGCTTCTCATTTCATCATTTTTAGAAGACATATATACAGTTGAACTTTGGTATCTCGAATACAATGGATATGTCGAAGTGATCTGGAAGTCCCAACCACTTATTCTTTATGTATTTTACCTTCAATATCTTGAATGCTCAGATATCTTGAAGTTTTTCTTGGCCCCATCAGGTTCGAGATAACACAGTTTGATTATATTTCTTTTTTATCCATCTATATACTAAATATTTATTTTTTACAAACTCTAAGTTGTGACAATGATTTTTTCCTTAAGAGTATAATCTGTAACTCGCTATTTGGTGTTTGAATATTGCCATCATTCACATCTGCTAAACTGGAATTTTCAGCAATATTTTATACATCTGTTTTGAGTCACTTTGCTTTTCTCTGTAGATTATCCTGTTAATGTAGAATAATGTCTCTTGTAAAGTAAAACAGAAGTGATACAAGTACAAATTCATGTTTATCTTTTTATCATCTTGAGGATTTGAACACATGAATATGACATATATTTTAAAGCTAGATGTTACATGTTTTAGTCCAGGAGAGCTAAGCTTAAAGCTGCCCCACTGGAGGATAGAGCTGCTACCCTGAAGAAGAATGCTACAGACCTGGAGGCAGATCTTAATGACACAGTCAGGGACATGAAAGGTGAGAACTAACAAAGATATTTCTTAACTTAACTGATGAATGACAGTTATGTATTCCTTACTATTTTAAGTGTTATGATTTATAAGCTGTCAGATTTTTAAAGTTATCTACATGTATCTTTTATTGATTGTCTATTTTATTCTTTCACTATGTGAAGGTTTGAATGTTGGTCTACCACTAAATGGACTGCTTTTTTTGTGTAAAATAAGTGACATATTTTCAGAATTTGTGGATAAGCTAGTGGATGTTGTTCAGGGTCTTGTCCATAACAAAAGTGGAATAAATGTCACTGATGCCTTGGAGAAAGTGAGGGCCATTTTAAAGGACATCAAAGGCAGAAATTTTTCAGGGAACCTGGAGAGGGCACTCAGAGAGAATAAGTAAGTGAAATTTTTTTTTTGTAGTGCTTTATTATTTGTATTTGGGGCTTTGGATTTTGAAATGCTTGCATGTATACAGTAAATGTTACAAATGTTAAATAAAAACATACTGGCTGCTTCATTTTTGATGAATTACAGTACAGTCAAACCTCATTATCTCGAACCCAATGGGACAGAGAAAAAAAACTTCGAGATATCCGAGGATCCGAGATATCCAGGGTAAAATACTTAAAGAATAAGGGGTTGGGACTTCCAAATAACTTCAACATATCCATGGTTTTTGATATATCAGTGTTCGAGATACCGAAGTTCAACTGTATTTGCATTCAGTTGATGTAATAATGTAGAAAAAGCGATGGTGGAGATAGTTTGAAAAAAAAAGAGTATCTCATGTCAAGTACAGTGTATTATTTGGAAAATACCTGTTCATATTGTATTTGTAATGTTAGTCTTTATCACAACACACTTTTCAGACTGGCTGAGAAATTATCAGAGGAAGTGTTGGAAATGAGGAACAAACTTGTGAACACATCGGGAGTTATGGAGGAAATTCAGGCCATAATGGATAAACTTCAAGACCTTCAGAAACATTCTAATGAATCTCACAGGCAGTCAGATGAAGTGTTTAGAATGTTGAGTAACATTCTCAGAATTCAAAATAAAACAGAGGTAAAAAAAAAAGAAAAAAAAAGAAGCTAAAATGTATATTGGAAAAGAAATTGAAAAAAAAAATTTAGAATATGCATGTATGTGAGTCAATTTTATTTCAGGAAAATGAATATGTGTCCTATATGTATTTATTTCAGGATGTGTTGGTTGATGTAGACCTAGTCCATGATGATACAGTTAAAATTTTGGGAGACGGCCATCAACTCAACATTGAATCAGCAGGGGTACTAGACAAAGCCAAGGAAAACATCAAAGTACAATTCTTTTTCCCATTGTATCTAAAATTGTCTCCCAGGAATTATATGCTGTAAACATACTTTTTTTCATTGGGGTCATAATTCCACGGAATCACAATTTCTTTTCAATCAGTGGGTGACAGATTTCCACAAAAAAATGGCTCCACGTACATAGCATAAATAATTAATTAATCCCACGCAGGAAAAAAGTGTATCTACAGTATTTCATTCAATCCATTGAGCAGTTAGTTTGAAAGTACATTCAACCCACTTGACATATTTTTTAATGATTTTTTATATGCCTCAGGATGTAGAAAGAAAAGCAAGCATCTTTGACCAAATTTTGCCAGAACTTAGATCAAAAGTCAATAACACAAGAAGTCAGCTTCCTGGGACTGAGGCCAAAGTCAGAGCAGCAGAAAGTCATGCAAGAGACCTGTCAAAGTATGCTGAACAGCTGGAAAGGTAAGAATTTTCTTCTAGGAATATTTCTTAATTAAATCAATGATTGCAGTGTTTAGAGTACAAGTCATACAGTATTTAACAGAATAAAGATAAAGCTGTTTACTATTAAATCAAAGTGCACATGCACTTTGATATTATTTAATTTAATCTGTAAATTAATTTATCTTTAGGGAGTTTGAGAAAACGAAGGCAGATGCAGCTGACCCTCTGAAGGCTGCTCAGGTTTACGGCAATATTGTAAAGGCTGTCAATGAGGCAGAGGAAGCAGCCAAACGAGCCATCAAAGCCGCAGAGGAATCAATCAAAATTGTAGGTTTTGGTTCAGTTTTATAAAGGTGGTACAAGTGAAGAAATAAGTCAAGGACTTTATGGCTTATATAATTTAGTTTTAGGTGGCAAAAACCTATATACCTCTAAAATAGCATTCCAGTGTAATAGTGATATTATGCTTGCATTTTACATTTGACACAGGAAAACCCTTGATCTAATTCATTCATACAGTCAATGCATTTCAAAAGTGCAAGCTGTAATCAGTAGAAGTAATTTTTGCATGATTTAAGAAATATACCACTCTATGGGTGTGTTTATTAATTAAAGCATATCTTTTATGGAAGTTGCTGCAATTTTTCCCTCATAGCAATCTTTAAACAACCCACAAATTCAATTAATCTTCAAGCCACAAATTCATGTCTTTCACAAATGGAATAAAATCTTGCTTGTTTTAATTTTGTTCTCAAACTGGAAAAGTTTTGTCTACTTTATGAAACAAAAGAACATTTTTTGTACAGGCAGGGGTGAAGAACATCACAGATGAGGTGTCGCGCTCACTTAACAGGAGCAGAGAACTGCAAAGACAAGCCAATAAAACACTGAGTAAAGTCCCAGGTATGTCAAACATGTATTTATTATGTCTAGCTAAGACAAATGGAGATATTGTTTAACTCTAAAATCTCTAAACCTTCTTTCACTGTGGTGTCTAAGCCATATTTTTTCTTTGGCTGGATTGCAATCTTTAGACAGTGTCTGAGTCAAAAATTTTGTTTAACTGTGGCATTTAGTTCTTCATGGCTGGTCTTAACATAGTATAAGCTTAGTTTATACATTGGTATAGAATTTGGGTCATCATGCAATCTCTTTTAGATTTATACACTGTAGACCTTTGCTTTGACCTTTCATATTAGGAAATGGAAAAACATATATCTCTGTTGAGGGCTGCCTCTTCAGATCCTCTAACATCACTCAATAAGTAAATCTGGAGGATATTTTTAATGCTGTAAAGTTTAGCTTAGCCTTGACCTTAAAGTTGGTAATAAAAATTTTTCTCTTTTGGGGATTACCAATTCCATTAGAGTTTTCAAGAGTTTGAAGTTACTCTAAAAAGCTGCAAGAATTGATGATATGATTTTGATAAAAGTTGATTATACTGCCCGTTTTAGGTTTGGACAAGCATTTGAGTGTTTTGAATGAGGATTTGCTTCACGTGGAAGAAGAACAAAGCAAAATCAGACAAGGCCAATCTGATATCAAGGATGCTCTAAGACAGCTACCTAAAGGTTAGATCTTAAAATCAGCATCTCATTTTATATTTTTATTAACAATACAGTGAAAACTGTTTAATCTGACAACTGTGTAATCTGTTTCACTGGGAATTCTGACATTCATTTTCATTCCCATTTTACTATTTTCCATGTTCTTTACACTGTGTAATCCAACACCTGTCTATTCCGAGACAAAAATTGGCTCCCAATCATGTCGATAAGACAGGTTTCACTGTATTTTTGTTGTTGTTGTTCTTGTTTTTTGAATTTTATTTTCATTCTTGCTTTTTGCGTAAGTCAAACAATGCCAGAATTAGAATTGTTACTCATTTTTACCTCTAACTACATGACAGACCTCAGTGACAGAGCTATGAAGATTTCTAAAGATACTGACAAGACATCAGAGGAATTAGAATCTCTGGAGGAAACTGTAGGAAATATTGACAGCAACATAAAGAAAGATCTTATTCCAAAGCTAAACCAAATTCAAGATGTGCAGTTTGATGGCATATTTGAAAACATAGAGAATTCAAGTGAGTTCCAGCATTTAAAAGGTTTTATTCAGATTATTTTCAATATAGACACAGGTTAAGATGCTGATGAATTCATGTTGTTTCTTGAAGTTGACACAGCAAAGGCAAACATACAGCAAATAAGTGCCATTGTTGATGGGGTTGAGTCAGCTGCTAACAGAACCATGACTGCCGAGTCCAGACTCAACGATAAACTCAAGATGCTGAGAGATAACATCAAACAAGCTCGTGCTCAAGCTGAGAAGGTATGTTCAGTTAAGATGCACAAAAGATCTGTTGAATAATTCCCGTAATGAATGTTCAGACTGCATGCCGTCTTGTTTGAGAGAAGTCCATTCTGCTGGTTTTAGCAAAAAAAAATTTATGTTTTTGGCTTGTTCAGATGATTTGTATTTATCTACAGGTGAAGGTGTCACTCTCTTCCAATGGGCAGTGTGTGAGATCCTATTTCTCCAAGTCCACTGCTGGTGTCACCAATAAAATTACCTTTTCCTTTAAGACAAACAAAGCGACAAACAACCAGATCTTTGTGTTGCTGCAAAAGTCTCCCACAGTATGTGTCATTCATAGATTCATCTATATTTACATTTATTTAGTCATATGGCAAGTTTCAATGATTGAAGTAAACTCTGGACATTTGTGAATGAATTATCGGATTGATTTTCTCATGTTGGCTTTGCATTTCAAGTAAAATAGACTGATTAAAGGCTACCATTAAATACTGTTGGCTGTTTTAGTAGAATGCTATATTCATATTTGAATAACATGTGTACTGTTCCCATTGGGTGTAACTATCTATCTCTGTGTAGGAGTTCCTTGCAGTGGAGATGATCAGTGCAAAGATCCGATTTTTATGGAATGTTGGAGCAGGCATTGGTAGTGTCACAAGTGATCTTCCCATTCAGAATGAGGCCAACTTTATCAAAACTGTAGACAAGTGGTACCATGTCAAAGCTGAAAGGTAGGGAAAGTTCAGAAAAAAAGTACAGATATCAAGTATTTGTACATGTATATATTGTTGAATCATTATGTATACATGTATTTCATAGGGACTTCAATTTTTGTGAATAACCCTTGCATACAAGTCTACAATCTCATCGATTGCAATATAGGTGATGTGTTTTATAACAAGGTGTTGAACCATGTAGTTATGTCTGTACCAACTTACAGATTTTTAACAGTTCACTTAAATTGGCCTGCATGATTTAAAATCATTCCAAAGAATTTTATGGCCAGAGATTTCATAGTATGTAACAAAATAAGTCATCATTACCAATAAATTTGTTTCAGACGTGGTCATATAGGGACATTGGAGGTCAGTAAACTGTCCAATGGGAAGACTGTGAAAACAATGAAGGGATTCTCTCCTGTTGGTCGCTCTTTTCTGAAGCTGGATGAAAACTCAGAGCTTTATGTGGCTGGTTTGCCATATGGCATAAATGTAAGTATATCATTCTTTTTAAGTTAATGAGTATAAGATAAGAAAATGTCATGTTTCAAACCTGCACACCTGGCATTGTGCTAATTGATAAAAATTGCCACTATTTCAGAGGTCAGAAGAACTGGGAAGCACAGCAAACTTCTCTGGGTGTATGAATGAAATGTACATTGATGATCAGAAAATAGGACTTCATAACTTCAAGACAAACAGTCAGCAAGGTTGTGGAGGCTGCAGGAATGTGTCAGTAGTTTTACAGTTTGAAGATGGATTCTTTTGTCACTTAATCATTAATTCAGCTTTAAAATGTTAAGTTTATGTAATTTTTTTTCTCAAGTCTTTTTCACATATTGCCTCTTTTTCACAGGCCTACAGTTACTGTGGTAGGGGCTAGCACCTTTCACTTCAATGGTTTGGGTTATTCAGCCAAACCTCAGATAAGGAACTACAGAAGTACCGAGTTTTACGTCAAAATGGAGTTTAAGACGTTCTGGAGGGATGCCATTTTACTGTTCACTGGAAATAACAAAACTGTAAGTGAGAGCAGTTCATATACATGTATGATAGCAATGTCTATTCATTGGGATTTGGATTCATATTAACTAAATGTAGGATTGTAGATGACATTAATTTCCTGTGGATAAATTTTAGGGTCACAGGGTCAAAAGGTTTAGTTTCTGGGGGGGGTTGGATGTTCACATTTTCAGCAAGGGCTGGCTTCATAAAAAGTTGCTTTTAGAATACAGTAAAAAGAGTGGGTTTATAGGGAATTTAAGTTTTAAACAAAATATTCTCTCCCCTAAGACTGCATACTAAGAAATTAAGGATATAACAAATTATGGATAAAATGAAACAATTTCAATTGTCCTTGTTGATTTTTGCTTTACTGTCAAGGACATGGAATTTTAACCGCATCTTTTTAGCTATCTATACCATGCTTTAACTGGCCATTAACCAGCTTGAGTATTCAAGTAATATCTGAGGGTTAATTAAAATAACAATTAGTACGGTAACTTAAATATATACCTCATAATGTGTCATTTTTCAGCAAATTACTAATAGTGTTCTGTTACTTGTTTTCCTGTGAAAATATATGAAATATTTAATTTCTCTATATAGATTTTTTTGTTTCAGATTTATCTGTTTTCAATATGTATGTATGATTTTCTTGACTGTGATTCCAGGGAGATTTTCTATATGTTGGTTTACAAGATCAGAAAGTGGTTCTGCAGATCTATACTGGTGGCGAGAGTTTTCTGTCAATTTCCAGCAATTTCTCGTATAACGATAACAAATGGCATAACATCGTAGCCCAGAGACAACTCCTGACGGGTACAGAATCACAGGCAGCCGTTAACAAGCTGCTGCTAACCTATCCACCACAGACTAATGCATTGTTAATACAGATCATTTAGTAACACACTATTAATTTATACTTACAGGGTGATTTTTTATCACTTACGCTTGAAAATAAGCGAGTGGTTTTGAAGTTTTACCTTGGCGGTGTTAGTTTTGCACGTTTGGAATCCAATAAAACTTACGCTAACAATACATGGGTTCGAATACAGGCTGAGAGAAGTGGGTTACAGGGTACTAACTGTTACAAATTATCACTTGGCAATCAAACAAGATATTAGTTGGTTAAATCGTCTTAAAAACTGCATGGAGCATCTTCGGGATTAGCCTTTCACTTAATTCACATACAAACTTACAGGAATTTTGAAGGTCATAGGCAACCAAACAAATGTGACTTTCATTTTTCACTGGATATTGATAATGATTGCCTTGGTGTAATGTTTACACAATTTCACCTCTCCCCCCAAAATATGTAATCTTTTTACATTGACTTCTAATTTCCCTGTAAAAAGCAAGTATTTTTACTTGATACTATCCAGACAGAATATGCAACACATACTAGAAGAAAACATCTAATTAAGAACCCCTATACACTGAATCAAAATGTTTTTTAGACATTTAGAAAATATATATGTATAAAAGTGTAAATATAAAGCTTATCTATTACAAGCTTATCTATTACATTTTCAACATGGGGTATTTGGCATTTACCCCCAAGAATTTTATTCAAAGACAATCAAGTATGAATTGATGAATGGAAATAAATGTTGTTTACGTACATGTGGAAAATACACACAAATGAAGGGTTCAATTTATTTATCTTGGCCTAAGAAAATGCTTGAATTGATAAGAAATTGCTTGAATTGATAAGAAATTGAGTAATACAGTGTAGATTTCAATTTATTTTATTTTAGATCTAAGGGCAAATTACTCTAACTGCTTATAAATTCCACAGAATCAGAACTCTTCAATGTGCAGTGTATAGAGGGTTCTTAAGTCTGCTCAAATCATGCTTTAGTGCTTTTTCTCATTACTCAGTGCTAAGGTATGAAAGAATTCACTGCTGATTAAAGCACAAAAAAAAATTACCAGCACATCCAAGAACCACAAAATATTAACCATGAACATGTTTCTTGCACACTAGAAGGACTATCAAAACTGTGTTCTGTGCATCAACCATTATTGCAAGCCTAAGTTTTCACCTACTCCAAAGAGAAGATTATGGCCTCTGGCTTATAACAACCTTGAAACTTTATTTTATTCAATGCAAAAAGTATTCTTATGTTGCCATTGGCCTTGAATGTGAAGTAGGAAGTAAGACTGGACATGCATTTTGAATCAAGAAAAAGTGAAAGAAGCTCCTTTATTTAATATGTATATTGTTGGAGACCAACTAATGCACTGTTTGAGCCACATGTAAACTTCGACTCATATTTGGAATGATATATGTAACAAATTGCTTCTTCAATTTGCTGTTAACTGTATTAAACCCTCGCTTAGTTCAGCAAGAACGTTAATTACTAGTAACTTTTAACTGTAGCTATACTCCCTGTCCCCGTAGAACTAATTTATGCCACACCATGGGCGAACTAATACATAGCTTATTTAGAATTGTAGATATGAGTGAAAAGTTATACATACTTCACCTGTACATGCATGCTCTAAACAAACCTTGTGTGAAAGTTAAATTAGCAGTTATCAACACTTGTATTTGTGCTATACATTGTACTTATGTGGTTTGTGTGTGAAATTTATATCCTTAGCATACTAACACTTCAATGTAATTAATAAACACTTTTTAATATATATACAATGAATATGGACACAAAATAATATTAATTTAATTTGCACTCTGACAAAGATTTAGTCAAGTCAATAAAGAAAGTATTTATTGAAGAATAAAGTATTTGCAAAGCAACACTAAAAAAAAAAATTAAAGGAAAAATTATATGTAGAATTGTACTTAGTGTATTTAGTAATGTGAATACCTTGTGTATTTTAGCTTCCCTTCAGATTGACAATTCAGACATGCAGCTCTTGACAGCTCCAGGAAGTAACACAGGGTTAGAGTTGAAAGGGAAGAGACTATATTTTGGAGGAATTCCTGAAAGTTATGATCTACAACCTTTTTTGAAATGGTGATTACTATTTATAATGAATTATTTTAGCTCAATTTTGAATTGCCTGCTATATTAAATGATCTATCACCACCAAGAAATGCCAAGGATATACATATATTGTGCTTTGATAGGTTTTTTATCAAATGAGCTGGGGTTTTTTTTCTATTCTGAAATTTGCTAGTAAAATAGAGCAATTTGACTTAAATCCATTGTGGCCCTCATTAAAGAGATTTAGAATGCAGTGTAAAAAATTATTTTTTTAAGAAAGGTTTTATATAGAAATCTTGTGCAATTATTTCTCATAATAAAATCAGGGCATCACTTGTTTTACTACAGGGGAAGTATTAAGAGAACTGGACTTTTAGGCTGCCTTCGCCGAGTCCAGATGGATATTGATAACCAGGATCTTCTGACTGGAGAAACTGTAGGGGTCACCAGTGGGTGTCCAGCAGAGGTGTGTATTTTGTTTACTTCTAACTGTCTCACTTAGAGATTGGGACAGACATTATGTTTTGGAATTGGAAATTAGTAACTTTATATATCACCACATGTTAATAAGACATGTGATTTCAAAGTTTTGTGAAATTATACATCCTGCAATTCTTGTTTTTCAGGGTTACAAAACGATTGCATTTTATGGAGATGGATTTGCAAAGTATAAGGCAGCTAGCTTGTCAACAGATAAAGCTGATCTTTCTCTGTCCTTTAAAACATTGGAAAAAAATGCCCTTCTCTTGCTAGCCTATGATAATGATCAAAGGGTTTGTATTCAACAGCAATTCTTGATTAACTTTTCAATTTCCTTCCTATTTTTTTCTTCCATTTTGCAGTTTAGAATATACATATGTTTAAAAGGCATTCATTTATTTTCTAATTTTATTAAGTATAATTTAATTTTCAGAACTTCTACTCTATAGTACTGACTAATGGTAAAGTTGAAGGAAGTTTTAGTACCAACAGTCTTCCCAAAAAAATTACAACATCCAAAACTTTTAATGATGGACATTTGCACAATGTAGCCATCCAGAAAGTTGGAGATAGGTAAATTTCTTTTAAAAGTACTTGCACTTGTTTTTACATTTGCCATTTATAATGCCTTGTTCACCATCAAGTTGCAAAACCCACCCAAGAGATTGAAAATTTTGGGAAATAGAATATTCAATTTTTTTTCTCTGTCTCTTTTATCTGCCTGCATCTTTACTTTGCTCATTACTTTTGGAATAAGCAACGTTGATACTTTATATGTAATTAAATGGTAGCTTTTGACCAGAGAATGTCCCATGACCTTGAGCAGGATCATTTCAATATCAAGGTCACAGAGACAATATGTCATGAACTTGATCCTAAAATCATTCAGACAAGGTTAAAGTTATGGAATTGGAAATGTATAATTTCATGTCCACCTCAAAATGTCATGCTAGAAAAAAAAATTAAAAGATCAATTTTGACCAAAGACATTGTTTATGGCTGAAAGTTGTGCCAAGGCCCTAGCTTAAACTTATTTTGTAGGTCTTGTAAATTTACAATGTAAAAATAATTTAGTTTATGACTTCTCTTATGCAGTTTTGAGTGGTTGTCTGCAGAAGGTATATGTCCCAGTAAACAGATCTAGTTAGATCAGATTTCTTTTATCTGTGTCATACTTTGAGGTATTTTGGTGCATATCAACTGCAAGTTACAGAATACACTTTTTTTCTGTTGATCACAGGATTACCATGTACATAGATGATGAGGCCCAGTTAGATGAAGTCATACTAATTAGGAATGAAATCAATGTAGATCATCTGTATGTAGGAGGAATCATCAACTTCAACTTTCCTCAGGGGCAGGCTATGGTAGCCACCACTCAGGGGCTGGAGGGATGTGTCAGTGATATTATCATCAATCAAGAGTACGTCCATCAGATCTTGCATAATTACATATTAACTTACTGAATGCCTAAATATTATGTTATCCTGTTTGTATTTCTGAGGGAAAGATTTCAGCATGACTATTTTTGTCTCTCTTAAACAGAATTTTGAACTTGAACACACCTCTCCAGTTTGAAAGAGCAGATATAGGAAGGTGTAGATTCTCAACCAATCAAAATCCACAAGGCATTCAAGATACACAAACCACAAAATCACCACCCACCACCACAACTAAGGCAGCCATCACAACCATCAAAGCTGTCACCTCAACTATTTCTCCAAATTCCTGTGCAAAGACTCCAGATTTACAGCAAAATCTTCTGTCTCTGATATTTGGGAATTCAGAGAACAGTCATGGGAAAGTGATACTTGATCCAGCAGAGGTTCAGGAATCGTAAGTCATGTTTTCTTATGTTAAAGGTACACACCATACAAAACCTTCCATAACATAAATTCAAATGATTTCAGGGCATGCAATAGTGGAAAAAAAATACATTTTTATACATGTACTGAGTATCAGAAATGTTTTGTTTTTTTTAGGTACATGTACAGGTCAAAAATGACATCTAAAATATTGCATTGTTGACCTCATAAAGTTTTCCTTTTCTTAGCAAATGTTTGACTAACATATGTCGTTGTTTTTAGGTTTCAGATCTCCTTCGACTTTCGTACATTTTATGATGAAGGAGCGGTATTTCTATTGACCAATAAAAACTACACAGAGTATGTGGCAGCACAAATAAAAGGTGGATCTGTTGTCGTGTTCTGGACAAATAATGGAGGAAAGGCCAAAAAATTTGTCTCCTCTAAAGTGGTGACAGATGGAAAGTGGCACACAGCTGTTGTTTCAAAAGACCGCCGCCGCATCAGTCTGGAGGTGGATGACAAGGTGGAAATGGACAGACGGAAGATCACCAAGAAATTATCCATAACCTCTCCTCTCATTGTGGGAACCATTGTGAATTATACTTCTGTCAATAATAAGGACTTGGTAAGTACGGAGTACAATAAGCTGAATTTCTTTTGCATTATTGAGCAAATCATGTTTGTTTTGTACTGTAAAGGTATATGAATTAGCTTACTCAAAATTTAGAGCAATCTTCCTCATCAACTGATCAGCAAATAATATATCTGGAAGAAGCATCTAAATGTATTTCATTTAATCATATATTAGCATGTACATGAATTAACAGACAAGAAACAGCACTATAAATGCTAAAATATGATCACAGCTAAAATAAGTATATCTACAGTAAAAGAATTGTAATAAAACAGAAATCAGACATTCATGTTTTTTTAAAAAAAAAAATTCAGGTAAAGCACAGTCTGAGGGGCTGTTTAAGGAACTTCATTGTAAACACTCGGAGTATAATGATAGCTGATGCCACTCATGTACAAGGTATCACAACTTGTTACATCAATATGGAACCTGGGGTGTTCCTGGAGGAAAACTCATATGGAATCATAGGTAGGTTCCAATTGGAGATCAAAAGCATATCAAGTTTTATTAATCGTTTTATTATACACTTGACTTTTCAGTAAGCAAAACAATAAATTAAAAAAAAATAAGTACGGTAAATAAATATTTCATTATACTACTGGTAAAGAAATACTTCATATGCTCTCTTACGTTTCTTTCAATTATATTTTTCTATAGCCAGTAAGTTTGTAGTTGGTCGAGAAATGAAGATTGAGTTAGAATTCCGTACTCACAAACCCAATGGTATTATTCTGTCTATCACTGATAACCACGCAGTCACACTGGAGCTGCATCAGGGAAAGGTAGCTATATCTTCATACACATATACATGTAGTATAGTTATAATTATAAAATTACTTGTATTTACTCTAAATTTCAAATGGAACTTAAAAGTTTATATTTAAACTTAAGAATCCTTTCATTCTGATTCAGGTTGATAGCCATTTATAAAATTTTACATTTGTTGACAGGTGAAGTTCTCTGTGTTTAATGTGGCCCTATTCACAGCAGAGTCTGAAGATTCAGTAAATATTTGTAATGACCAGTGGCACTCCCTGGAGGCCACACTGATTGGAAATGTGGTGAAGCTGGTCCTGGATGGTGGCGACCCTCAGTATGGGAGCAGCCAGGATACATTCAGGAATGTGACCACTTCCTCTGCTTTGTATGTGGGAGGGGTACCAGGTAAGTTTACCTGAATAGTACATATTAGAGATATGTTAAATTTATATCTTACTCATAATTTTTTTTAACTATTATCACAATTTGTGATTCTCAATGAATTCCTTTTCTACTTTATATGATATTTTTTTTTGTTTCAGATTATGCAGTGACACAGATTGCCTCTTTCAACCAGAAAGATGGAGCACCAGAAGGATTTGAGGGCTGTCTACGTAATTTCAAAATAAACTCCACGCCTGTAGACTGGTTCTCTTTAGTAGAACAGGAAAACATTCAGCGAACTGGATGTCCTTATTAAAGTTTTGGAATTAAGCTTATATTATTTTTGTATTTTAAATAAACTTTTACCTCAGCCCTTTATACCCTCTCTATAGGTAGGTGTCTTTAATAGTGCTAAATACCTACTTGGATTCCATTTATATCTATTAATGATTGGATAACTTCAGGTGTAATTTTACTATAAATCAAGATGTGACAATCGAATATGTATCCTGAAATGTTTGTTGAGCAGTTTTTACAATGGATATTTCATTGAAATGCTGATTTGCACCACTTCAGTATAAAAGGCAAATAGCCATATATTTTTTTACATACTACATACCATTTTAAATATCATTAAGAGCACATGTCAGGCTTTATGAGATCTTACATTTGCTGGATCTGAAATGCAATGTATTTTAATGGTGCTAATTTTGTACAACATTTGTGATTCTGTACGTAATTTATAGCTGTGTTTAATTGTTGTGATTCGATTTATTGTGATCTCTAAATGTTTATGAAATGAGAGTGTTATAAGTGTCATGTCCATTTTTGTATACCTGTGTATACCGGTAATTACTTATTTAATGGAGCGTTTCGGTCTGTTTATGAATTTGTATGATTATGCATGAATTATGATATACTGTAAATGTCAGTTAAATCCCTGTGTTGATTTTTGACTCACACAATATGTTCTAAGTGAATAAGTTTGATGACTTTATTGTAAATTAATTATCTTTAATTTATACAGTAAAAAAATTCTTTTGTTTTTAAAAGAATTGCAGGTTGATATTGAGCAGTGTTGTGCTCTTTGTATACAATAAATGCTTTAATTAATAAAATTGAGTCTACATATGTATACTACATGACCAATTGTTTCTTATTATTCATGCACATTTCAGTTAGAAACATGTCACTGAAGAGGAAAAGGAGAAAATATTGTGCTCATACAATGGTTGAATGGAAAGTATTAAAAAAATGCAATGTATGATCCAAAGACCACATTGCAGAATATTTTCCCCAATGAAACAATGTCCAGGTAGCAAAGTGTGCAGAAAAATTGCTAATTCTATAGACTCAGTGTAAAACTAGCAGTTATTATAATGAATGGTTGGGGATGTATTTAAGTTTGTTCATGGATCTAGGCAGGTTCACCTGAGTTCCTCAATTGCATGTAATATGAAAAGTTTAGGATATAATATCTTGGCCACTACTGAAGAATTAATTAAAAAGAAATGTCCAAATTTTTCAGACATAGACATTAAGGATATACGCAATGTACCTTACCTACTGATAATTTTTCAAGATATTCTTAATTTAAGATTATAGTGCCATCAGATGTTTGTAGACAAAAATCAGCATGCATTACCAGGGGTTTTAAAAAGATATCAAATGATGAAAATTCTTGTATAATTCAAAGAAAATTTACAAAAATTACTTAACATATATTCTAGATCTTTTGTTCATCCAAAATTGTTCTAGAAGAAGTGTTCAACAGCATACATAAACAATAAAATGTAGCACACAGTTCCTTTAAGTATTGGAACTCTTCAACTGCAGGGGAAAAGACAATAAAGTTCGAACTACGTTGCATATCTCCTTAAGGAGATTTTTTTTCTTTTGAGTCTAGGTAGGACTTGTCCCATGATCACTAGGGACCCCAGTGCACAGGATCATGTGACAGACTTGGATTAGGTTAGACATTTATTTAAAGAGTTATTTCCCCTGGCTTCAGTAACAATATAAATATATATATATATATGGTATTTTTTTCTACAAACTAAATTGTATTGCAAACCATCTCTTTTCTCTCATTAAAACTGTGGCTTTTTCCGGATTCTGTAAATGTACGCATTTGGTTTTAATATTAGTGACGTTTATAGACTTCTCGTTTCCATAACGCACAAGAGCGAGGTATGATATGTATGCTTTTTTGGATCTCATAACCAGCCTCTATAACCAGGCAGAGCGCATGCGCGCAATAAATTTCTATCGAGATCGGAAAACGGGAGGAGGAAATTCGGAATAAATAATGGAAACTAGTAATGCAGACTGATACTATAGTCAGATGCAGAAATTTATCCATAATTCGATCAACTTTAATTTAAAAAGCAGAAGAATAAATGAATCAACTTTACAGTTAGTTTTTATTTATTTCATTTATTTATTTATTTATATAATTCATTTAATTTATTTATTTATTTATCTTTCTAATAATTATATAAGTAACTGATTAATTTATTAAAAAATGTATTTATGTATTTTTTTTATTTATTGCATTCTTTCCTTCATTTATTAATTATTCCATCCATTATTTATTTTATTTATTTATTTATTCATTGATTTATTAATTTGTATGGTTGTTAGTTTATTTATCTATTCATTTATTTATCATTCTTATAATTAAATAATTAAGTAATTGATTAATTCATTAGGAAGTTCATTTATTTGTTTATTTATTTATTACATTCATTCCTTCGTTTATTTCTTATTCTATTAATTAATTAATTAGTTTATTTATTTATTTATTTATTTATTTATTTATTTATTCATTCATTCATGCATGCATTTATTTATTGATTTATTTATGCATTTATCATATATTTCTTTTATAAATTAATTGTGTTTACAGGGTTTGTATACTTATTACCAGGGTCTGTTTATATATTGCCATAGTTTGTATTATGTATCACCAGGGTCGGTATTATCTATCACCAGGGTCTGTATACCTATCACCAGGGTCTGTATACCCATCACCAGGGTCTGTATACCTATCACCAGGGTCTGTATTGTCTATCACCAGGGTCTATATACCCATCACCAGTGTCTGTATACCCCTCACCAGGGTCTGTATACCCATCACCAGGGTCTGAATTATCTATCACCAGGGTATATATACCCATCACCAGGGTCTGTAAACCCATCACCAGGGTCTGTATACCCATCACCAGGGTCTGTATATCTTTCACCAGGGTCTGTATACCCATCACCAGGGTCTGTATACCCATCATCAGGGTCTGAATTATCTATCACCAGGGTATATACATGTATAACCATCACCAGGGTCTGTAAACCCATCACCAGGGTCTGTATACCCATCACCAGGGTCTGTATACCCATCACCAGGGTCTGTATAATCTATCACCAGGGTCTGTATACCCATCACTAGGGTCTGTATACCTATCACCAGGGTCTGTATACCCATCACCAGGGTCTGTATACCTATCACCAGGGTCGTATTGTCTATCACCAGGGTCTATATACCCATCACCAGGGTCTGTATACCTATCACCAGGGTCTGTATACCCATCACCAGGGTCTGTATACCTATCACCAGGGTCTGGATTGTCTATCACCAGGGTCTATATACCCATCACCAGGGTCTGTATACCTATCACCAGGGTATATATACCTATCAGCAGGGTCTGTATACCCCTCACCAGGGTCTGCATACCCATCACCAGGGTCTGAATTATCTATCACCAGGGTCTATATACCCATCACCAGGGTCTGTATACCCATCACCAGGGTCTTTATACCCATCATCAGGGTCTGAATTATATATCACCAGGGTATATATACCCATCACCAGGGTCTGTAAACCCACCACCAGGGTCTGTATACCCATCACCAGGGTCTGTATAGCCATCACCAGGGTCTGTATACCCATCACCAGGGTCTGTATAATCTATCACCAGGGTCTGTATACCCATCACCAGGGTCTGTATACCTATCACCAGGGTCTGTATACCTATCACCAGGGTCGTATTGTCTATCACCAGGGTCTATATACCCATCACCAGGGTCTGTATACCCATCACCAGGGTCTGTATTATCTATCACCAGGGTCTGTATACCCATCACCAGGGTCTGAATTATCTATCACCAGGGTATATATACCCATCACCAGGGTATGTAAACCCATCACCAGGGTCTCTATACCCATCACCAAAGTCTGTATACCTATCACCAAGGTCTGTATAATCTATCACCAGGGTCTATATACCCATCACCAGGGTCTGTATACCCATCACCAGGGTCTGTATACCTATCACCAGGATCGTATTGTCTATCACCAGGGTCTATATACCCATCACCAGGGTCTGTATACCCATCACCAGGGTCTGTATTATCTATCACCAGGGTCTGTATACCCATCACCAGGGTCTGAATTATCTATCACCAGGGTATATATACCCATCACCAGGGTATGTAAACCCATCACCAGGGTCTCTATACCCATCACCAAAGTCTGTATACCTATCACCAAGGTCTGTATAATCTATCACCAGGGTCTATATACCCATCACCAGGGTCTGTATACCCATCACCAGGGTCTGTATACCCATCACCAGGGTCTATATACCCATCACCACAGTTTATCTTTCCCTCTCGCAGGGTTTAAAAGCCATCTTTTTAGTAGGGTGTCCTTCAACCAAGTTTGCATTATGAAAATGGAATCCAATTTAATTACTTTTTAGGGTGTCTCTTTGCATGTTTCTAGTCATAAACGTAACATCTTGTGGAGAAGATGCCTTAACTCTAATGTTATATTGATCTTATTTACTTTTTATTTTGTAGTGTAAGCCTGTCAAGGAGGAAGCAAAGGATATAGAAATTTATAACAATGGACAAAGATTTAAATTTGTGTGGAAATATCTTTACATTGTAAATGTCAATGTATCCTGATTCCTCTATTGCATAAATCGAGAGAAATCTTAAAATTCCGTTATGTTGTTTACTTGTTCCTCAGAAAATGTGAACATATACATATCTACATAATTAATCAATAAAGTGTGAAATGAAAAAAAAATATCATAAAAGAAAAGCAACCAGCACAAAGTTCAAATTTCTTCTATGTTCATGACAGTAGAACAGTAGGATAATAGTGCCAAAATATATGTGTTCTACAAACCCTAGCTGTCATGTTGTCAAGAAGGAAACCCAGTGTATTTCACTACAGGGAAATGATATGTAATGTCTTTAATCTTTTTTTTTTTTTTTTTTTTTTTATTGTGACTGTCGTGGTAGCTCATCATATTTAAAATTATTATATATTTTTAAAGTGGGATGTTCTGTTTAAAAGCTTTGGACCAAGGATTGAGTTATGACTTGAAAGTCAAACTTCAAGGTCAAGTTTATGAGGTTAAAAATCAGAGTATATTTGGAGGGTCTTGTTACAGCTATGTACATGTACATGAAAATATAAAAGTCCTGTCTCATCAGGTGCAAAGCTTTGGCCAGAATTAAAAGTTTTGTAAAGAAGGTCAAATGTCAAGGTCAAAGATCATACTTTCCATTGACTTGTTATAGTTTTGTCACGGGCATTGCACATGTGAATTATGAAAACATATATCTCATTCCATACTAAGCTTAGGTCAGGGTTATTTTTTTATAAGTATATCAAATTTCACAAGGTCATAAGATAAAAAAAATAATAAATTAGAAAGATTCTGTAATTCGTAATTCATATGTGGAATATGAGAGTCTGATCTTTTCAAAATTATTATACATTTTCTATTAGATGAATATTTCTTGAAATTGATAAACTAAACAAAAAATTATGACGAATGTTCAAGTTTTTGTGATGAACAAACACATAGACTGTCCCGGCGAATTTGCTTTAGCAATGGAGAATAATTGAATAAAATTCCATTAAATATAAAATGATAATTATGATAAAACGTTTTATTTGAAGTAATGATATTTACATGTATATCTTTCCAAATTAATTTTATTAACAATACATATATTCAGAGTAAGACGTGTAGATAGTGTGTATTAACCCCCCACCCCCACCCCCTCTTTATTTTTGTAAACTTTAAAAAATATCATGCTGGCAATTTTTTTAATGCTTGCTAAAATAAAAACTGATATATGAATAATTTACGGTCTAAATTTATTTCATCTAAACACACTGCCCAAACGTTAGGTGCCTGTAAACATCTGTGTGCAACAGAGGCAATTAATGTTACTTTTTTGTATATATGAGGTAAAAAGTTTTTTTGGTTATAAATACCTCCTGCATTTACAAGTGAGGTTTGAAATATTAAAATTTTATTTTAAGAAAATGTTCCGAATATTCGACTATCGTTCGAATAATGTTATCGAATAGTCGACTAAGGAAAATAAATATTTTGACACACCTAAAAAAAAATACACAGTAACAAGATTTCGAATATGAACTTTTCGCATATAAGTCACAAGATTATCGCATAATTAAATATGAATCACAGGGTTTTTTTTAAATATAATTATAAAGTATTCACAACCTTCAAAAATAAATCACAAGATAATCGAATATGAATTACAAGATTGAGTGAGTTTGTTTCCTATCTGACTATATCTTTGTGATTTCAAATAATTCTCCCATGTATCGTACATTTTGGGGCAATTTCTTAGAAAGCCGATTTTTCTAATCATGTGCAGACAAACACAATCTGTGATTAATGTGTTAACTGTTGATTTTACTTGTTTTATAAACAAAATATTTCATAGATTTTTCCTGTATTAGACTACATGTACAATTTGCAACAGTTTAAGCGTTCTCAATTCTTTATTTGGATAAGATAAATTAATCTAACGCTTTATTCGCATTTTTTTCTGTAACGGTGATTTTTGTACATCAGTATTGGGGGAATTCAAATTCATACTTTAACATTAACCCAGCAGGATGGAAAACATTTATACAACACTTTAACAACTAATCAATAATTTTCAATTATAAAAAGTTAACTTGTTTTATAAAAGATAACAAATTGTAATAACAAATTGTTAATCTGAATTTATAATTTGATGAATTGTAAATACAAATGAAATAAATAAAATTGTAGTATTTACACCGAAGAAGGTGGATTGAAAATCTATAGTGAGGTCGTTATTATTGGTCTACCTTTCCCTACACCTTGATCTATATGTTTAGGCCTTGAAATAAATTCCAAGCAACACATTCCAGACAATTATTTAGTCATTCTTATTTATTTATCATGATAGTTAGACTGACGACACCTTGTTATAAATAGTGAGTTTAACCCACCTCCCCCAATAAAAATACATGTAATCGGTAGGTTATACCTCCTTAAATTTAAATTTAAAATTAAACTTAAATTTTCAGTGCAAGCGTTCATTAAAAAATATATTTACAAAGTCGCACAGACCAAATGCAGACTTCAAAGCTAAGTATTCATGAAAGTTTTATATGTTTGATATCAAAGAACATATCGTATTGATATTAATTTCTCGAATGGTCAATAACATGGTCATTTCAGGCCAAAAATAAATAAACAAATTATTGAACAAACAAACGTACAAATAAACCTAACTTTACAGCAAAGAACTTTCTCTTCTTTAGTGAACAAAATTATTTAAAAACTATAATGGTTCTTATCGAATATTTCAATTTAATTTTGTTTGGTATTTCAAATTAAAACAAGATGTGTTTGTGAAACACTGATGTCCCTGTATGGCAGCTTTCGGCTAATGGTTAAAGTTTCTCAAATGCAACTCAAACTCAAATATTAATAGCTGAAAAATGTTGTTACCCAAAGAAAGGACTCTCAGTGAATACACGAATATATGAGAAATGTGAAATTCCAAGCACTAACCATTCAAAAGATTTAGCCCAGGTTAAAGTTTTTTTAAATGTAGGTCAAACTGCAAGGTCATGGTCAAAGGGTCAAATTAAAGGTACCCAGGGTAAGGCCTTGTCATAAGAAATACACATGTAAAACTTTAAAGCATTAGCACCAACTGTCCAAAATATATGGCCAAGATTAAAGTTTTTCAAAAGTAGGTCTTATTCCAAGATAAAGGTCAAAATTTCAAATATGTTGGAACACAAAGAAAGGATTTGTCACAAGGAATACACATGTGGAAAATAAAGGCCCTGATACTTACTCCTCAAGGTTAATTTTTTTAAAAATGGGTAAAACTCAAAGGTCAAGGTCAATTTTTTAGAAAATATCCGTTGAAAGGAATACACATGTAAAGTATGAAAGCCCTTGCACCAACTGTTCAAAAGTTATAGCCAAGGTTAAAGTTTGGTAAATTCTTGCAAAGGTGGGCAAAACTCCAAGATCAAGGTCAAAAGGTCAAATACGTTAGAAACCAAACAAAGGCTTTATCACAAGAAATACACATGTGACATATGAAAACCATAGATCCAACCAATCAAAAGTAATGGGCAAGTTTTTTTGTCACACAAACAGGTGATGGGTATACAGACCCTGGTGATGGATATACAGATCAAGGTGGTGGGTATAAAGACCCTGGTGATGGGTATACAGACCCTGGTGATAGGTATACAGACCCTGGTGATAGGTATACAGACCCTGGTGATGGGTATATAGACCCTGGTGATAGATAATACAGACCCTGGTAATAGGTATACAGACCCTGGTGATGGGTAAACAGACCCTGGTGATAGATAATTCAGACCCTGGTTATGGGTATACAGACCCTGGTGATAGGTATACATACCCTGGTGATAGGTATACAGACCCTGGTGATGGGTATATAGTCCCTGGTGATAGATTATACAGACCCTGGTGATGAGTATACAGACCCTGGTGATTGGTATACAGACCCTGGTAATGGGTATATAGACCCTGGTGATAGATAATACAGACCCTGGTAATAGGTATACAGACCCTGGTGATGGGTAAACAGACCCTGGTGATAGGTAAACAGACCCTTGTGATGGGTATACAGACCCTAATGATGGGTATACAGACCCTGGTGATGGGTATATAGCCCCTGGTGATAGATTATACAGACCCTGGTGATGGGTATATAGACCTTGGTGATTGGTATACAGGCCCTGGTGATGGGTATATAGACCCTGGTGATAGATAATACCGACCCTGGTGATGGGTATACAGACCCTGGTGATGGGTATACAGACCCTGGTGATAGGTATACAGACCCTGGTGATAGATAATACCGACCCTGGTGATACATAATACAAACTATGGCAATATATAAACAGACCCTGGTAATAAGTATACAAACCCTGTAAACACAATTAATTTATAAAAGTAATATATGATAGATGCATAAATAAATCAATAAATAAATGCATGCATGAATGAATGAATAAATAAATAAATACATAAATAAATAAATAAATAAATAAATAAATAAATAAATAAATAAATAAATAAATAAACTAATCAATTAATTAATAGAATAAGAAATAAACGATGGAATGAATGTAATAAATAAATAAAAAAATAAATGAACTTCCTAATGAATTAATCAATTACTTAATTATTTAATTATAAGAATAATAAATAAATAAATAGATAAATAAACTAACAACCATACAAATTAATAAATCAATGAATTAATTAATAAATAATTAATTAATGGATGGAATAATTAATAAATGAAGGAAAGAATGTAATAAATTAAAAAAAATACATAAATACATTTTTTAATAAATTAATCAGTTACTTATATAATTATTAAAAAGATAAATAAATAAATAAATAAATAAATAAATAAATAAATAAATAAATAAATAAATAAATAAATAAATAAATAAATAAATAAATAAATAATTAAAATAAAAACTAACTGTAAAGTTGATTCATTTATTCTTCTGCTTTTTAAATAAAAGTTGATCGAATTATGCATAAATTTCTGCATCTGACTATAGTATCAGTCTGCATTACTAGTTTCCATTATTTATTCCGAATTTCCTCTTCCCGTTTTCCGATCTCGATGGAAATTTATTGCGCGCATGCGCTCTGCCTGGTTATAGAGGCTGGTTACGAGATCCAAAAAAGCATACATATTATACCTCCAAGAGCACAAGAGGCACACAAGGCACTCACGACTGTGACTACACTGCACTGTATGACTGTACAGTCTGTTACTTTTTTAATTTTAGAAAGTGCAATTGTAAATCAAGATGTAAATTTTCATTTTTATTAATGTCATACATTCCTAAGATTGATAGGAATGCGACAATCCTCTTTTCGTTATGATATGTCCCAGCTATTGACAAGTGAAAGGTGCGTGTGCCTGTCCAGCTTTCTGTAAAGAAAGTATAGTCTAGTGACAGTGGTAATGCAGTAGAGGTTACACACCGCCATCGTTATTACAGTTTTATTATTGTGGACTCTTCTTATTTGTACCATGATTTGATTTTTCAATCAACAAAAAGCTCAGCTAATATTGTTGATTGAAAAAATATCAGCAAGATGTTGCATATACAGTGTAGCAGGTCATTCATATACCATGTATTCATCTTGTTTAAATATTACTAGGTGATATCCTTGGTCTCTAATTTTGTATTTTTTGACTATATATGTGAAGATGGTATGGGTTTCTTTGAAAAAAAATCTTAGGAAAATTATGTTGTGTCTCACTTTCCAAAGATATATGCATTACAAGAGCATTGTGGTAAAAAAACCCATCATGTTCATGTTATCAAAGGCCCTTCAATATCAAGACGTGAAACAAATGTATGTTCATTATAATTATGCAGGTCTATATTGTAACAAAGGAAGATGGAGTTAGGATTGGATTTTGAGGATACTGACTTCATCGAAGAAAAGAGGACAAATGTGAAAGAGTCAAAGCTCAGATCATATAATGCTAAAGTCTGTGGTCCAATGGTATGTTTCATAATTCACAAAGTTCTGTCTGTGACTGAAAATTGTTATGATGAATTAATGAATTTGGACATTAAAGAGCCATAGTGCACTTGATTAGGCATTTTTGCCTTCTTAAGTAGTCATTTTTTTAACCAAAATTTTGTTATGCAATCAGCTTAAACATGTGTAAACTCAAATTAGAAAATAATGATATTTAATTTAATTTTTAATAGTTCCCTTTTATGATACATGTGAAAATCAGCGAGTTTGTATGAAGTATATAGTAAATATTGAAGTTTCCACCTAAACAAAGACAAACTGTTGTCAAAGAAAACCAACATTTGAATAATTTTCTTTGAATATGTCTTTATTTCATTAAAATTAGATTAGCTTGGTTAAAAGTGGTCTTCATATTGAAAATGATGAAAATATATACTCAATTTTCCTTCTCATATTCAATAAAGATTTAGTAATTGTCTTAGATTTATTGAGTGGACATCAATGATTTTGTAGCACAGATGTATGGTTGCTGGAATATAAATGTGGTGATTCCAAGTTTGAGCCCAACATTTTTCGTTTATGCCTTTTTATTTTTATTTATTTATTTATTTTTTTTTTTTTTTGTGTATCTTTTCTTTGTTTTCTTAATTATTTTTTGTAATAAACATAATTTCAAAAAGTCATAATATAATTGTTACACTATGAAAGTATCCTGGGAAAAGACAGTTCTGAACTAATTAAATTTTGCAAATTCATAGGTACTAGTTTTATTTTTTACTGATTTTCTTTCCTTTTGTTTGAAAATTAGAGTGATGAACATGTAAAACGATTGTTATATGACATACTTGCACCTATGAAAATATAACACCTGTGTACGAATGATATTACATTGGTTGATTTTGAATTGAAAAGATATATCTACGAATAGAAACAGGTGATTTCCTTTCCTTTTAAATTCTTGAGTCTGCCTTGTCATCAACAAGGCAGCTATGGCTCTTTTTGCATATTTAATTTGCAGTGGTTTGAAGATGCTGAAGTGTCAGACTCAGAAACAGCAGCCAACATTTATAAATTCAGGGGAGACCAGCGATACTACAACAAACAGTATGAAGAAGCAGTGTCGTGCTATAAAAAGGCATTGGGTAGGTACACAAGTTCATTAAAGCTTGGTATGGGTGAGTTAATGCAAATGAGCTAATAAATACACATAGAAGGGCATTTCTTACAGAGAGGATGTAAACTTGCTTTTTAAACATATTTAGGCCTAGATATGTAGATATGTAAATAAATAGTGTGTTTTGTGTTTCCTGACCAACTCTAAATTAAATGAGCTGACCCTGAAAATTTTTCTATTATATTTACTGTGAAATTGCTAATTTTTGAAAAGGGGGGGGGGGGTAATTTTCATTGTTTTTTAGGGTATGAAGAGACCCACGAAATCATGTCCACTATGAAATGTAAAATTTTGTTTATAACTACTCAACAAATCTTCTTTCACGATATCAATTCCCCCACAAACCCATAGTTTTCCTCAAACCAAGAAAATTTGACCCCCACAAAAATATTTGATTTTACAGTATGTTATGTCATGATCCTTTAGGCTTAGGATGGGGCCACAATATGGGATATGAATTTTCATGCAAATACAGATGCATATTTTTTCTTTTATTCTTGTGAAGAACAGGATGGTCAAGAGGACTTAAATGAGCATTGTGGCGCATAGGCCTCTTTTTTGTAATGCATACCCTGTTAATTAAGCATTTTGCCTGTTGGTTAACCTGCAGTTATTGTCTACTGTATAGCATTAGAAACCATCTAAAACTTTCAGTAGCCTCGGTACAGTTTAAGTCTGTTTCATTGTGCAATTGGAGAATTATGGTAAAACTCGGTTTGTTTAAAGAAAAAAAATAAAAAAAAAAGTAAAGGGAAACGTCTTCCCCATTGAGTCTGTAAATTTTTTTCAAAGTTTATTTTTAGAATTTTTTACAGTAAAATTTCTTTATTTTCCATTTTACAGAAAACCTACCTTTGTCAAACAGATGTATGAGACATGATTTAAATGAGTCACTAGCCAGGTGCTATGTTGCCCTTGACAAAACAGCTGAGGCTCTTGATCTTACTCAAAGTCTGGTATCGGCTTGCTTATTTTTAATTAAATCAGCTTATTTACAATGAAATCAGTCAAATATTATTACGCTCAAAGTTTTCAGTATCTGTGTCATATTTGAAGCTTTAGAGTCTATATAATATTAGGAAGAACTTCACAAATAGATATGATTTAACAGATAAGTAATGATTTGAATGGACACCTTGTAGAGGTAAACCTCAGATTTACTAATCTCTATTTATCTTGTAGATAAACAGTTGCACAAATATAGACCAAAGGACACAGACTCATGTTCTTCTACAGCAGATACAACACAGGCTATGTCATTTAGAAGGTACTTGATTTCTACCTCCAACAAATGAAGTTTGAGTGGTATCTAGGAATCTCTTTTTCCATCTGTCTCAATCCATCTAGCTGTCTGTCTATCCATGCAATCATGTCTGACCCATAATTTCATAATGGAGAAACATTGAAGGCTCATTTTTTTAACCTTGACCAAAGGTTATTTTCCAAGTTTTTAAAATGCTGTGAGGGTATTATTTTATTGATTATGAGCTGGTTTATAGTGTCTCTAGTTCACTTATCTTTGTTTAATCTCTTTATTGAATTGACCATGAAATAATTTTATTTACTAGTATATTCTATTGAAGTTACCTGATTGATGTGCTTTAATCATTGAATAGGTGCACAATTTTCATAAGAAAGTCTTTTTGTGCACATGACATTGCAATTCTTTCTTTCTTGCATTTTAGCTCACCTGAGCCGAAGACTCAAGTGAGCTTTTCTGATCAAAATTTGTCTGTCGTCAATGTAAGTTTTTCACATTTCATCTTCTTCTCAAGAACCACTGGGCCAGTCTCAACCAACTTGCCACAAAGTATCCTTTGGTAAAGTGGATTCAAGTTTATTCAAATGAAGGGCCACACCTTTCTCCAAGGGGAGATAATTATGAATTTGTGAAAAATTAATGGCCACATTTGAAAATCTTCTTCTCAAGAACCACTGTGCTAGAAAATATGAAACTTATGTGGAATCATCATGAAGGTAGTGTAGATTCAAATTTGTTCAAACCTCTGGGGTAGGGTGGGGCCACAATGGGGGATCAAAGATTTACATAGGAATACAATGGGAAAATCTTTAAAAATCTTCTCAAGAACAGCAAAACCATGATTGGCCATAACAAGGAATCAAATTTATACAAAGGAATATAAAGGATATAGATGTATCAATAAAAATTTTCTTCTTAAGAACAGCAAAGCCATTATTAGTCATTTTAATTTAAAATCATCCTTAGGTAGTGTAGATTCAGGTTTGTTCAAATCATACTTTTATATTTAAACTTTTCAATACTGAACTGATTTCTGCTTTTTCCTAGCCAAAGTGCTTAGGTGAGCGATGTGTCCCATAGGCCTCTTGTTTAATTACTGTTTTAGTCAATCCTAGTATTAATGAGGAATTTGAAAAACTTTATGTTTCTGTCAAAGTCATGTATTTGATGACTTGAAAATCAAGTCTAGCATGTCAGATTTAGAACAGAGACTCTTTCTTTTTGATACAGGGTAAAATTATTAAAATACATGTATGTTTTAATAGAAAATGTAGAGTAAAACCTTAAATAAATTGACTTTGACTTATCTTTAGTCTCTTCATTTACAGATGAGGAAACGACACTGAAACAGCTGATCAACTTACATCCCTTTAATGTAGAATTTTGGCTGATGTTAAAACATAGTTACTGGACGAGATTCTGGTGTGATGACTCTGTGAAATGTGAACCACACAGCCAAGAGTACACAAAACTACTCACCTGTCTCGTCAGAGCTAGGTATCAAGTATTCTGAGACATGTATCAGCATATATACAGTTTTTACTTTGATGTTAATTTCTGCAGGGAGTCTTTTTTGTTAAGCAGAAATCAGTCCCACTTATTAAGGCCAAAAAATCACAAATTTCTTCCTTTTTTGAACTTAACACCAAAAATACACAGAATCAAAAAATAATTCTTTTTCTTCTTGTCTGAGTCCAAAATAAATGATACATTCAAACGAACAATATTTTAGAGGGACAGAAAAAAATGTACTGGTACTTCCATGTACCTACACATGCATCTACATGTACGTTGTACACATATATCAAAATAGTGTGTCACCAGTTGAGGAAAAATTTTAATGCCTTAACCATTACACTGTATTATTAAGAAAGTTTAAACTTGTTCTGTTTTATCTGTTCAATTGTCAATTATATTTTCTGTATCAGTTGAACATTTATGGTTGTCATTTACATAGTTATTTGCTTAAGATTCAACAGCATTTACGACAACTTCCTGTATATATCCATTTTCAGATTACTTATTAGAAGTGTAAGAACATCCGTTGTTTCCTTTGTTAAGGAGAGGCATCAACACCTAATGAAACAAGTAAGATTGTATATTGAAGTAATACAGTGAAACTTGATTTTAGCAAAGTACCAGGGACGACAATTTTGATTCATTATAAATGTAGCTCATTACATTCATTAAGTTCATAATATGTCTTAAAACTACAGAAAATAAGAATCACTTCACTTTAAGCTTGAATTCATTATATTTAAAATGTATTTTGCTATAACCATGTTTTACTGTATATGGTTTTGAACTTTACCTCAACAGTTTATTGAATTAACTCTGTATCTTAGATAATTTACACTAAGAATTGCATGGCTATGCAATCTCCTTTTTCAGTACATTTCTTTCCAATTTATAAATTTCCAATTCACAGGTGGAAGCAGACTTAGAAAAATTACAGCCTTCGGAGTCATGTTTATCAGCAGCCAAAAAGGTAAACCGATAACTTGTGATGGTTCATGCTTGGTTTCTTGTGAAATCCTCATACATTTTGATCTTTAGTGATATTTTTCTTCACTTCTGCAGCATTTGGGTGAGGACATCTTTAAACTTGACAATGCTGAGGAAGACGTCAAAGAACCAGAACAAAATCCAAATGTGGATTATCTAGACTTTGAAGATCGCTGGTTTAAATGGAATTTATAGCATTTAATGTTTTGTAGAACATTTCAATTTTGTTTCGCTTCTAATTGCATTAGGAAAATAAAGGATACATCATATGACAATTTGTCATTTAAAATAAAAAGAGTCATTGCATAAATTGAACTACATGTATATAATGAACTTTATAATTTTTCCTGATCTTATTCTTTATTGGTTAGTGGAAATGTTGCCAGACTCTGGACTCAAAGGCTTCAAAAACAGTGACACACTGTTTGTATACATTTTTAGCTCTTCTGAGCCAAAGGCTCAAAGAGCTAATGCTATGGCCATTTGTGCGGTGTGCGTAAACTTTTTAGAATATGGGCCATAACTCAAGAACCCCTTGGCCAATTATTGTCAAATTTGTCACAGGGTATCCTTGGCCCAAGGGCTCCCTTTTGTACTAAAACTAGGGTTGTGACCCTTTAACAAGGGGAGATAATTAGGAAAATAGAAACAAATTTACTGGTTGCTAAAAAATCTTCTTCTCAAGAAACACTGGGCAGATTATTACCAAACTTACACAAAAGGATGAGGATATGTTGTAGATTAAAATTTGCACGGGGATTTACCCTGGGGCATAGGGCGTGGTCTCAAGGTCACTTCAAAGTTGACCAAATATTACATTTTATTAAAATGTTGATATTTTGCTTACTATAAGGACTAGGATCATCAAATCTTGTCAGTTGATGCATCTAAGGACCTCAAATCATGTTGACTCAAAAGTAGGTCACGGTGACCTACTTTTTAAATTTTGCTGCCATTCTTTATCAAAATGATTTAGAGGCATATTTTGAACAATTTAAGGACCCTCTATACACCGATGAAAAATGTTTTTTGGACTTTGAGAAAACTATATAGCGTAAAGGAGGTTATTTTGAAATTAATTAACCCATTTTTAATATAGGGAGCGTGCCTTTTTTATTCAGGAAAAATCTTCAAAGACAATGAAGTAATAATGAAGAAAAATTGCCTTTGCTTACTCAAATGGATAAAATACATGTAAATAATGTTTTCAAATGCTCTATTTTGGTCTAATAAAATGCTTAGAATACTTTGATTTATTTCAAATTATGTAATACAGTTCAGATTACAATTTATTCTATCCATATGTGTCAAATGGTGGGTCAGTCTAATTACACAAAAGTACCCTGAAAATAGGGTGCAGTACTAGTGTAGAAAGGGTCCTTAAGGCCTATAATCATCAAACTTTGTCAGTTGATGCATCTTGGGTCCTCGAAGTACGTCAACTAAAAAGTAGGTCATTAATTTGAATACGAGAGGTTTAGAATCATTAAACCTTGTAAGATGATGCATTTTGGGGCCATAAAACATATTTATTAAAAAGTAGGTCACAGTGACCTACTTTTTGAACTTTGCAGGCATTGGATTTCAAAGCGTTTTAGAGGCATAATTTGGACATTTTAAAGCCTATGATCATAAAACTTTGTGTTGATGCATCTTGGGTCCTTAAAAAACGTCAACTGAAAAGTAGGTCACCATGACCTACTTTTGAAAATTTATGGCTTTAATTAAATATTTCGGGTACTAATTGGCTTAGAATCATCAACCTTTGTCAGTTGATGCATCTTGGGTCCTTGGAGTACAACAACTGAAAAGTAGGTCACCGTGACCTACTTTTTAAAAAATTTATGGCTTTAATTAAATATTTCAGGTACTAATTGGCTTAGAATCATCAAACTTTGTCAGTGGATGCATCTTGGGTCCTTGGTGTACAACAACTGAAAAGTAGGTCACCGTGACCTACTTTTGAAAATTTATGGCTTTAATTAAATATTTTGGGTACTAATTGGCATAGAATCATCAAACTTTGTCAGTTGATGCATCTTGGGTCCTCGGAGTACAACAACTGAAAAGTAGGTCACCGTGACCTACTTTTGAAATTTTATGGCTGTATTTAATATTTTCGGGTACTATTTGGCTTAGAATCATCAAAATTTGTCAGTTGATGCATCTTGGGTCCTCGGACTAGGTTGACTGAAAAGTAGGTCACCGTGACCTACTTTTGAAAATTTATGGCTTTAATTAAATATTTCGGGTACTAATTGGCTTAGAATCATCAAATTTTGTCAGTTGATGCATCTTGGGTCCTTAGAGTACAACAACTGAAAAGTAGGTCACTTTGACCTACCTATAAAATTTTATGGTTATAATTTAAAAAAATATTTTAGGTATTAATTGGCTTAGAATCATCAAACTTAGTTGATGGGTCTTCAGAGAATGACAAGTGATAAGTAGGTCACCTGACCAACTCTCAGGTACTAGTTGGCTTAGAATCATCTTGGGTTCTCAGAATTTGAATTGGAATTTCAAGGGTTTACCTAAATATACAGGATACTTAGAGGCTTCAAATAGAAGTGATAGGTTGTACAGTTTATCAGAAGAGCGATTCAAGGCCCTTGGGCCTCTTGTTGAATATTTCATGAATTTTCCTAGCCCTCAGGCCCAGCAGGGGGAACCATGAAAGTCAAAAGTTTTGTTCTCCATAACACATAGATGCTATAATATGCCAAAATTGTAGTAGTTCAAGAGAAGAAGTAGTAGTGTTCAAAAGTTTACGAATGACCGCAACACATGACGACAGACGAGACTAGTTAGCAATACATGTAGGTCACCTGAGTGACTTTTAAGGGAGACATGAATACTAGTACTTCATTGAAGTTTACAATTTACTGCTGCTGATTCTGATAGCAGTTGTTAAATAAGGTTGTCGAACATTTAACACAATAAATAACACAAGACATTTTACACATTTATTCAATAAAACTTTGTCCTGCATATATGTATGCAAATATACTGTACATGTAATCAATAATTATTGCACTATGCCACAGAAATTTACAGTTTATTAAGCCATTTTAAGACAAGCTGCTGGGAAACCATCTCCTTTGTGTCGACTGACCAGGTCCAGTAAAGCCTGCTTCTTATGAAGAGCACGTGATGACTCAAGTTCATACAATGTACACAGATTGAATAAAACTCCTTCATGAAGATTCCTTACTGGGTCTTCATGCACCAAAACTTCTAACGTCTTCAGTGCATCCATCAGTTTGCCCATATAAAGTGAACAAGCTGCCATATTGTTGACGGCCTGTAAAAAGAAAGAAGGGGGAGATATTTACTCAAAAGCTTCTCTGATTTGTATTAAAATTAACAATATTTGTCATTCTATGATCTTACAGAGGTGTTAGAAGGATCTGCTTCCACGGCTTGTTTGAAGTTTTGATATGCATCTGAGAAATTGTTCGTACACATAGCCTCTAATCCCCTGCAATATAAAAGATACAGTCACGTGCATGTACATGTAATAAATGCAATATAAAAGATACATGTAAATATCCCTGAGCAAACATTTATTATTTCAATAATTTGAAGAAAGCAAATGTAAAGTCACAAAATTGTAAAACTGTGCTTTATTCAACAGGGAGTATATAAAATTCATGAAATAAATTTCCATACATTCATCCCTCGTAATTTCTTGATCATAGATCATACACTGACTAAAGAAATCCATTTATGAAACGTGTAAAATAACATATCTGTTCAATTCTGTTGTTTGACTAAAGCAAATTATATTCATAATAAATGGAAATACAATATAACAGTGTGTTAAAAACTGTGTAAATTACTTTTTGATAGCATTCTTACACTGTATTGATTCACTAGTGAGCAAAAATTGTATTAACTACCTATTGATAGCATTTCTTCACTGTACTGATTTGTTGTTACTGTTACTACTATTGTGTTAAAATTGAATATATGATAGCATTCCTACACTATACGGATAGATCATTGCTGTTACTGCTAGAAAGTTAAAACTGTGTAAATTACCTGTTGATAGCATTTCTACATTGTATAGATTTGTCGCTACTGTTAGAGATCACCTCTGAATGCTTAAAGCACTCTTGGGCTTTGTCAACGTTCCCCATCTGCACAAAAAAAGAACAAAAACAAACATAAAACATTGCCATACATGTAATCCATACTATGTAGTAATAAGGCTTCAAGCACATTTCACCTGCAATACATTATGTTTACCTGTAAGTAAATACGACCCATTCCACTGAGTAGTCCTGCCTTCCTTGTGGGGTCTTTCTCTAGTAGACTATTGTATGTGGTCATGGCAGCTTCATAATCCTGTAATAGGTAAAAATACATTGAGCAACAAGCTAGGAAGCAAACATTTGAATGAGAAGACTTGGAGGACTTTAAAATCTTCCTTTATTGAACGTGAATCTTTAATGAAACTACCCCGGTATATTAAAACAAAAAATTCTAAACTATCAAGATTTATCACAAATAGCATAAGAAATCCAGTAGGTGAGATTTATCTTTCCAATATTCATTCTAAGTGACATTTTTTGTTTATTTAACCTGAAGACAAAAATAAGAAGAGTTTGCTGAAACATATCAAGTCTTCCTGAAAATTCTGCTTAATTTAAGGGTATGTCCTACAGTGATAATGCTGCTTAGTAAATAGCTTTCAACTCTAACAAAGAAGCTGAAAAATTTATTTTATGCATTATTGTGTGTACAAAACGAGATCTTACTCTTAATGCAAGGAAGGTATTTCCAATGACATATAAAACTTGTCTCTCACGTTCCTTCCAAATCTCCAAAGATCCTGAAAAGGAAGCATTGCACATATACATGTACATGTATTTAATGAATGAGATAAGGAAAATTTAACATAATCAATTATCTAAGTGCTATCAATCTAAGATTTTACAGAACCAATGTTAAGCTTAAAATCTTTTTTCCACACAATATATACCTTTCCTGCTTCCATCACTAAGCTGTATTGCACTTCCATCTTCTGCATATCCTTCTTGAAGGTTTTTAAGTATCTGCAATGACAGAAATGGTCTACATTTTAATATATTAAAAGCACAACCTGCCATCATTGAAGTAGTTTGCATTCTTTAAAGTTATGGACCAGTTAAATTAAACACACTTTCACTTGAGCAACTGTTTTTGACACAGTTTGGATGACACACCTTTTGAGTGACGGCCAGTATGTAGTAAAGCCTGTCTATTGTCTCCTGTGATCTTCCCATGTAATGTGGAATCTCAGCATGTAAAATCCTCATCCCAAATGGTACCATGGATCCTACAACAAAATAAATACATGCAAATGTTCTTCAAGCAATTTTTATAAAGTATGAAACTATTGAAAAAGTTCTAACCTTTGCGACCTGGATAAATGTGTGGATAAAATTCAAAGTAGAGGTCTGGGGTGTCTAGATTTTGGAAAGCCTGCATCTCTGACTCTGCCACACTGTACAGTCTTAGTTTCAGTAGAAGGGTAAAACGACAAAACCATAACTGTAAAGAATAGAACACAGAGTGGGCACTGCACATTTGAACTACTAAGTATGTTACTACAGGATATTAATGTGTGGAGGACTAATAAGATGAATACACAGTAAAACTTTTCTAATCCAGACACCACCAGTTTCATAAAAATTGGCAGGATAATTGAGACAACATTCCAGATTAGACATTTCTAACAATTGAATTTACTGAAATGGACTTAAAGTTTACATCGTACATGTATTAGACAAGTTTTCCAAATCACAACATTTGGATTACACAAGTTTCACTGTGCATGTACATTTCGAAGCTGTAAAATTGTGCGTAGTATACTACATATCAACTAGCACTGGTTAATGGATTATCTCTTTATTGCAAATTATAATGCAAATTAGAGTCCTATTAAAATCCTTCAACTGAACATTGCTAAAGAGTACATGACATATACAATGTACATTTACAGATTATTAAAAGATTACTACATGTGAACATCTACTATGACCAAAAGACTCTATATCAAAACTCAAAAGTTCTCAAGCTGAATTTTCTCATAAAAAGATATTTTGGGTAAAACATATCATGCTAGGCTTATGATTAAACAGTATATACATGTATACTAGTGCAATATCTGTTGCTAAAAGCCCCTATTTGAAATAACCCTATTGGTAATTGCAACATTAGCTGTTACAATGTGCAAAAAGAGGAAAAAAATTTACCTGTATTGTATGCACTGTATGCTGGGTAATTTCACCAGCTTTACCAGGGCCCTGGCCCGCTGCTGTTAACAACCTTCTGCACATGTCTATAGCTGATCGATAACAACCACCTTTCTGCAATGATGAAATGCCACAGAAACATTCAATAGAAACACAACAAGAATAATAGATAAGGTAAAATAATGAGTTTCCTTTTTTAGTTGAAAGGAAGCCATAACTTTTTTTTAGTAACATTACGCTTTGATTTGGTCCCTTTTACATATGACCAATGCTGCATTTTCTTACAATGAGAGCTTTAAGTCCCTCCACATCCTGTGTCACACTGTCTACAGTCAGAATTTGTCTTTTGATAGCTTCCTGTTCTCCCATATATCTGTACACTAAATCTCTCACAGGATCACCCTATGATACAGATACATGTACATGTATATATTTAATCTTAATTTAGAACTTTACATAAAGCTCAAATCCAATGTTATTGGACATGCACAGGAAAAACAAGTGCCATGCAATCAACTTTTGTGATTCAAATTATGTAAAAACAATTTTATTTATCTATTTTACTTTATTTATTCTTTTTTTTTTTTCAAATTAAAACACACTTTTATAAAGTTTAAAAATAATAAAAATTTTATTAAATCATTTTTTGGTCATTAAAACTCATTTTTATGAAGTTTCAAAGATATTAAATACCTGTGGTTCATCAACCACAATGCCAGGAGTACTCAGCTCCTCCAGGGAAGGGGTGTAAGTACCAGGTACACTTGTTGCTATTGTCAGTAGAGTTTGTCTGGTGCCATCAGCTGGAATCCAGGCATCATGCTGTCTGTCAGACTCGCTCATTTGTAAGCTTGTTGTAAATGGATCTGTGGTATCTACATTTGGTAAAGACTGGAATGTGTTAGTAGCACTACTCTCCAAATCTAATGTTCCCTGCACTGCAGCCTCTTTTTCTTCTACAAAAGATAAATAAAGAGCCCCATAGTACACATAGTAAACATGTCCATACTTGAAGATGAAAAGCAAAAATAACCAGGAGAAAAGTCGAAGTTCTAAAATGTCAAGTATACTTAAGATTACATATAATCCTTTGTAGGAATATAAATCAAATTTTCAACTTACCATTAACATGTGTTGGAAAGACTGGTGTGCTTGGTGTCAATAATGGTGCAACATTTACAGCCGACAGAGGGTGTCCACTGAATGGCTGATTGACAGGAGAAGGAATTATGGGAGGAGTTGGTATTGCACCCTGGGAATGCTGACTGGATATGGATAATTGTGTATTGTAGTCTTGATGCATTGTTTCTGAAGTGGTTCTATGTCTTTCATTCAGATGGATATCTGTTATTCCTCCAATTGCTTGGTCAATGTCTGCTGGGCCACTCTCAGCAGTGAAAGATTCAAAATCTTCTTTATCATCTATCAACTGCATGGAGGCCTCCATAACATTTAAATCATTCTCAGGAACAGCTTCAAAATCAACACTTTCTGGCTCATCTTTAGAGAGTCTCCTTTCTAACATATCATGGTGAACTACTATTTCACCACTATCTCTTGTCTCAGATTGTTGGTCATTGGTTTGATTGAAAAGATCTTGTTGTTTCACTTCCACTGCTTGTGGTTGCTCTGTTTCCTCTGCTTGTGGTGAGCTCAGTATAACCTCCTCCTGACTTTGTCCACTGCTTAGTGCACTAAATGGATCATTTTCCTGACTGTCACTAGTAAAGTAGCTACTTATATTGATTTGATCTTTAACAGGACTACCAAACAGCTTTTCTTCCAATGTTTCTACAGAGGTTGTGTCTAAATTTATTGGTACCTCTGTACTTTGGTTCTCTGTGATTGTTTCCTTCACTCCTGAACCTGATATCTCTATCCCAGTATCTTCATACCTTTCATCCTCTGCAATACTTGGATTGCTGCCACCGAGATCTTCCAGTAGAGATAATTCATCAGTCATTGGTCCTAACGCAACAGAGTCCAAGGTGTCTGAAGTGGCCGAGTGCACAATCCGATTTGTGACTTCAGGTGAGAGAAGGCTGTCATCAAACTGGCTATCGTCAAGAAATTCATCTTCTAATACATCAATAATCTTGTCACCTGACATCTATTAAGATGATAAAAAGAACAAAATTTCTTACATATCCTTACCAAAATTGTTACACATGTAGTGATAATTAAAAATGAGCTTCTGGGGAAATACTATACTAGTGCAGAAATGTCTAAATCTGGATGGGGATATTTTGACTTGATCATGTTTTGACTCAAACCTCAACAGTCTAGACGAACTCCAAAAACAGCGTTTCCGGAAGTAAGAAATTGAGACTGAAAAAGACTCCGAAAATAGAGTCCGCGCATGCGCACATGCACAAAAAATGGCGATTTTTCGGCAAAAATGATGGGTCTACAAAAACTGTCTGTGCAAAGTTTTGGAAAGCATGGCAATTATGCCAGTACTCAGAAATGCTAAATAAAAGACTTCGGAAGAGATCGTATTTGTCAGATTTTTGATTTTATTTGCAAAAAAGGAGATATTTACTTTCAAAGTTGACGTTTGAAGTCAGGTCAATTACAGAGAAAATGATACGTTTGAGAAGTAAATATGCATAATAAAAGGGATATATATGCAAAATGGGACAATATATATTGTAACTGTTAAAAACTTTACTGAATTTTACACATAAATTAGCATTCCGGTATTTTTATTTGTGTACGACATCTGAATTGAACGCGTAAGTTCTTACAATCGTTATTTACCGATTTTTTATCACATACGAACAGATATTATTCTAAAAACATTTTTAAAACTATTAGCTATCAATATGATATCTTTAAAAACCACTCTTCTAGAAATTAAGGTCATAACATGTCTTCTAAAAATGAACCTGTGAATATCTCTCCTCTGTGGTGAGAAATACGCATTTTTTAATTAAAATAAATATAAGCTGGGTGTCTTCAAAAACAAATAAAAGCACATTTATTGTAGGAACAACATAAAATTTAAATCAAGGAGACAATAAATCAAATAAGAAAATAATTCTTACCGGCAGTATTGAATTCGATGTGACTGTCGTATATCCAATTTACTACTATGCAAGAGTTTGAAGCAATAAATAAGTCAATATCCACAAAATAATTTAATAAATATAATTATCCTTTCAACAAAAATTAAAATAAAGTCACAATGCACTAAATACAGCCATTATGCAGCCGTATATTTGGAGAAAGCGAACGACAATCCATCGTTTATTTACATCGGACGCCATTTTGCCGCAATGCATGATGGAGCCAAAGACTTCGTTTTCGGAGTTCACGCCGTTTTTAGAGTTCGTCTAGACTGCTCAAGGAAGCCTACTTCATTTTCATTCAACATTGATTCACTTTATCATGTTTACTGTCCCAGCAGAGATAATGACATGAAAAGCGGACAAAATAACATGATCATTTCCACAGTTTTGCATTAAAAAAAATCGTCTGTAAAAATCTGCACCAAAATAAGCCAAATATTACATAAAGCATACCACTTTACCTTGCCTTCAGCCTTGGTACTGAAACTTCAAACTGTGAACTTCTTGAGGTGATATTTTGTGACATATGTCGTAAAATTTGATGTCCCCATTTATTTTAATTTTAAAAGGAAAAGTCATTGAAATGATTTTTTAAATACGCTATCTGTTCTGTTTATTGCTTTATTTTAAAAATGTTCCCAATATTTCTTTTAAAGAGAAGGAGAGAAAATTACGACAATCAAAGACTGAACACCATGGAAGATGAGGCTCCTGTCATCTATGGATTAGAATTTCAAGTACTTCTCATTAATCTGATATAAGCTCATGTCATTATTTATCAGATGAAACGTATTTTGCTTACAACTACCTGATTAAAATGTTCAGCTTAACTAAAATGTTATAACTGTCTTGGGACTAGCTGCAGAACTGTAACTCTCTAGTTGAGAAAATTCGGACAGACAAACCGATCCGAGTATTGTAAAAACTCTCGATTTACACCGCTGCTCTTTTGTTGCTCGCTTCGACTATTATTTTTTGTATTAAATGCGTAACATTGTTATATATATCAGGTCTAGGAAAATCACTATATTTAGCTATATAGCTAAATCTACCTATATAGCTTTATTTACCTATATAATATAGCTTTATTTAGCTATTTCAGAGTAAATTTCTGTTTTATGAAAAGCAGACAAAAAGTCGCATAATGCAGCAGTATTAGTTTTCAACTTTGAAATGGACTGAAAACAATTCACCAAAAACCCACTTTTAAAAATGTTTCTCCTTTTGTGCAATTGCAATCAAAGATCTAAAAGTTTTGGGGCTATGTATAACAGTTAATCTGTGAATAAGCAGCTACTTTAACAAAGAAAAGCAGTTTTGGTCAACAAGATAATTGATTGGTAATAATTCAGCACAATGCAAGGCAATCACACTTAGTCATGCCTCATCGCACTTCCAGTAACGGACAGCTATCCAAACAATAGAGATGCATTTTTTGGTTAAAAAGTGTTTAAAAGAGGCAATGTTTTTACTATCTATGCCCTAGGTTGTTTTTATCAAACCTTTTTAAAAAAATATCAGCCATAATTTTCATGCGACTTTTTGTTTGCTTTTCATAAAACAGAAACTTATTCTAAAATAGCTAAATAAAGCTATATTATATAGGTAAATAAAGCTATATAGGTAAATTAAGCTATATAGCTAAATATAGCTAACCACTCCGAAATGATTTTGAAGAATATAAAAGGAGTTGCACTGAAAATATCTACCAAATTAATGATAACAAACCTTTTTGAGATTGTATATGCCTTTTAACCTAAAAAATAATCCATATAAATACGAAAATTCAACTCATTTTCTCAACGTTTTTTCCTCGCTTTAAATTTAATGCAATGTTTACATTCGGAACTCTCTAGATTGTTCATAGAAAATGCACAGAGTTCGAGTTATCGCCCGTGTTTATTTTGCAACATTGCCAATACACGGAACGAATTCTATCGTTAAACCGGGTCCGTAGGACAATATCATTTTAACGATAGAACATTCTATCTACTGACAAGTATGAAGCCATGTGACATTATGACTCACTTATGGTCATATACTGCACAGTATTTAATTACACAGTTTAAATAAATCACATTTCAAAGATATTAGAAATTTAAAACATTATAACCGATTTACTTACCGACTCCGCATTTAATTAGCAGACAATTTAAAATCAATCTAACTGTGGAAACATGAGGTTATTCAAGTTCAAAATCGGTGGGAATTTTAATTTGAACATAAATAACATATATCATGTTTATCTTCACTCAATCTCTTATTTTTATTTTTTATCTCAGATACGCCGTATTTAGCTTTATTTTTTTTTATTTTGCATTTGACATGTGATATCACAAAAATTCCAAAAGATAGAATTATTTTTAAATTATGTGAAGAAGCAGCAAAGAATTGTACATTTAATGATGTTTTAGTCATAAAAAATGAGCAACAAATAACACTGCAATTATATTTTAGAAAAATGCATTTTTCATTGAAATACGTATGTAGTGGAAAAATAAAGTTATGACTCATTTATGGCCAAGTATTGTAGCTCTCTGGTTTGTCTTTCTGAATTTTCTCAACCAGAGAGCTACAGTTCTGCAGCTATCTTGGGACAAACCCAAACTACAGGCAGAATACGTCCCATAGTCAGACTTGTCGAAATTTTGAAATCACTTTCAGACATTTGGTCTGACAAAGTCAAATGTTCTGTTGGACTGGATGAAGTTTTGTCAGACCAGATACGTGTACCCTTTTTTAACACTGAGAAAGGAAAATAAATAACTGCACCAAAATGCCATATAAGGACATTGGCAAGGTTCCTGGTTATTGTATAGAATTTTCAAGAACATTTGAGTAGGTTTAAGTGGACTAAATATGCTATATTCTGGATCGTTTTACCTACCAATCCAGCATTCTTTTTTAGATTTTGTCAAATTAGTGTTTTTACAATTCTTAATGCATTTTCTATGTAAAATGTTGATAAAAGGGACCTACATAATTTTTCACCATAATATTTCTTCAAAACCCATTTATTTCATACAGTTTTTGTATTATATACATTATTGTAACTTCATTTCCTATGACTTCTAGATATTTTGGTTGAAAATGTATATATAGAAAAAAGACATGGATATACCAGCACCGATCATCATTTTTGAGTTGCGTCCCTTAACAGCTAAAATTGGTCAAGTGACTGGTTGATTGTTTTTATCATGTAATTGACTGAACTGATTGAAATACATTGTCATAAAAATATTAGCATGGATTTATTTTTAACTTTTATTCGTAATTACTAAATGCTGATTCCTTCACACGACCTAAGAACTGTTCTCAGTGGGCATGGTCGACCTACCTTTCAGCATATGTCACATCTTTGCCCTTCCCAGCATACTGAGCATAACTATGGTAAATGATGACCTGTTTGGTCTTTGTCCCTGAATACAATGTACAACAAAGCCATTACTACTTTTCTTTCTTGCTGTATAGATGATTCTACCTGTTGAAGGAAGTACACGTGCTTTTGTTTACCTCTGTAACATACGCTTTACTGGTTTTCACCGCTTAGAGAATTCTACACGGGAGATCACTCTCAATCACTATTTTACAAGTGAAAAAACCCATGTATTAAACCTTTTTTCTCTGGAAAGCCCTGACTTGCCAATGTCCTTAATATTTTCAACAGTCTTCAATCTCACAAGTTTCTTTTCTTAGGATAGAGAGTCTTTAATCAGAGACATAAATGACATGTTTTATGTCTTTGCTTTAACAAATTTAATTGACCATCATCTCCACACTTCCATCTCTTCTGTTTTCGTGACCTTCACCTGTGCATCCCAATCCCAATTAATCTTTAAGATTTTCGTCTCGATTTTTTCAAACGGTCATTTGGACTGACGTTTTCTTGTAAGTTACCAGTCCAGGCAAATTTTTACCGGCCTTACCAATAGGATGGACAATTTTCGACAAGTCTGCATAGTTGCAATGTAGCAAATCAAAGCAGATTTGCTGCGGCGTGATTTTGAAGAATACAAAATACAAAAGGAATTGCACTTAAAATAACTATCAAATTAATCATAAACCTTTTTGAGCTTGTGTATGTCATCTACCCTAAAAAAAATCCATATAATTATTAAAGAAAAAAATCAGCATTTTGAAATCTTTCAGCATTTTTTTCTCATTCAAATACATGCCATGTTGACATTTGAAACTTTCTGGATTGTTCATAGCATATGCATAGAAATATTGCATACACACAGATGGAATTGTATCATTAAACCTGGTCATTATCATTTTAATGATAGAACTATTTAGTGTACCATCAGATTTTTTCAGAAGTATTTCCTCAATTAATGATGTAGAACAAACAATACAATGTATACTCATTAGTTTATAGATTGAACATATTTTATTGATTTTCAGGCAAGATCAATCTCCGCACAGTCAGCTGAGACAGAGCAGATACGATTTCTGGTTGGGACACAATCTCTTCGATCTGAGAATCAGGTATCCATACTTAAATTAACCTTTTATAGAATTACTGAAATGCCAACCTCCACTTAAAAGTTTGCAGTAAAAACACTGTATTACTGTACAGTATTTTTAAATACAAATGTATATCTCAATAACAATGATTTATCTATGTTTTAGGTTCATCATATTGACTTTGATGATGAAAACAATGTTCTCAATAAAAATATTTTTCTACACCGTGAAGGAGAGATATGGAATCTTACCGCATCAACTGTTGACAAGAATTTACTGACAACATGCTACAATAAAAGTAAGAGTGCAGAATAATTGAAAATAAATGTGTGTGTGATGATGAGTTTCTTCTGCAGTTAGGGTATTTTAAAAGTAAACTTTTCATTATGTTTATACTGTACAAACCATGCTACTAAATGTATGTACATATATCAGTGTTCGTACTTAAATGAAAAGTATTATTCTAGCTTCAGAATCCAAGGCAGAAATGAAGGCTGCCCTATGGAGGATACCATGTGATTTGGATAATTCAGATGACAGTTCTCATTCCTGTCTAGAACTTGTCTGCCATCTTAACAATGCAGATTACGGTGACATGAAGAGGTTACTGAATCAGTTTGAATTTACTTCATACACAAATTAGTTATGCATTCTTTGCATGTATATACAGTAAAACACTCTTATAGCAAAGCACCTTTATTTTTTTACCTTGACCTTTCCTTTTACCTTGACCTCACTTTTCTTATATTATTGTTTGAACCAGTTTCAAATGAACTATTTGATTAGCTGCAGAACTGTAGCATTATGGTTTTATATTTTAGTTGTTGGCCATAACGCTACAGATCCTGTTATGTAAATAAAGTGCAATTTACGGCACAAGATTTTCTATGCATTTTGGGGATGTATTTCGCCACTTTCCATTTTTGGTCAATCAACAACCTTTCATCCCCTAATTCTAGACATATTCTATAACCAACCTGTATATTTTATCCACCTCCTAATTAACCATTTATCAGTGTTTATAGTCGTCTCTACAGACCAATAAAATTTTTATGCCGTCCGACAACAAAGTCACAACAAGCGAGTTTATTGGTCTGTAGAGACTATATAGGGTTAGGAGGTGGATAAAATATACAGGTTGGTCATACAATATGTGTAGAATTAGGGGACTAAAGGTCGTTGATTGACCAATGCTGGAAAGTGGCGAAATACATCCCCAAAGTGTGCAGAAAATCTTGTGCCGTAAATTGCGCTTTATTTACATCACAGGATCTGTAGTGTTATGGTCAAAGACTAAAATATAAACCATAATGCTACAGTTCTGCAGCTCCTATTTGATATATTTTATTAAACCTTATGTGCTGATATGTATTGATGAGAAGTATTCAACTTTATCAATTTTTTTTTTACCTTGACCTTTCTTCTGACCTTGACCTCACTTTTCTTTAATTTGTGTTTAGCTAAGTTTCAAAGAAAGTTTTTTTTTTTTATCAAACTATTTGCTGATATGTATTGTTGAGAGCTAATCAACTTCATCAACATTTTTTTACCATGACCTTTCCTTTGACTTTGATCTCACTTTTTATCAACATTTTTACCCTGATCTTTTAATTTGTGTTTAGCTCAGTTTTAAGAAACAAATCAAAATATTTTATCAGTCTTCATTTGCTGATATATTTTGATGAGTTCTATTGAACTGCATCAACATTTTTTGTCCTTGGCCTTTCCATTGACCTTGACCTTACTTTTCTTAAATTTGTATTAAGCTCATTAGCTCAGTTTCAAAGAAACTATTCAAGGTATTTTTATGAAAGCTTATGCACTGATACATATTTTGATGAGAGAATTCATCAACTATGTCCAATTTTTTTATGTTGACCTTCCCAATGACCTTTGCCCTTACTATTTATTTTGTATGAAACTCAGTTTTAAAGAAAGTATTCAAGTTATTTTCATCAAACTTCATATACCAATACAGATTTTTATGTTACTTTATGTTACATTACCAATGAACCCTGGGTAGGGCATTCATGTCCCATGAACACATTTCTAGTTTTCTTAATATGTAAGGATATTCTTTCTTTGCTTGAATGTTGCAAATCCAAAATCAAATATAGCTAGTTAGCTTTCTAGGTAATTCTCTATGCTAAAACCAAGTACAAGTATTTATATTTAAAGTATCAGTAAGTTCACATTTTTAGCTCACCTGAGCCAAAGGCTCAAGTGAGCTTCTCTGATCAAAATTTGTCTGTTGTCGTTGTTGTCGTTAACTTTTCACAGTTTCATCTTCTTCTCCAGAACCACTGGGCCAATTTCAACCAAACTTGGCACAGAGTATGCCTGGGTCAAGGGGATTCAAGTTTGTTCAAATGAAGGGCCAAGTCCTCTTCCAAGGGGAGATAATTACAAATTAGTGAAAAATTAATGGCATCTTTAAAAAATCTTCTTCTCAAGAACAAATGGTCCAGGAAAGATGAAACTCATGTGGAATCATTGTCAGGTAGTGCAGATTCAAATTTGTTCAAAGCATGACCCCCGGGGATAGGGTGGGGCCACAATGGACAATCAAAGTTTTACATAGGAATATATAAGAAAAATCTTTAAAAATCTTCTTCTCAAGAACAGCAAAGCTATGATTGGTCATATTTATATGGAAGCATCCTCAGGTAGTGTGGATTCAAGTTGTTCAAATCATGACCACCCGGGGGTAGGGTTGGGCCACAATGGACATCAAAGTTTAACATAGGAGTATATAGAAAAAATCTTTAAAAATCTTTTTCTCAAGGACAGCAAAGCCGTGATTGCTCATATCTATATGGAAGCATCCTTAGGTCATATAGATTCAAGTTTGTTCAAATCATGTCCCCCAGGGGTAGGGTTGGGCCACAGTGAAAGTTCAAACTTGTAGGAAAAAAAGCCACAGTTAGTCAAAGAAATATGTAAGCATCCTTAGTTAATGTAGATTCAATTTCGTTCAAATCATGAACCCCATCCCCCCCCCCCCCCTCTTTGCTAGGGGTAGGTCAGAACAATTATGCATGTAAGCTTTTCAATACTTAACTGATTTTTGTTTTTTTCCTAGCTGCAGTGCTCAGGTGAGTGATATGGCCCATGGGCCTCTTGTTTGAAACTAGCCATTTTGAGAGACAATAGCAACATTTTCTTGATATTGTGTATTTTCAGTGTGTTATGGCACCCAACAGGTGATACCACTACACTAGTCGGTATCTCAGACAGTCATTTACTCACCTGGGACTTTGATGCTTCATCCTCTGTAGCCAAGGTGAGTATTCTTGTCCTTAAATAACAAAAATTTAAATATGGATTACTTTCAATAAATGATTTTAAACGATAGTTGAAAAAACACAAATTTCTTCCATACCTAAGACATCTCCCAATCCTCATTTCTTCCATCTCCAGATTCAGATCAAATGTAAAATAAACGGAACCAAATACATTTACAAAAATATCATTCACATATTTCCACTTGAAACTAAAATGATGGTATTCATAACATTTAAATGTTTTTAAGATTAAGGAATCTACTGGCCTCGAAAGTAAGGGTCAGCCAAAATTCACCTGTGCGAGATGGAACCCCCATCACAACTGTACACAGGTAGCCACGGCTAATGATTCCTGCATTAGGGGCTGGGACATAAGATCCATGAAGTAAGTAGTCACAGAATTCAACCTAAGATGCAGATTTATTTTAAATTAAGTGGTATAAATGTACAGTTTAAGTATATTTTTACCATACATTTTTCTGTATAGCTCTCTGGTATGGCAAAATTGTGATGGACAACCATTGCTCACCCCGTTTTACCAGATTTGCAGCTTTTTTTTTTTTTTTTTTGGTACTGTATTTAAAAGTTCACAGAAAGTTAAGTTTATTTATGAGTAAATCTTTTTATTTTGTGATGGTATATCTTAAATACGTTGAGCTTGAAATGGCCAAAAAGACACGGATTATCCTGAAAATAATTGAATGTTTTGGTGATTTGAAGTAATTCCGTACATGTATTAGGTGAAAAGAATAATAAAACTAATGAATTTTTTATTCAATTTGTAGAATTGATAATCACAGTGAAATTCCTTTCTTTACAGACAAGTATACAACATAGAAAATGCTCATGGACAGTTAGTGAGGGATATGGACTTTAATCCCAATAAGCAATATTACTTAGTGAGTTGTGGTGATGACTGTAAAATAAAATTCTGGGACACAAGAAACCCAACAGAGCCTCTTAAAGTTCTTTCTGAGCATTCACATTGGTAAGTATTTGCACCCTCTCTTTATGACACATGCGTGATCACACATCTTTGTCTAACACATGAATTTCATGCATGTTTCCCTATGTTTTTGTCAGGGTGTGGTCTGTGAAGTACAACCACTTTCATGATCAGCTGTTATTAAGTTCCAGTAGTGACAGTCGGGTGATCTTACACAGTGTGGTGTCCCTCTCCTCAGAGCCTTATGGTCACCTCGCAGAAAATGAGGATAGCGATGAAGATGCCGAAGACAAGTAACGTCCATTTTTTTCATATTACTTGTACATGTGACAGTTAGATGTAGTTTAAAGCAAAACTTTCCATTAATTTCTGTAATATTTACAGTTAAAGCAATTACTTGTTACAGATTACATGTGTATATGCATTGGATATGTGCAAATCTTCATGGCATCAAGTGTAGTTGTCTATAGGCCAACTGATAACTAAAATATAGATAAAACTATCCAGCAGATCTATTGAAGTAGACAAAATTTCTACTTGCATGTGTTTAAAGAAAAAAATAAATTGATGGTGTTTTTAGGTCACCTGAGTCACTCAGGTGACCTATTGCTATCCGTTCTCGTGCGTTAACATTTGAACATTTTTAGCTTCTTCTCTGAAACCGCTTAACCAATTTCAACCAAATTTGGCATATAGCATCTATGGGTGAAGGGGAACAAAAATTTTGAATTTCATGGTCCCTGCCCCCCTGGGGCCTGAGGGGTGGGGCTAAAACCACCAAAAATAATGCAATCTTTAAAAATCTTCTTCTTTACTCCTGGACATCAAGCAGTGAAACTGTTGGCATGATTGTAATAAGCATTGAGCCCTCTACCAAAATTGTGAAATTCATGGCCCCAAGGTCAGGGGTTCTGGCCCCAGGGTTGGGCTATATAGATCATATAGTGAAAGTGCATTATTTCTTTGAAAATCTTCTTCTCTGCTCCTGGGTATTAAATAAGGTAATTATGTACATAGTTATGAAGAGCAAGAGTGCCTCTTCCAAAATTGTGAAATTCATGGCCCCGGGGTTAGGGGTTCTGGTGTAAGGGCGGGGCTCTATTGATTATATAGTGAAAATGCATTAATTCTTTGAAAATCTTCTTCTCTGCTCCTGGGTATTAAATAAAGTAACTAAGTACATAGTTATGATGAGCAAGAGTGCCTCTTTCAAAATTGTGAAATTCATGGCCCCAGGGTCAGGGGTTCTGGTGTTAGGGCGGGGCTCTATAGATTATATAGTGAAAAAGCATTAATTCTTTGAAAATCTTCTTCTCTGCCCCTGGGTATTAAGTAAAGTAACTAAGTACATAGTTATGATGAGCAAGAGTGCATCTTCCAAAATTGTGAATGTCATGGCCCCAGGGTCAGGGGTTCTGGTGTTAGGGCGGGGCTCTATCAACTATCTAGTGAAAATGCATTAATTCTTTGAAAATCTTCTCTGCTCCTGGGTATTAAATTAAGTAACTAAGTACATAGTTATGATGAGCAAGAGAGCCTCTTCCCACATTGTGAATTTCATGGCCCCAGGGTCAGGGGTTCTGGTGTTAGGGCGGGGTTCTATCGACTATATAGTGAAAATGCATTAATTCTTTGAAAATCTTCTCCTCTGCTCCTGGGCATTAAGGTGATAAACTAAGTACATAGTTATGATGAGGAGGTGGGCCCCTTCCAGAATTGTGAAAGCCATGGCCCCTGGGTCAGGGGTTCTGGTGTTAGGGCAGGGCTCTATTGATTATATAGTGAAAATGCATTAATTCTTTGAAAATCTTCTTCTCTGCTCCTGGGTATTATTTAAACAAACTAAGTGCATGGTTATGATGCATAAGGATGCCTTTTTAAAAATTGTGAATTTCATGGCCCCAGGGTCAGGGGTTCCTGTGTTAGGGCGGGGCTCTATTGATTATATAGTGAAAATGCATTGATTCTATGAAAATCTTCTTCTTTGCTACTGGAGATTATTTAAACAAACTAAGTGCATGATTATGATAGGCAAGGATGCCTCTTCCAAAATTTTTAAATACATGGCTTCAGTTTTTGGGGTTCTTGAGGAGGGGGGCTCTATTGATTATATAGTGAAAATGCATTAATTCTATTAATTAATCATTAAGTAATCCTGTCTGCTCCTTAGTGTTGAGCTGATAAATAAATTGCTTAGCTATGATGAAGATGGGAGCTTCGAACAGAATTTTTAAATCTTGTGGTCCTAGGGTCAGGGGTTCTGGCATAACGAGGAAGGGGGGGGGGGGGGCTTTGATGATATAGTGGAAAAGTGTTAATTCTTTGAAGTCCATAGTTATGATGCTGAGGGTAACTCTTCCAAATTTGTAAATTTCTTGACCTTTGGTCTTGGGTTCTGGTGTTAGGGTAAGGCTTTGTTGAATCTGTAGTGAAAATGCATTGTACCTGTGAAATTCTTCTCGAAAGCAAACTGAGTAAAAGTTTAAATGATATAAGTAAGTGTATTTCTACCAGATTTTTGAACATCTGGACAATTTGTCTATTAAGCAGTCTGGTCCTGGACAGGGCTCTATTAATTTGTATTCTACTGAGAGAAGTTATTCCCCTTTTCCATTCACCTTTGATAATTAATCACTGTAAATAATGTATTTGAAAGACTAATAGAATAAGATAATTATGCAAAAATGTTTATCGTATAATTCAAAAAGTACTTTCTTAGTTTTAATAATCAGGCAGACCTGTAAGTAATAGATAAATAAAAATGAGACAAAAATAACTTATCTTATTAAAAGTTCTTCAAAGACCATAAGAGAGGTCAATGCTAGAGGTCTTAATATGGGTTTAAAAATAGTACAGAAGCACTAATAGTTTGTTAATAGTCTGCATGGTGATAATATTAAGTGGGGGACAGATTAGAACTTAAGTTATGAGTTGATACTGAATACTAGACTAATTATTTTGTTGATCCTGATCTTCCTACTTCTCTTGCTTTAGGGCAACAAAGCTTCATCTGTCAGTGTATTTAACTTCTAAATTGTTGTATTATACTCAGGTGACCGTTAAGGACCTTGGGCCTCTTGTTCTCATTGTCAGGTCAGCAGAGCCACCAAAGGACGGGGTGATTGCAACTTACGAGGAGCATGAGGATAGTGTTTATGCCTCCTGTTGGTCCACGGCTGATCCCTGGGTATTTGCCTCCTTGAGTTACGATGGTCGTCTTGTGATTAACAGGGTCCCTCGTGCAGAAAAATACAAAATTCTTTTATGATGTTATCTCATTTAAAATAACTTTTATTCAGATATTTGATACTTTGTTTATTTCCTGTAAGGGCAGTGTAAGGACTTTACAATACCCATAAGTGCAAACATTTACTTGTATGCATGAATGATAAGTGCAATATACATGCAACTGTATGCCTATTTAATTTTAAGATTAAATTAATAAAATGTACATATTTTATGCTCGTGTTCAACAATGCATTTTTTAAGTGTCTCAAGATTTTGGCACTGTTCTAAAGAGTATTGATTGATCTTTCAGAACTTTAGAGTCTTTCTGCAAAATTTATTTAATATTTTGCTGAATTTCCACCATACAGCAAAACTATCATGATGAACTGATTGGTTGTGACTACTTATTGATAGATTTGTACTCCATTTACAGTCTTTGTACCAGACTTCTCTAATAGGAGGAATATCATTTCACCTTCCCTGTGCCATTTACCAAAATTCTATTTATCAAGATTCTATATACCAGTACATCATGTCCATACAAGATAGTGATTTGAAAACTCTCATTCATTTAACCTGTTGCACTGTACCATGATATTACATTATAAATGCGCTCCATATGTTAATTTTAATTTGTCAGCTTCAGAACTAATAGATCTGTGCAGACAATAAACATTAATGGAGTTTAATAACTGGACCAAATTTTATTTAATTCTATTTTCACTGAAAGTAAAAGTTTGTGATGTTTTCGGGCTGAGCAATATCTCTTATAGGAACCAGTTCTTAATAAGTGATTTAAACTGAATATCTCCTTGCCCCTGCATCACAAAATATTGTGGCCAGCTCCTGTGTTTTAAATTTAGGTACTCTTGATCTTTATAGATCTAATTCAAAAGCAACAACAGAGTTTGTTTCAGCGAGTTATTAACAGTATCCAATAACAGCTTAAATCTTAATTATGAAAGCCCAAGCACCAATCATTCAACAGTTATAGTCAAGGGTATTGTTTTCTAAAAGTAGGTCAAACTCCAAGGTCAAGGCCAAAGGTCAAAATTAATGGTACACAGTGGAAAACATTGTCATCAGAAATACACATATGCAAAATATAAAAGCCCGAGCACCAACTGTTCAAAAGTTATGGCCAAGGTTAAAGTTTTTCAAAAGTAGGTCAAACTCCAAGATCAGGGTCAAAAGATAAAAATTGCTGGCATCCAAAGGAAGGTCTTGTCACAAGGAATATACTATGGCCAAGGTTAAAGTTATTTTTAAGGTGGGTTAATCTCTAAGGTCAAGGTCAAAAATATTTACACCCATGGAAAGGTCTTGGCACGATGAATACACATATGAAATATGAAAGTCCTAGCACCAACTGTTGAAAAGTTATGGCTAAGGTTAAAGTTAGGTAAATTTTTGCGAAAGTGAGTCAAACTCCAAGGTCAAGAGGTCAAATAAGTTGGTACCCAAAAGAAGGTCTTGTCACAAGGAATACACATGTGAAATATGAAAGCTATTGATATCTCAAACCAATTAAAAGTTAAGGGCAAGGTTAAAGTTTTTGCGGACAAACAGACAGCTAGAATGATGGATGGACAAAAACTATGTACCCCTGAATCTTCGATTACTGGGGCATGAAAATACGGAAAAAAAAAATAAAAGAGCCCAACAGGGATAAATTTCAAATGAAAGAGTACCATTTTATGAACTTATATCTCCAAACCCCCCTAACTCCTATTTTAAATCTTCAAAACTTTCTATGTTTACAAGTTTAAGATGAATGGAGAAAAAACTACACTGGAAAAAAATTTCTAATTAATATGATAGCATATTGTTAGGTGATGGAGTTAGGGTTCATTGGACGTATTATAATGTACACGGATATTTGGGTAGTAGGGGATATACACTCTGTATGACTTGAATACAATCATGTCATATTCTTGAGTGTTTTTTTTTATGTACTTAAGAATGTTAAATTTCTTACATTAAAAAAAAATCTGGCTTAGTCAGAAAATTTACTTGACAGTTAAAAAGTCATTTTATTGAAACTCAACTCTTGGTTTTGGCTTTTTCCAAGCAAGAGTAGATTTACGTTATAATTCATTTGGAATTCTTTAAGCAAGTAACCACATGCTCATAAATTTATATAAGTTTTCATAAACCCAAAAAACTTAACAGATATAAACAATATTCATAAACATAAAGAATCCCGCCTCATTTTAAACAAAGCCGGCCATTAAACTTGACGAAGTCACGCATGCGTATTGAGCAAATGTAATGCAGTCTGGGATATCGAAGTTTACAAGGCACAAGAAAACAAGTGGTTTGAGTTGGAAATTAAATTTAATCGATTCATTTTGAACTTTACTGAAGTGTGACTATTTAGAGGAGGTAAGCATTTGGTAATATAGTATTTATCGATTATGTTGCACTTGAGCGCAAAGGCTGGGCTATATTTTTATTGTAAACGGTTAGTAAAACTACTGCACATGCATGGTTGTAAACAAAAGAAATAACATGCTTTCATAAGTTATTTGCCATGTTGACAGTCTATCAGTGAGTGAAATTACTCTATCATATTCTTCTGCGACAGTAAGGGAATACATTTTGTAACATTTTAGTTGCGATATTGTCCAGAAATGCTAAAACTCCCGCCATGTTGAACTCTTCGAGTTCGTCGTCGATCGTCTCATGGACGAATATTATTACTGTCTGATCAGAGTGTGGAGTTACTGCAGACTCGGATCAGACAATCTGCACGTATATTAACATTGGAAATTGATACCTTTGTTCGTTTTAATTCATATCAGCTTATATTGCAAACAATCACTTGCGAGCATGAAACTAACGAGGCATGTTTACGCTTTGCTCATCTTGTACGAAGGGAAATAACTCGCATGTTTACTCCTTGCAGTGTGTTGGGACTGCCAGTACCTGTATAACGTTATATGTTGAAAAATTCTCTTTTTCATAGGGATTTCTCTGATTAATGAAAAAAAAATGATTTTGCTGACTCTATTGAATATATCATTTTAAAAATAATAAGATGTAAAATAAATGAGGAAAACTGAAAATAAATTAGAATTTGATATTCAAGAAAGAAAAATTATATTCAGGTTATAAGGACATTAAGGAATCTGAATGGTTTGTATATTTTGAATAAAATTTTTGATTGTAAGCTTTATCAGTCTTTCCCAGTGGTTGTGAAATGCAGATGTGTTGATCATACTATCAAATCCTTGTCCTCTGGCCTCTCTACATCAGCTAGGCCTTTCAAATCAGTGCCAATACTTAGCAGGTACTTTTACCCAGCGGAAATCATGATTGCAGTGGCCAAATTATATTCGATGGGGAAAAATTCCATAACATATTCAATTAAAAAATCACCTATTTTTATAAAAGAACCCATTGTTTCTATTTAAATTTTTTTTTGGAAAGCCATGCAGTGCTATTTGGCATTGATTGCAAGGATTTATATATCCACAGAGATTGCAGGACATGGCCTAACTAGTTATGAAATCTTTTAAAAATAAGTTTGACAGTTTCATTGATCAAGTGCATATATATTTACATACAACATACTGATCTGTATATAAGTGTTTCATACCTAACTTTATTCTTGGGTAATTTAAATGAAATTATGCATACTATATATCACAGACTTATATACTAACTGAAGGAGTTGTATATAAGTCCCTGATAATATACAAGATTGAAGCCCAACATCAATAAAAAGAGAATGAAAAAATGATTATTTATGGTGCAACCTTACACAACTCATTACTAATCATCTTTCTGCTTTACAATCAGTGGGTAAATTTTCCTGTTTTTTGTTAAAATTACATTGTTTCCAAATTTTTGTAGGGATGTCCGCTCCATGTGAAATTCTGGAGTATGAAGTTCATTTGACATCACAGGATATCAAGGAAGAGCCTGTTGATCATGTTGTTGTTATTGAGGTAAGACAATTTATATAACAATAGTACCGTGCAGTTAAACTGTGGTATCTTGACATCAGCAGGACTACATAAAAATTACAGACATGACTTAATTAACACAGAGAAAAAGAAATTCAACATCAATTTAAATATCAGGGTTGCAAATAACCACTCGCAAATGTGAGTACTCTTGCCTGTGGGCGAACAACTCTGGAGGATATTATCGCCCACATGGCAGTAAGATTTTTATCAGACATTTTCCGGAAGCTGATCATGGCTTGGTTCCACTATTAAATGCACTTTCATTTTCACTGTTTTCTTCCCATAAAAACATTGTAAGGATCCAGAATCGTGTCGACAAAACGCTTCCTTAAAAGCATGAAAATTCCTTCAACATTTATTTAAAAATTTTCCTTTTATGTCTCAACAGTAGCTGGTTTTTGTCCTTTTCCTATCAAGCTGCAGTGTTTATTATTCACAGCAGCTGTATTCATTTATTTTCCTCCTGAAATAAAAATGTTTTTAAATTTTTTTCTGCTACTGTGGGTAAAAATGTTTCAAGCTATGAACTTTGAAAGTTGGTAAAATATTATCTTTTCTGTAGAAACATTTCTTTCAATTTGAAAATCATAATTTGAAGTGAATTAATGAAATCATTGAACTTCATACAAGTGGTTTTGAAATCCCAAGAAAAATTGAAAGACTGTGGACAGGAAAGTATTTGAGATTATCATAAGAAATGATTTTTTTTTTACCGGTACCAAGTGAATAGAAAATAGTGGGCCCCAAAATATCAATGCATGCTAGTAAAACTTGTGAAGTTGGGGGGGCCGCATGGCCACTAAGTTTAAAATGTTATTTGCAACCCTGAATTACAGTATTGAAACATTAGGATATGCATTATGCAGAGTAATTCAGATTTACTCATAGTTCATGTCTTTTGCACAGATCTTTGAATTTCATTATATGGTCTATGAAAGTCATTGAAAAAGAGAAATACTTCATTACCTCATCCATATGACCTTGACTCATGGTGATTACAAATTCTATGGAATGAGCAACCTTTGACCTAAAAATGTAAGAGCTACTACTACTGTAAAGAGGAAACCTATGGTGCCTTCCAGTTTTACTTGCAGGGAATATATTTAAGGAAAAAACTCTCCTTTTTCAGAGAGAGAAGGTTAAAAGTCCATAATTACCGGTATCGTCATTAGGCTTTTCCTTTGAGAATATGTCTTGGTCCTGTTCGACTATTTTTGACTAAATACCCCTCTCAAAAAAAAAATAGATGCTGCCATAAGACAATAATTCCTGCACGCAAGTGTTTGACTCTTAATGTACTCTTCATACTCCAGGGCTCAACATTAACTTTTTTCGTACTTGTCCATTTGGACAAGTGACAAAGGCAATAACTTGTCTGAACTTCAACTTCACTTGTCCGAAAATTTTTCAATACAGATCTAATACTGTCAACTGGAAAACTAAAAATATAAAATACAACAAAAAACATAAAACAAAATTTCTAAAACAAATTCTAGACTTTCTGTCCTGACAATATAAATGCTGTCAAAATAAAACAGAATCCAAACTTCGCAAGACGGTAATGGGTAAGTTCCATGCCTTTGCAGTAGTGTGCAATTAGTGAACTTCGATCCCAATCGAGTGTGAACTCAATTACATAGCGATCCATATCAGGATCTAAGTTTGGTTTTATGTACTGTTTCCATCTTTAAAGTACCAGTAAACTTTTAACAGTTGTTCTTTTTAAAATTTAGAGACTTCTTTACATTAAAATGCACTTGTCCAATCAGACAAGTGCCCAGCAATATTCACTTGTCCATAATTTTTTTTCACTGGTACCGGACAAGCTGACAAGAGTTAACAATGAGCCCTGTACTCTGTAAGGAAATTTTGAATTACCCTTTATTAAGCAGTTGATTAAGTATCTTTTGTAAAGTTTTTAGCTCACCTGAGCTGAAAGCTCAAGTGGGCTTTTCTGATCACATTTAGTTTGGTATCCATCTGCTGTGGCTGTTTGTCTGTCCTTCTTATTGTAAACTTTCCACTTTATCAACTTCTTCTCAAGAACCACTGGGCCAATTTCAATCAAACTTGCCAAATAGCAGACTTGAGTGTAGAAGGTTTATATTTAATCAAATAAAAGGCTGTACCCTCTTTCAATGAGAGATAATTAAGAATAAGTAGAAATTAAATGGCATCTTTTCAAAAATCTTCTTCTCAAGAACTATTGGTTAAGATAAGATGAAACTTTAGTAAAAGCTTCATTATATAGTGTAGATTCATGCAAGTTCAAATCATAACCCTAGGTGGTAGGGTGGGGCCCCAGTGGATGATAAAATATTTACATAGGAATATATATATAGGGAAAATCTTTAAAAAATCTTCTCAAGAACAGCAAAGCCATGATTATTCATATTGAAGCATCCTCAGGTAGTGTAGTTCAAGTTTGTTCAGATCATGACCCTGCATGGATAGGGTTGTTTACATCATGATCCCTGGGGGTAGAATGTTGCCACAATGGTGATCGAAGTAATACTTAGGAAAAATCTTTAAAACTCTTCTCAAGAACAGCAAAGTCATGATTAGTTATCCTCAGGTTTTATAGAATCAGGTTTGTTCAAATCATGACCTCAGGTGTTGGACGGGGCCACAATATGTGATCAAAGTTTTACAAATTACGTAGGAATAGATAGGGAGGAAAATCAGCTAACGAAGAACAGCAGGGCCATGTTAATCAGATGAGCATTGTGGCCCATGGGCCTCTTGTTTTGTTTTATTTTTGATAAAAGTTTCAACAAAAATTGTTTGTTTTTGTTTTTTAATTACTGGTATAACATTGACTTAGATTCAGTTTGCAAGATCAAACTATCATATCTGTCACCTCCTTAATTTGATCTTAATCTTACACAAGGGAGTTCCAGTGTTTTGTATTCAAAATTAATCAACTAAGTGATGAAACCTGTAGGCCCTGTTACTGTAGAAATTTCAGGGGACTAATAAAATGCAGCTAAATAATGGGCAAGTTGCATTTGTTGCACACAGCTACACAGTAATGACAATTAATTGGATAGCAGCCATGTATGTGGCATAAAGTGTCCAGAGGTGTCTCCAGCAACACAACTCATGGTATATATAATAAATATGAAAAGTTCAGGAGTTTGGATCCAATCTTATTGATTCTCCATCAACATAATGTATAACTGTGCCTCAGCTCAGAGAAAAATCAATATATACAACCTGTTAATGAAGTATTGAGTTTGTTTAGAAGTCAAGATAGTATTGAACTTTGAATACTAAATATTTCCCTTCCATCTGATAGGCTGAAGTGCAGTTATTTTAATAAATGTCCAAAAAAGATTTTGAACCGAGAAAGGAAAAGGGGGGGGGGGATATAAGTTTTATTTTTTAATTTAAAATTTTAGTTTAAAATTATTTAAGATTTCCTAACTTTGAAGGTCAAAACTATACGTTTCGTTGCTAAATTAATCACTGAACAGCAAACAAAGTACAAAAGGAATAAAAATAAAAGGTTATTCGTTGAGGTAGAATTTCGTACATTATGCACACTAAAAACTATTTTGCAACTTGGAGGATTTGAAATTCTATCTTTTAAAGTTAATCAGGGCAACAGCAGTTTATGTAGAGTTAAAGTTAAGTCATGTGATTGTTGATTATCTATATACACCTATTTAGACATAAAGTTATGGGTATCAGTGACTTTTGATCAGATTTTTAGTTATTATCCCTGTTAACTGTGAGATTAATCTGCCTCGCACTTTTTTGTTGCCATGGAGACAACAGGTGCATTGGAAGCCAGGCATTATGACACTACATCTCTGTGACAAACAAAACATGTTCATTTTTCTGTCACCTTCATTGTACTTTGTTGATTTCTGGTTTAAACTCTCTAAAAGCTCAGAAACTTGAGATATTTTTTGTATTGACAATTTAATAATATATAATGATCTATTTTTATTTGTAAGGTTGACAGTACCTAAGCTGTTGGAAACTTGTAAAAGTTTTCCTGACAAAAATCAATAGACCAGATCTCCATAACTACCCAGGCTACAAGCATCCTCAGAAACTGCTAGTGTGTGTCTTAGAAAATCAATACTTTGGTTTACTTTCAAACTTCTACATTATCTTTAGTTGTGTGGATCTGTTTATTGTATTTAGAATAGTTAATAACTTATGAGTATATTGTCATTTATGTATTGAGTTGGCCATGGGCATTATTTAACATCTTAGAAAAGCAGTAGTTTATGCTAAACCTCTCTATGCAATATAACTAACACAATGTTTTTCCCCCATTATTCTGAATAAAGAAAAATATATATGAGCATCTGAGAAGTTTGACAAGTGAATCTATTTTAGTTTTACGTACACATTACTAATTAGACAAGAGCCAGCTGCTTTTGGGTGTTCAATAATTCACAGTAGTTGATAATAGGAACTGATTATAAATCCAAACAAAAACTTGTGAGGACCAATCAAATGCTTGCAAAAAGAAGGACAAAGGCCAAATAGGGAATAATGTCAGTTGCCTGCATAATGAGACAGATGGCAAGCATTATCATAAAGCAGTCCTCTTGTAAATTCTGGAGGAACTAACTCAGCAAACTTTGCCAGAACTGCTGAAAAAGTGAAATACTGGAAAATGACTGTGTTAGATATGAAGTTTAAACAACCTAGGACCAAGTTTTATGAAGATTGATAATGTTGAGGAAAGTTAACAAAGTTTTTGAAAGCTTGCTTTAAAGAATATCAACAATCTAAAAGTAAGTAACTGGAGGATGTCATGGGGTCTAATTAGCAAACAAAGTATGAAATTGCAAAGTTGATTGCACATGTAGTTTGGGGATTTAAAGTGATACATGATTATTTAATGATGAATATGTATTGATTTAGCTTCCAAAAATAAGCAAAATCAGATATTTGTATTCTGAAATAGGAATCAGGGAAAGTTTTATGATAATGTGCCCACTGAATCCAAGATGGCTGACTTTTCCAAACTTGTTGAGTACGGAATGAAAGATGTCTGAAAGTACACTTTACTTATAGGAGTTAATTCTTTTAGGTTAAATCAAATTTTTTAAAAGTTATATAATAATTACATATTCTATAGAAGAGGGTGCTTCTATTTTGTAGGATACCAAGTTTCCATCTCATGAGACCATTGCTTCAAAATTAAGTAAGTTTCTTTTTTATTCTTCCTTTTCATACATTTTCAGCTAGTGCCATATATATATTATGAAAATAAAAATAAGTTTGAAATTTTTAATAATAGAGGTGAAACTTTGAAACTTAATTTAAAAAAAAAAGGGGGGGGGTGAAAGTTTGCATATACACAGAATACATAATTTACTATTTTGAATAATGAATATATGATATGGGACTGAGACAGATGTGCTTAACAAAAGGTAAATTTTGAAGAGACAGGTGCTGGGTATTAAAAAGCTATTGGGTACCTACAGTCAACAAGCCATGTTTTGTCACCTTGTTGGATGTTACAGTTGAATGGTTTCAATAACAAAATGCAGCTTAATTTTAACAGGTTATCAAATAATCTATCTTCAGATACATGATGTTTATATATTTTATAAGATAAGTAAAAAAAAAAAAAGTACTGCGATTAAGTTATGTGACTGGAGAGATTGTCTCTTAGCATTGACTATATATGTGATAAAATATCACACTTCCAGTAACTTGGAATGATGACCACTTAAAAAAAGTAAGAAGGAAGTTCTTACATATACACATATCTTTAGTATTGTGTCCAAATTTTATTAAAAAAAATCTGACAGACAGAAAAATGGATAATATACCTGAGCATTCTCTACAGAGTGCAGGTATAATAACACTTCTAGTATGTACTTAAGTCACAAGTGACTAGGGGAAAAAATGGAATTTCCAGTGATATCGAGAGTAAAGTTTCTATAAAGAAAGAAAAAAAAAAATGAAGATCAGTTACAAAGCTTTATTTTTTGAACTTCCAAACCAAAAAAAAAAAAAGGAAAATGCTTTACAAGTATAAAGCACTGGTAACTTGAAGAGGCTTGTGATTGTCAGTTAATAGGATATCAGGTAGGAAAAGGGTGTGGTCATCTTCATCCCTATAAGGAACCTAGAAAAAAGTGAATAAAAGCTATGAATCAGAAGAATTCATAAATGTTAAAAAGATCACCAAATTGCAGATTGTTTGGAAATTTGAAATAAGATATTTTTATTGATTGATCTCATTAAAATGTGTAACTCTTGCAGAATCAATATATATTAATATAAATATCTGTGTATGGTTGACAGAAATTAATTTAAGATGTCAGAAATGAACAGGGCAATAAGCTTATTTAGCGAGATTGATTTTATTTTGTTATTAAGTACACAGTCATGCAGTGGAGGTATACCTGTCTCTGGCAAGTTCATAGCAGATCTCAAGTTAATAATAATCAGTTATCAGATGTACATGTATAATTGGGGAGCTGCAATATTGATCCAGGATGATGCCTTCATTACTATTTGTCCAATCATATTTGTCTGTCATCTCAATGAGTAGATACTGGAAACTAATGACAAGGAGAAGTCCTCTTGTTGGTCATATCAGTTGTTTACACGCAGTATTGTATCAAGTTGTTCTTTAGTCTAAGAACTACTGTATTGAGAACTGATGCTAGCAAATAAATGTGGATGCTTCAAATGTATTTCTGCACTGCCAATAAAAATTTTTAGCAGAATATTTGCTTAGAATTGCCCCCCCCCCCCCCCTTCTAATTCATTCTTAATATTATGTGACAATTAGTTGGACTTCTTTCCTGGTTGGCATAAATTGATTTTTTTCATTAGATTTCTTTTAAACAGATGTTTACCTCTGACATTCCCTGACCCAACAGTCCCAACTCTAGTATTTTGACCTTTAAGATATGACCTTGAGACAAAGTGACAGTATGCCTTAAGGCTTGTGGACAACAACAACAAAATTTCAATTAATTTGAGGAAGTATTCCATGGTTTTGACCCAGACACATTTTTTTTTGGACAGACAACCATATGCCAAAACCAGTATGTGTCATCCCTAAGGGAGACAGACGTAGAGAACTCGGCATCTAAAATGATTTTATAAAACCTCTGTCATACTGAATCAGAATGCCTGGGTTTTCTCATGAATGATGCTACATGTATTCACAATATTTATTCAAAAAAATCTGATAGGAGTGGGGTAACAGGCAATGCCTATACAATATAAATGCCTTATCCACACAATGAATATTCATATACCGGTAAAAGCAAAGAACTACAATCTCTATATGCACAAGTGCATATTCCATCATGTAAAATGCTTCCTAATTCTCTGACCCCCACTATGTTTTATAACAAAGTCAAAATTGGCTTCAAAATAGACTAGGTGCCATTATTTTCAGTATTTGACAAACTGAGAGTCACATGGTATTACAAAAGTTGATGTTGAGAGACAACATATTAATTGATCCAAAAAAATATTACATGAAATCTAAATTTTTTTTTTGCAGTGATCTTCTGATTTATTTTGATATGTATATAAAGAAGAATACCATTCGTGTGCATTTGAATAAACCTTTTAAAATAATATTTCATTTTTTCACCCACCCCCATGTTAGTAAAGCTTAGATTATGTTCATACTTTGTTTCCATAAATTACTTGGATTGTGTGGATTATTTTGCCTTATAAAATATTTTTTTTTTTTAATGGTCTAGTAATTAGTACTCTTTTATTTTTCAGACATTGAAACAAATGTTAAAATGACACAGGTAACTTTTTAATGCAATATTTATATATTTCATATGAAAAAAATGTCAAAAAAAGGAAGTATTTCTAAGGAAATTAAATTATTTGTTTAAGAAGATGTAGATTCCAATTTTGGGTGTAACCACAATGTTCTAGTTTTATTTCATTACTAGTAGTGAACAAATTCTTAATATATATAGGAAAAAGAAGCATGTGATCTGCTGATAAAACTTTTTATGCATTTGTTTTTCAGACACCAGAATATGGAGAGCTGGGTTAGTATAATGAATGTACTCTATAAGCCCCAACTTTATGTTGATATAACTGATATGAGAATAATATCATACATCTTGTCTATCATACAATAAAGAATATCTTTGGATTTAATTGTCAGGCCAGGCCAGCAATACACATGCTACTAGAATATCTGAAATTGCATGTTTTTAATAATGATGTCCACATCTGAAATTTTTAATAATTTCATGTACCACATAACTTCAAAATTCATATACTGGTACACAGTAAATACAGTTATCCATATCCATTTATTTAATTTAATCTTCATATTTAATTTAAGTTACCATATAAGTAATTTAAGTATTCTTAATTCAGAATATCAGTATTTTGATATTCAATTAAATTCCTAATATCCTTTATCTGTTCTAATAGTGAATATCAGATAACACAATTTTCTCTTCTTTAATGATACAGTTCACTTTTATTAATGTCATACTAATTCTTGTGACTTCTTCATGTTCTTACTGCATGAATTCCTTAGAAAACACTATTTTATGAAGGATATTTTATAAATTCGTGGTCAGAGGATAATGATTCTGAACGGGGAGAAAGCCTTTTCATTGCAAAAAAATGGTTTATTTCTTCCTCTGGCCAGATTTCTAAGGGAAGGGAGAAAAATGTATTGTTATTTCTGGGAGGAAAAAAACATAAGATCTGGTAACAAATTGGATGGATCCCCATCTTTTTTATTTTATGGTAGAGACAGTTGCTCCAAAAAGGAAGCTAGGAGCGGATGTAGGAAATGGAAAACCAGCTAAGGTTCTGAAGATTGAAGATGATGGTGAAGATCAGGCTATTGAGGAAAGGGACAACAAGCCAGATATAAAATTAGAATCAGAAAACAGTGAGACTGTGGCATACTCTGTGGTATTAAAGAGTGCTGACAATGTGGAAATCAAGGAAGAGGTGATGGGTAGTAGCCATCCAGATACTGCTAACAAAGACGGAGTAGAGGTCAAAGTGGAAATAAAGGATGAAGACGAGGAAGATGATGATTTTCATGTTGTGGCCGAGTGGAAGTCATCAGATGAAAATAGAGACAAAGAAATTGCAGATGAATCTCAGAGAAGTGATGAAAACTTGTCTGGCCTAGGTAAAAACATACATTGTAACATGTTTTTCCCATTAACTCCAAGTGCTTAAGTGCATCTTTCTTTTTTATTTCTGCTAATAAACACAGGGTACATCGCTACTTACGGTTTTCTTCATAGAACTAGTAAATAAAGAACTGGGCTCTGTTTAGTTGAACATGTTTGTTCTTTTTGTAAAACATCTTCCAATTTATTGTTAATTTATATTTAGATTACAAGGTTAAATAGTTTTGAGCAAAGTTAAGATAATAAAAAATTTCACAAAGTTTGTTTAATAAATGATAAACTTCATTATTTGAAGAAAATTTTTTTTTACAGATATGAAGTGTCCAACTCCTGGATGCGATGGTTCTGGACACGTAACAGGGCTGTATTCACATCACAGAAGGTAATTTGTGACATTTTTATTAGAAATCTGTACAACTGATTGTATAAGAATGTAACAGAGAGAATGATGTGTTTTATCTAATGAAAATCAATCTTACAGTTTGTCTGGATGTCCAAAAAAGGGCACGGTTCCCCCAGAAAGTAAGTACTGGTACTTCTGTCAAAATATGAAATTGGATTATTTGCTGTCAGTATGGTTGATATATACTAAATGACTGTGTTAATCATTACAATTTTGTGTCTTTCAGTTGTGGCTATGCATGAAAATTTAGCCAGGTTAGTGTAAAATTCAATTTGACTCTAAACTAATTCTTAAGACAAAAAGAAAATGAATTTCACTGTTCATTCATAATCATTATTTATCATTGGAAGTGCACGTGTTTACAGGTGCCCTACCCCTGGTTGTACAGGCAAAGGTCATGTGAATGCAAACAGAACCACTCATAGGAGGTAACAGGATATTCGTAAAACTTAATTTGTTTTAAACAGTTTGTAAAGTTACGGTATACTGTGAAACTATAACTCTTTATAACTCTTTTTTGAAGGTAACAAATGATTGATAATTTCTCGTCAATTTTTTTTGTTGTTGCATATTTTGAATTTTTTCTTCACCTCATAGACATTGCTGACCATGTCTTATTTTAGTTTATCAGGATGCCCCATAGCTGCTATGGGAAAACTCGTACAAACAACACAGCAAACGGCAAAGAAATCAGGTCAGTCTCAAGCTCATAGGTGATCAGGAAAACTTGACAAATTGAATTTTAAGAATTTTTTTGTTTGAATGTAGTATACATATTGGCTTTTTTTGCCATTCAAGTAAAGAAAATATTTTGTACTATGATTGATAAAAATAACACTGAAATGATATTTAAATCTGATGCAGTGTATAGGGAAGAAAAGGCAGAAATTGTGCTATAGAGTGCCTTATGTTGATCCTTGAATGTATGAAAATTAGTTGTGCATGCTCATGCCAGCTTTATAACATTTTTATTTGCTGTTCTTTTGATTTTCTTCTGTTAGGTCTGCACCTTGTTTTGCTCCCAAAAGATGACGACCCCTCCAAAGCTGTGTTAGCCGCTTGCAATGAGAAAGAGCTCATCAGACTGGCTGCACAAAAATGTACCTCCGCAGAAAATGGTTGGTACTTCCTCCATTCCTTTTGCTTCTTTATTCAGAATCAGTGTTGTAATAATTATCGAGCTAAAAAAAAATCTCATCATTGTTTAAAGTTAATCTTCCTAGGAAGATAGAATATGTAAAAAATACATGGTAAAAACTATTGTTTCAAGCAATTATTATTAAATTGTTCCAAGGTCCAGGAAAAAAAGAAAAACATGCAAAGTTGAGTATTATAGAAAAATATATTCAGTATGATGAGATTTCCAGCAAACATGTAGATATTTTTTGATTGAGATTCCTATTAAAAAGTAATGTTTTCTGTATTTCTGTAGTGTAGAATGAATCAGAATTGTTAAAATTATCAGAGTTAGTTAACAGAATTACAATTAGTATATGCATGTAATCAGCTCTGGATTGGATTACTCGTTGTGTAGAATGGTAGCTGTATAAATGTGAGTAGAGACTAGTTCATTTTTTCCTGTTGAGTTGAATATTGTTGAGTTGAAGATTGAATTTCTGTTTGTTGAGTTGTTTAAACTGTGTACCAATTTTTATTCACAGCAGTGAAGTTAAGCATGTAACTCAAATCGTGAGTTACTACTGTGGTTTCATCTTTATTCATGGAACACCGATTTTCATGGAGTTCGTTGTTGAGTAGATCCACAAAATCAAATGTTTGTCGAAGTTTGGTGCCTCCATTTGGATTTATGATAAACCTTGAAAAAGCCTATTTCAACTTTCGTTACTTTGTTGTTTTAAAATATTAGCATACTCTTAAAATTGTAAATGGCGTGGGGATTTCTGCTGAAGCATATAGAGAGTAAAAAAAAAAAAAATGAAAAGTTGAATTTTTTTTTTCTTATGATCATTATCCATGAATTTACGTATCCTCGAAAAAGTGATTTTTACTAAATCCACGAAAATTAATGCCAACGAAAATATTAATGAAACCACAGAATATACAGGAATTTCTGAGACCTTATTCATCAAGAGTACAAAAAATTGAAAATTATTAAGAATTGAAAGCATATAAATATTGCAAATCTTTCAGAAAATTATTAAAGTAGCTTAATTAAGTTAAAGTAGGTTTTGTAGTATGAAATTTTATTGCATTTAGACTTACATGTACACAACTCTATCCTTTGACATGTTTTTTAAGTTTACCATTACATGTAATTTCCAATTTTATCTTCAAGTCTTATTTCTACCTACTGTTTATAATTATATCCCCTGTTTGTGGGATATGTAGGAATCAACGTGAACACCTGTCTCTTAGTCTCTCTGTCCAGTAGTTTGCAATAGTGTCCAGGCCATATCTTTATAATGGGGAAACAGAGAGTTCCATACAAGGCAAATAAATTGCTTATTACCTGAGAGTGTGTCAAGACCTTAACTTAAAGTCCTTTTTGCAAGTTTAAGGTCACTGGCAAAAATATAAAAAAAAAATTGTGCCCGGTCCATAACTTTCCAGTGGAGAAACAATGGAAGTTGATACTTCATACAAAGATTATTTATGACCTACGAATGTGCCATGACCTTGAACCAAGATCATATGTACAAGTTGGGGAGGGATATAATTTGAGCTCTGTCACAGTAGAGTTATATTTTACTAGTATTATATAAGTTGGCAAGAAAAATTGTGTCAACACCTCAGGGCTTACCTGTAGATTGAATATAAGAAAGAAAAATGTTTGAAGAAGTAAATGTTCAAGATAGGTAAATTTCAGATCTAAGTAAATGACTTTTCTGTGAAAATTCAACATCTTGTGTAAATTAAATCATCTTGTACTTTCAATGACAAGTCAGTAATCTTATTTGAATGTCTTGAATACATGTACAGTTGTACTTCAGTATCTCGAACACTGATATCCCAAATACCATGGATATATCACACTGATTTGGAAGTCTCAACCATTTGTTCTCTAAGTATTTTACTTTCAACATCTTGAATCCTCGGATATCTCAAAATTATTTTCGTCCCAACGAAGTTTGACTGTATATTCTCACAGGAGAAAAAAATCACAGAACATGTACCAATTAGCAAGAAAAAATTTCGGATATTTTTTCAAGTTATAATAAAAGATGCAATTTTAGAATTTCATGGTATTTGCTGTTGAAAAAATCATATCCGAAATTTCAGTATTTGTTTTAGATTTCTTTTGCCTCTGGAAAAAAGAAATTACATCTATAAAGCACATAATTACCGGTAGATAATTTAGATTGATACATGTGTTGATAAATCTCTTAAATATAATTATGATTACCTTGTTTTGTTTTTTATTTTTTTTACATTATTTTTATGTTTTCAAATCCCATTTAGAAATTTCTCATTGGTTGCTTTTATCTGAACAGATTCTGACCGGGTTTTACGCCCCATGATCCTCACAAAACAGTTGGAGCTGGGTTCTGATTTGTCTTCACTGGTATCCCAACAAACCCCTCGCAATAATCTTGCCAAGGAGTTAGAAAAGTACAACCAATTAGACTCTGGAAGTTTTTCTGGTTCAAAGGGAGAGGAGAGGGAACCAGCTGCTGCACCGGTTGTCAAGGTTCCCAAGCGAGAACCAGTCAGGCCAAGCATCCTGAGGCGACCTACTTATAAAAAAAGCGAATCCAAACCGTCCACATCTGATGAAGGAAGCTCCACTTCACCCAACATACTGAATCGTAAGGGCGCCAGACAGCTGAGTTTTACCAGGTCGGTAACTACTTTGACAATCCCCAATCCTTTGATGTCCAAACCGGTCTCACAAGTACGTCATGGCACCATTTTGACTCCTGCCAACAAATCGAACACCAAGCCCATCACAGTTTTTGTTGGGCCTGATGGAAAACATATTCAAGTCAATACTAGAAAGTCAGTCTAGCATCATCTCAGAATTTTGCATATTGAATAAATTTGTAGTAATTACAATTTTGAACTCCAGTGACACGCATTTAAAAAATCTACATGAATGTACAATTTTTTTTTTTTAGAAGCACAATATTACATGAATGCTCATGCTGACTTTTAATAATGATCGTTCGTTTGTATGAATTTGTTAAATGTAAGATTTAATAAGAAGTGTAATTATAAATTTATTGTAGTTCAAAATTAAAATAAATGAATTTCCTTCTGCTTATGAATTAAGATGATGAAAGTGGGATTCTTGAATTAAGTGTTGATATTCAATTGGTTCATTTTTTAAAGCAAGTTTGCATAATGATACACTGTAATAAATGAATGCTTTTCTTCATTTCAGCATTTAAGTCCCTAAAATTCATCCAAAAATTCACAGATAAGGCTGTAACTTTTGTTTTCAATGTTTTTGAAATTAAAGAAGCAAAAGGTTTAATGAGATATTGTTTATTCCAGATTGGGGGACTTAAGTGCTGAAAGGTAAATTTTTTTTTTGTTTTATCTTGCTGTCATTGAGTTAAAATGTTTTATCACCTGTTATGTTCATAGATTTACCAAATTCAACCAGTTTCACCAAATTCTTAGTTATGTAGGGGAAGCACATATGTTTTGATAAAGGTTTATTCTCAGATTAATTAACTTGAATAAAGTAGTATTGATTGCAGATGTTTCATGAACTTAGTAAAATAAGATAATGGTTGAGTTCAAATGAGTACACTATATGTTAACTTGTAAAAAGAGATAAGATGGGAATAAGATAAATTTCTTCACATTTTATTATTAACATCAAATTGAATTTGGCAAAACATGGTTTGATTTAGTAATTTGTACTCTTGTTATGCAGGACACTTCTGCATTGTTGTATATTTTTGTACATAAAATCTGAAAATAAAAAACAAAATCTTTCTTAATTTAATTTTTGTTAGCTTTATATAGATTAATTTTACCCAAGGTATATCTGCGTTTCTGTTGTCTTGTTGATTTAAAGGAAAATCAAGCTTTTATCCTTTTCTCATCCAGAAATTATATTGAAGCACAACCTGATTATTCACTGCAAATTTCTACCCTACTTAGTTCCAGAGATAGTGCAGACATAGAATCAGTTAGTTCAGAGACAGAGGGGAAAAATTCATCTAACTGCCCCTACCCAGGTTGTGATGGGTCCGGTCATGTGACTGGAAATTACACTTCCCACCGAAGTCTCTCTGGTTGCCCATTGGCTGATAGAGCCACTGTGCAAGCCAATCAGGTTGAAATGAAGTAAGTCATGTGACTCACAGCTAAGATGCCTGCCATTGTAACTGAAACTGTCCAAACTCTTTTCTTTATTTGTTTTGCAAGCTTCTCTTGATGTTGTGAGGTGGATTTTTTTTCTTTATTGATTATTTGTTGGTTCAAGGGGTTTTTTTTTCCCAGTTGAGATATTGCATGCATGAGAAGAGCCTTCAGTGTAGTATTCTTTGTCTTTCTTTTTATCTTTGTATATTTTAATCTTTACAATCACATAAATAAACCTTAAAGAAGTAGAGAGAAGTTGTCCTTCAGATAGATGACTTTAACATGTTACAGTCTGATGAATAAAACTTAAAGAAATAAATACAAGTCTGTCAGGTAGATATCTTTTTACATGTTGAATAATATGCTTTTCATATTATGTGGAAAATTGCGTTTCTGTGATAAGCCTATGGTAAATCAAAACCGAGTGATTCCAGTTTCATTGAAGTGTTTTGTGTTGCATAAAGCTATTTGATATAATTGAAATTGAATAAATTTTGGATTGATGGAAACAAATAGATGCCCAACTCCAGGCTGTGATGGTTCAGGTCATGTGACAGGAAACTATGCATCACACAGAAGCTTGTCTGGATGTCCCAGAGCTGCAAAGCTGAAAAGAGTCATTGGGAGGGAGAGTGGAATGGAAGAAGAGACATTACGGTAGGAAATCATAGAATTTAATGTAAAATAATATTCCCTTCATAAGTTTCTATAATAATATTCTCTGGGAAGTTTCTTCTTAGAATGGTTCTTAAATTTTTGCTGTAGAAGTTTAAGGTGTGGGTTTATAGACTAAATTATTTGATTGGTCAATTTGATTGTAGCTGTCCTATTCCTGGATGTGATGGGACAGGTCATGTAACTGGAAAATACCTGTCTCATCGCAGGTAATTGTTGGTGTAAAATGTTGTGTGTAATTGTGTATTTTATAACTTTTTATATGTACTTGATATATATTTTCTTCATTATAAGCAATTTGGGAGATAGTTTCAGTAATTGCATATCTGCATCATTTATGTAGCTTTCAAGAATACTGTTCAAATGATAAAGGGGGATTTAAATTATTTTATCTTTTTTTTGTACTTGTTGTGCTTCACAGATTTTGTTTGCATGAGATATATATAAGATTCAGTGAAGAAAAATAGGAAGTTAGAGTAAATTTTATTAAATTTGAAATACACTGTAGTATGTTTTAATTTTTATAAAGAAACTATTGGATAAGGTTCCTTTTAAAAGCTATTTCAGATTTGAATTAATTTTCCCCATTCATGATTGTTTCCTTATTTAGTGCATCAGGATGCCCTCTTGCCAACAAACACAAAATACAACGACAGCTTCTTGCCAGCTTGGATGGACAAGATCCAGATCTAGCAAAATCTCTCAAAATGGATGGAGTTGTGTAAGAATGACTTTATTGTTGTAGATTTTCAAAAAGACACCCATTAAGTCTCATTTTAAGGTTTATACATGTATAACCATTTGCTCATTGATGAGTTACAAACAGGAAAATAAGGGAATCCTAGCAACATTATATTCCAAAGAGTGATAATAAGAAAAGGCTGCATACATGTACATCACTAGTGACAATTTATGCAGGGAAACAATATATGCCATAACAGCCTTGCCAAACAAAAAAACAAAAAACAACAGGTCAACTTTGAACAGTTACATGTATGTGAATAACTTGGCAGAGATAAACAAGTATACACAAAGAAGTATGTGCCTATCGATGATATGTGTTTCAATTTTTGCATATTATAAGAGGAGTTTTCTGATTGGTGTTTCTTTGACAGGTGCCCTACCCCTGGCTGTGATGGATCAGGTCACTCCAATGGAAGCTTCCTATCCCACAGGAGCCTCTCTGGGTGCCCAAGGGCAACCTCAGCCATGAAGAAGGCTAAACTCAGTCCAGCAGAGCTCACCAACATTCATTGTAAACTACAAAATGGAGAAGGTAAATACATTATAGAATTAGGAAATGTAGACTAGGTTTTAGGTCTAATCTCTGATGAGCTAGGAGAGTTGTATTTACATAATTTATTTCGATGAGACTATATGGTACACTTTGTCAAATGGATTTGCATGAAAGGGAACATTTTTCTGTGCTAGGTATTTGTGTATGCATACCTGATAAACATCAACTTTTCTGAGTCATATGGTGAATTGTTTTGTTTTGTTTTTGTTTATTGAATGTGGTTATTTATTTTCAAAAGATGACTATAAAATAGCAACCTTTTCTTTTTATCACATGAATTAGGTCAGTGTGAAACATTTATTTATTTCATATTTTTCAGATAGATATATTATTGTGATACACATGTACAGTAAAACACGCTTATAGCGAACACGCTTATAATGAATAGACTCTTATAGCAAAGTGATTTTCATTTCCCATTGGTTTTAAATGTATTGTTAAGCTATAAAGATATAACAAATTATGTTTATAATGAAGCAAAATCGCCTGTCCCTGGCACTTCCTTATAAGCATGTTTTACTGTATCTTCTTTTTATATAATTGATTTTTTTGTAGATTTGGAAAATGATGAGGAATTGCTTCAAATTGAAACAGATATTCAGGACCTCAAGAAAACAAACACTGATCTGGAGTCGGAAATGATTAAGATGAGGTCTGAAGTGTCCTCTCTCGAAAACCATGTACTTCAGAAGGAAAAAGAGAACAATGAGATAGAAGAACAAAATAAACATCTAGAAAACTACTTGGATGTTCTGAAGAAAGAATCCATAACCCTCCTGTCAAAGCTCAACATACCTCACTTCAACCCAGCATTGGTCACAGATGAAAATCTGGAGGCCTGCATCCAGCAAATTCAAAAATTATGCTCAAGTCAGAGTGATAATGGAAGCAGTTATTACAGTGCTGTTAGTATAGGGGCATCAGAAATCCAAGTAGCTTGAGTGTTTAAATGCTTATTATGTAATGCCTCTTCTGTGAAAAGTGCAATTTATGTTAGTAGTGGTCAGTAATCTGAATTTTGTTGTATCTGGAAAATGTTTCCATGTACATGTTCTGTCTCATATTTATTTACTCTAATATTTCATTGAATATATTTATTTTAATTTGTTGCTTGTAATTTTTATAATTTGTTGATATTATTTTATGTTAGTTTTTTTTTTTTTGGCATAGTATTATATTTATGTATTTTATCTGCTTTACACTAAATCCAGGTACACATAAATGCATTATTTATTCACTGCATTCCTTAATTGATTGTCAGATTGTTATATATATATATATATACTTCAGTTGAACTTTGGTATCTCGAACATGGATATCTCAAATACCATGGATATGTAGAAGTGATTGGGTAGTCCTAACCACGTATTTCTTAAGTATTTTACCCTCGTTATCTCGAACCCTTGGATATCTCAAAGTTTTTTCTCGGTCCCATTGAGTTGGAGATAACGAGGTTTGACTATGTGTATGTAATGGATATATGCCGAATACTGTTCTATATGTAAAATTATCAGACTGTTTGAGGCCCGTTAGGGCCGAAAACGGTCTGATAATTTTACATATAGAATTGTATGAGGCATATATCTTACTTAAAACATTGCTATTTAAATGTCCAAAAGTTACCTGGAGGAGTCCGATAATTACACAATAGGAGTTCAGGCATCAATAGTTTTCTACCTGAAACCATCTAATAAGTAGACAAAAGAAAAGAGAAAGTTTTTTTTTCTTTAGACAGTAAAATCAGTGAGTGAACTCTTTTGTTTCATTCATTCAGTGGCAGTCGTTTGGCTTAGCAGGAACTATGGACAGTGGTCAGGTGATGAAGGTTTTTTTTTTATGATTCGGAATATATTTTTTTTATTAAGTGCGTTTGACATTGATACAGATACAATGTTGGATGATATCTTCAAAATGAATTTAGCGTAAAAACACGGATTTTTATCTAAAATTTTGATTCGATGATATAATGAAAATCTTGGGTTTAAAAGTGCGGTCATTGGCGAACAAACCTTGTTAAATGAAGAGATTCGCAGCCTGTTTCTTTAACAGAAATGGATTTAAATTCGCTTATTCACAGTGCTGTATCGAAAACGCTTTGCAAAAAACCGAATGGAAAGTGTTACTTTTGAGGAAGGTTAAAACTCCAGTTTCGTCTTGGATTTGCTATTTTTAACAACTTAATTTCCTCGCGTTCGCTTTCCCTGATTTTTTTCTCCCTAACTTTTTTTGGGGTTTCTGGACAAATTAAACCTTGATTTCACTCTAGTTGTTGTTTTTTAACTACTGTCCGATTTTGTTATCACTGCCGTCCGATAATATATTATTGGACTGCTAATTATTATCGGACGGCTACAGGTAAATTTTTAGACTGCAAGAACAAAGGCATGACGTCACAGCAATGTTTTAAATATATATATATATATATATATATATATATATATATATATATATATATATATATATATATATATATATGTATTTACACAGTTGAACTTCAGTATCTCAAACACGGATATCTTGAATACAATGGATATGTCAAAGTGATTGGAAAGTCCCAAGCCCTTTTTAGCTCACCTGAGCTGAAAGCTCAAGTGAGCTATTCTGATCACCCGTTGTCCGTCGTCCGTCCGTCTGTAAACTTTTCACATTTTCAACTTCTTCTCAAGAACCACTGGGCCAATTTTAACCAAACTTGGTACAAAGTATCCTTGGAAAGGGGAGTGTAAATTGTTAAAATAAAGGGCCAAGTCCCCTTACAAGGGGAGATAATCAAGAAAAGACAAAAATAGGGCGGGGTAATTAAAAAATCTTCTTCTCAAGAACCACTGGGCCAGAAAAGCTAATACTTATGTGGAAGCATCCTGGGATAGTGTAGATTCTAAATTGTTCAAATCATGACCCCCCGGGGTAGGGCGGGGCCACAATAGGGAATCCAAGTTTTACATTGAAATACATAAGAAAAATCTTTACAAATCTTCTTCTCAAGAACCACTGGGCAGAAAAGCTGAAACTTATGTGGAAGCATCCTGGGGTAGTGTAGATTATAAATTGTTCAAATCTTGACCCCCGGGGGTAGGGCGGGACACAATAGGGAATCCAAGTTTTACATTGAAATACATAAGAAAAATCTTTACAAATCTTCCTAAGAACCACTGGGCCAGAAAAGCTGAAACTTATGTGAAAGCATCCTGGGGTAGTGTAGATTATAAATTGTTCAAATCTTGACCCCCGGGGGTAGAGCAGGACACAATAGGGAATCCAAGTTTTACATTGAAATATATAAGAAAAATCTTTAAAAATCTTCTTTTCAAGAACATCTGGACCAATAAAGCTGAGACATATTTGGAAGCATCCTGAGGTAGTGTAAATTTTAAATTGTTCAAATTTTGACCCCCGGGGGTAGGGCGGGGCCACAATAGGTATACATGTATTACAAGGGGGAAATCTGGTAAAGAACAGCATGGCCAAAGTTACTCAGGTGAGCGATGTGGCCCATGGGCCTCTTGTTCTTTAAGGATTTTACCCTCAATATCTCGAACCCATGGATATCTTGAAGTTTTTTCTCAGTCTCATCAAGTTCGAGATAACAAGATTTGACTGTTTTCATTTTTTATTTATTTCTTTAAGATAGTTTACAATAATGAACATTCCTTTCCTTATTATAATGCAGGGTGTGTAATTTAATTGTTACATTTTAGTTTTATTTATTACATTAATATAGAGGTGCTAAATTACACTTATTCTGTAGAAGCACATTCCTGTTAATTGCTTTATCTTAAAACACTGTGCATACATGGACATTCCAGATTTAATTTAGAACTAGTTTTCATTTTCATCATCCCTCAACAGGTGCTTGTATTGTCATGATTGTAGTCAATCGGTACATTTCAGCTGCTCATATAAATAAAATACTAGTAGTCTCCATGGTTTACATAAAACAATTTCCTCCGAGTTTGAAATGGAACCTTTCAAATGTGCAAATGTACTTTGACACTGAACAAAAAATATACATTTGTAATTAAACTCAGCCCCGTAAAAGCAGAGAGCATGCAGATAATGTATTTACAACTTTGTTTGTTTTTACAATGCGTGAATAGCTTTAGCTTTTGCAATTACTATGTACAACTTTCTTTTTGCTATTGTTTTATTTTTACTGTTTTCAGGTAATTTTTTATAGAAATATTTATTTCACCAAGAAATTATAGGAACAAAAAACCATGAATTTTCTCTAATAAAAAAAAATGTAAATTAATAAGGGATATGAAATTTGTATACAGTATCTATTCAAGGTTATTTCTTTTTCATCAAAAGAGTTCATTATTGTTCAGTTAATTTTTATATGTAGAAACACTGGTACTTATTGCCAAAAGCTCAGATTCATGTCATGTGTGGCTTTGATATTTACATTTGAAACCAGCATCAATTTTATATTTTGTGTACATTGTGCAATATTTTTAATAAACATTAAACTTAATTGTATTTCCCTATGGGCTTATGTTGAGTTAATTAGGAACTAGACTTGATTTAATGGGACATAGAGAGTTACATAATGCTTGTGTAATATAAGTGCTTGAAAACATATTCCAATCATTCAATAACACATGGATAAAATTGATGACACATGATGAAAAGTTTGTCTTGTACTTTTTGAATACCATGACCCCCCCCCCCCCCCCCCCCCAACACTGGGATGGGCAGAAAATGGCAGTAAAACTGCAATGATTAAACAATTTTTATTTTATTTATTTATTTATTTTTTTTGGCTATTATAATAACATATTTTATTGAAAACTGCCTTTTTCCAGATAATCATTGCAGCTTCATTTTTTATGACCATGGCATCATGAAATGCAGTATCTCTTGCATTTTCTTCACAATTTCAAAGTAATTTTATCTGTAGGCTTGAAGGTGTAATCACACTTCAGAGGCGAAACTGCAATTTTATGATTCAAATTTGTTAAGAAATCATTGTAATTTGAGATAAGAAAAATTGCCTTAATGAATTTTATAATCTATTTTCAGTTATTAGTGTATCATTTCGCTTAGCAGCATAAGACAAGAAGAAAAAAAATAACAAGTCTGATGAAATGAAAAACCAATGGAAATTTGGCTAAAATTGACATCACAATAAGTTTTTATTAAAAATTGTTTATTCAATGAAATATATACATGTAGTGTAAAAATGAAATTATGACTCACTTATGGCCATGGAGGAGACACCAAGTGCATAGTTATGGTATAACAAGTAAATATAATTTATGATGCCTTTCTTAAGGTTTTAGGCTCCAGAGTTAGGCTATGTGCTGTACATGTATATTGTGAGGATGTATTTCATGTTAAGAGTCTTAAGGTTTCAGGCTCTAGAGTTAGGCTATATGCAGTACATGTATATTGTGATGATGTATTTCATGTTAAGAGTCCTAAGGTTTCAGGCTCTAGAGTTAGGCTATATGCAGTACATGTATATTGTGATGAGTATTTCATGTTAAGAGTCCTAAGGTTTCAGGCTCCAGATTTAGGCTATATGCAGTACATGTATATTGTAATATGTATTTCATGTTAAGAGTCCTCCCCTTTACTTGTCTAGGAGTCAAATTGAGTAAATAGCAATAAGAAGCAAGGTAGTCTTAACATAATTGATAAATTCTTGACCCATGTCTGAAGGTTCAAGGCAGAGTGCATATAGCAATAATATACATTATACAGGTGACCTCAATATAAATTATAAACTTCATAACCCCTGCATGAGGATTCAGGCCTCAGGGTGCATCAGGGAAGAAACTGGGTTGTCTTTGGGGAAGAAGACCTTTACAGAGGAAGGGATTTGATGGTCAGGCAGGTTTGATTGCCCGTGATAGCTCAGTTAGTAGAGCATCTGACCTCGGGGGCCCGGCTTTAAATCCTGGTCCGATTCATCACAATTTTATCGTAGTCAGTAATGGCTATTACAAGAAAAGTGTGCCTCGATATAAATTGAGAAATTTATAACCCATATAATGGTAAATATGCTGAAGTTGCTCAGGCTATAGCATGGAGGTACGGTATTTGTAGATTATTGTGGAAATTGAAATTCATATTCAAAAATAATCATCTATTAATAAGTGATGAAATTAGTT